TTTTAAAGGTCTTTGAGCCTGTGGACTCATAAGTAATTTGAATGGAGTGTGAAATACTGTATATTTTAATAGAGGCTGTGTGACACTTGAGCACTTAAAATATAAATGTGGATTTTGCCTCCAAAAATGGAGCCCTGACACATACTTGTGATATCTGGGAAGATGGCTATTTGGGCCCTTAAATTGTTCATCTTTGTATCCCATAGTGCTTTGCAAATAATGATTCACTCAATGTAGCTATATTAAGTATTTTAAAATTCATTTTGAATTAGTAATTGTTATGTTACATTTACAAAATATGATAGTACTTAATTTGTGCTCCTTCTAGCTTTAAATCATTGACACTACAGTTAACTAGAATTTCTGCTTGCATATATAATTTCAGCTGTGGATAAGTTTTCCTTTATATCTTTAAGAATATCTAGACTTCTTCCCTTAAATTTGCCACGTTCTGACATAAGTATTACAAATACCATTGCCTCTGTGGTGAAAGCAATGTCTGCTCAAATGAACCCAGTGGAACAAAAATTGGACTTGGAAGACCTGACTTAGTCATAGCTCTGTTACAGTCTAGCTGTGTGACCTTAGACAAGTCACTTTCCTTCTCTGGGACTCATTGTTTATCTTTAAAGGGGGTTAGGTTGGTCAGAGTTTCTAAGTTTCATTCTAGTTCTCATATTGCATGATTCTGTGATAGCTAGTCAAGCAGTATTAGAAATGTAGCATTCTGGCAAGATTCTCAAGGGAAATAATGGAAAAAAAAAAAAAAAGGAAGGAATGGGGCCCAGCAATAACATCACAAACTAAAGCAATAATCATCAAAGCTATTTGGTGATGGTTGTTCAGTCGTTTTAGTTGTCTGACTCTTCATGACCCCATTTAGGGTTTTCTTGGCAAAAGATACTGGAGTGGTTTGCCATTTTCTTCTCCAGCTCATTTTACAGATGAGGTAAGTGAAACAAATAGTAGGGTTAAGTGACTTGCCCACGGTCACACAGCTAGTAAGTGTCTGAGGCTGGATTTGGACTCAGATACTCATAACTCCAGACCTGGCACCCGATCTACCTAGCTGCCCCTTACTATTTGGTACTGGTTAAAAAACAGAAAGGTCAATTAGAACAGATTGGGTACTGATGTACAAGCAAAGGAATATATTAACACAGTTTAATAAACTCAAGGATCTTAGCTATTGGGGTTAGGACTTAATATTTGACAAAAGCTACTGGGAAAACTGGAAAGCAGTCTGGCAGAAATTGGGTATAAACCAACATTTTATAAGCTCCAAATGGCTACATTATCTCATAATGAAATGTCATGTCATAAAAATGCCTTTATCAGCTATGGGTAGGAGAAGAGTTTATGATGAGACAAAGAATAGAGAAGATCGCAGAAGATAAAGTGAACAATTTTTATTATATAAAATTGTTTTTGTACAAACAAAACTAATATAGTTAAAATTAGAAAGGCAACAAAAATTTAAAGTCAAGGAAGGAGGGGGAAGCTTTACTTTTATCAGGAAGTTATCCTGATAAAGGTTTGACAGCCAAAATATATGAGGAACTATTTAAAACATTTAAGAATGACAGCCATTCCTTAATGCAAGGTTTGGTAAACTATAAAGGGCCAGATAGTAAATATTTTAGGCTTGTGGGTCAAGAGGCAAAATCGATGATATTATGTAGATATTTATATAACAAAAGAGAAAACAAATTTCCACAAATTTCTGATGCGGCCTTTGCCACTCATCAAACCCCTTTCAGAGCACTGAAAGCTAGTGGGAGTAGAATCCTAGAATATCTAATATCCTAGAATAACTCACTATTCAGTACCTCAAGAAAGCAGTAGCATGATGAGCCCAGGCACTTTTTCTGGATGTTTGAAGGGCCAGGCCCTAAGATTCCAAATATAATAATACTGATTGAGTAGAGTTTTTTGTAATACTGGTCTATTAATAATAACAATGGAATTCTGTTGGGGGACATAACATTTTGCTTAATTGGGGTTCAAAGTTAATGTTCTTCAGATAATGGCAGGTCTAAATAATTGGAGAAATTGGTTGTTGGTAGGCTGAACCAATATGATGAAAATGACAATGCTGTCTAAATTAATTTACTTAATCAGTGTCATAGCAATCAAACTACAAAAAGATTCCTTTATAGAGCTAGAAAAATAGTAACAATTTATTTGGAGGAACAAATAATCAAGAATATTAAGGGAATTAATGGAAAAAAAAATGGAAAGGGAGGAAGGAAGACTGGCAGTACCAAATCCAGCCAAGAGGAGGCCAGTGTTATGCAGGGTTCAGGAATAGATACTAACTGGCAGCTCTGTTGTTCTCTATTCAGTTCTGAGTCACAGCTTGAAGGCTGACTGATAAGGGGACCTATGCCTAGAGAGTGTTCCAGTGTGAAGAGTGGTAACAGCCCTCAGCTGTATATTGAATAAGAAATAAAGTTCAGAAGCAAGCAGCAGTCTGGGGTTCTGACTATAGGAATAGAGTGGAATCCCAGTCTGAAGGCTACAATGGAATAACTTGGGCAGGAATCCCAGGGCAAAGGGGATCCTACAGTTATATCACTCTCAACCAGTAGAGCTTTCAGGCTCGCTAATAGTGGCTGAGTCTAGCAGCAGTCTACAGGAACTTCAGCTGGAGTTTAGCCCACTGGTTAAGTCCTTCTGAATGGCTGGATGAAATTGAACAAAGGTCGATTAGCTTTGTACTCAGGAAGGAAGGAAGGAACGAGCATTTGTTAAGCTCTTACTGTGTGCAGTGGATTGTGATAAATGCTGGGGATGAAAATAATCAAAGCAGTCTCTGCTTTTAAGGGGCTCATGTTCTTTTTTTGTTTTTGTTTGTTTTTTTTTGTTTGTTTGTTGCTCACACCCAAACCTAGGTCAGGAATTTACAAAGATCAGTTCAGGAGGGCAGAAATCAGCCTTTACCTTTTATCAAAAACTGCTTTTAGAGCACTGAAAGCTTGTAGGACCCAAGCCTGAGCTGTCCCTAAAATCTTAGAATAATTCAGTATCTCAAGAAACAAGCAGTATGACCAAACCCAGATAATCCTTTCAGATAATTGAAGAGCCTGGTCCTAAAATTCAGAATTCAGCAAATAGGATGGAAGAATGGGCCAAATATAAAAAGAATCCCACCAAAGCCACTATGGTGACAAGGATATTCAAGACAATCTCAGAGGAAAGTGACTCCAAAACATCCAGAAACATTGTTTCATTTCAGTCAAAATAAAAATACTGCAAGCAGCCATAAAGAATTCAAGTACCAAGGAGCCAGGACCATGCTTGATTTAGCCACCATAAAGGAGTGGAGAATTTGAAATATGGTATTACAGAAATTAAAAGATAATAGGCATATAAGCAAGAATAACTTACCTAAAAACACTTGAGTTTAGTTCTACAGGGGCAAAATGGACATTAATGAAATAGAGGACTTAACTGGAGTTAAGAAGAAAAAAAGTAAAACATGAGCAAGTAAATTATAAGGGACTAAACAAGGTTAAAATGTTTATATTTTTGGGGGCCGCTAGGTGGCGCAGTGGATAGAGCACCAGCCCTGGAATCAGGAGGACCTGAGTTCAAATGCAGCCTCAGACATTTGATACTTGCTAGCTGTGTGACCCTGGGCAAGTCACTTAACCCCATTGCCTAGCCAAAAGGAAAAAAAAGTTTCTATTTTTTAATACTGGGAGATGATATACGTGTCCCCTCAAATTCTCATCAGGGGCTATAGAGGGAGTCGTACAGAGGACCGGAGAGTGGTTCTGTTACATTTTGTTGATCATAATAAAAGAAGAATGGAAAGGGAGGGCAAGAGGAATATACTGTGGGGCTAAGGGGAGAGGAAGAATAGGGAAAATCATCTTACACAATTGGGGTACATAAGTAGAAGTCTACAAACAAGAAAGTTGGGGGAGCAGTTGATACTTGAACCTCACTCATCTAAACTGGTCAAAGGAAGGAGAAACAGTTACGTATAAAATTTTTTTACTTCACAAGGAAACAGAAGGAAGGAAAAGGGAGAAGGGGAAATAAAAGGAGGGTAGGAAATGAAGGGAGGGAGTAGTAATCTTAAGCAAATCAAATTCTTAAGGATGTACAAGAATATAGCAGCGTTGTTGTTGTTGACAAAGAGTTTTAAACTGAGGGGGGGATGGCTGAACAAATTATAACATATAAATGTGATGGAATACTATTTTGCTGTAAATAAGATGAAGGGAATGATTTTAGAGAAACCTGGGAAGACTTAATATGAATTGATATAGAGTGAGGTGAGCAAAACTGGAAAATGGTTTAATATAGTGACAACAATATTGTAGAGACAAGCAACTTTGAAAGACTTAGAAATTTGGATCACTGGAATGGCCTTGTTCCAGAGGACTCATGATGAAACATACTGCCCTGATAAAACATACTCCTGATAAAGAGATAATGGATTCAGAATGCAGATTGAGATTTATTTTTGGACACAGACAAAGCAGGAATTTATTTCACTTCACTATATATATTTGCAACTGGGGTTTTGTTTATCTTCCTCATTTGGGGGCAGTGATGGTCTGAGGGTGAGGAAGATTTTTGTTTACTGAAAAAAATTTAATTAAAAAATAGCCTTTCATTGTGGGTAAAAAAATCCTTATATTCAGGGCCACATTACTGCAGTTAGCAAATTCCTGTCACATATGCATATGAATGTTTGAATGACTTGCCTATATTTTCCTCATTACTCTTCCTGGTTTTATTCCTTAGAATACAGTTCTTTCCTTGCCATTCTATAGCTTTATCTCACAAGTTCCATTTAAAACCTTGATTCAATTAAAATGGTTCTTTGCCTCTAAACTGCCTCCATTAATTTTTTCTATGTAAAAAGTATCATCCTAATTATGAAGCATTTGTAATTGAAGGAGTGTTAGAGAGCTAGAAATTTTTGCTATTAGTACTTGCTGCACACCTTTCTACCTTTTAAAATACTTATTTTCTCCATACAGGAATGCATACTTTCTGGTATCATGTCAGTAAATGGGAAGAAGGTCCTTCACATGGATAGAAACTCCTATTATGGGGGTGAAAGTGCATCTATTACACCACTGGAAGATGTAAGTTGTAATTCATCATTCATTTTTCAGTTATCAGATCTCATTACTTATGTGTTTAGGATGATCTCTTGTTATATAATATTGATATTTACATGGAGGTTACATTTATATATCAGTTATGTACATTTATATCCTTCTTGAACATCTTTGTTCTTCTGAACAAAAGTTTAGTACTGAAATGCTTACACTCTACTAGGCTGCTGTATCATGTACTTTTTTGTTATTATTTGGCCTATGATTTCATTGTTGTAAGGAAGTCCTTGTATGGAAATTTCCTTTACCAGTGCAAAATGGCAAGCGTTCTTCAAATACTCTTCAGGTCCTGAGCAAGGTTAAATGACTCGATTGGGAGGTGTATCTTGAACATATGCTCAACCTGATTCCAAGGTTATCTGTCTACTAAACCGTGCTCTGTCTTGTCATTTATATAAGGATTTTTTAACAAACTTCTTATTTGGATTGGAATAGTAGAAATTTTGTGATCTTTGCCACCATTTGTAGCTGATTTGTTATGACACTTAATAGATTGTGGACAAGAACTGTTGGTCTGTTCTTTTGGGACACCTTTCACATAAAAATTTTGGAAACAACATGCTTAATTCAACATTAGATTTTTCTGATAGTAGAAATTTTTTGTATGTGGTCATGCTTTAGAAAATTGTATGGAATTTTGTTTAGTTTCATGTCCATGAGTTTGATAAAGCTGAACAGTACTAAAAACAAATTAAGTGAATTAGGTTTCCTTTTCTAGAATAAGAAATAATGTACTCTTCTATATTATCATAACAATTGCACTTATATTCTTGAGTATAATATTCTTGAAAACTTCAAACTATTTTGACAGCTGAACAAATTAAATCTGGCTTTCAGTTTGCTCTTATAAGCCTGCTCTTATAACTTGCTCAGGGAGAAAATGAGTTACAGATTATTTTTACTAAAAGAAAGGATGTTCCTGAAGGCAATACTGTAAATGCAGGCTGCTGGCAATATTTTTTCTTTATTTCTTTCTAAGTAGTCCTGTGTTTTTGCTACTGAAGTGACTGTCCAGTGAAATAGATTTAAATAGACACTGGAACTTTTTTTTATAATAAAGGAGATACTTTAATGGATCTGCTCTTGGGCTTTCTTATTAGATAGTCTAACCTGTGAAGGTGTTACATATGACGTAAACTTCAAGAACTGCATTTTAGTGAGACTCCAGTTACTGTATTTAGAGTAGTAGTATAAACAGTGCAGAAACTCTGATACATTTATCTTTCTTCGAATCTAACTTCACATTGAAATATGTATTGAAATTCAAAGAAAAATGTGCACTTAAATATGTATTACTTTCTTTTTAGTTATACAAGAGGTTTAATATACCAGGATCACCACCATCCTCCATGGGACGGGGAAGAGACTGGAACGTGGACCTAATCCCCAAATTCCTTATGGCCAATGGTAAGGAATATCAGAGATTTTGATTTTCTCTGTGTGTCTTACATACAGTTTAGAAGTAGGAAAAAAGGAGCCTCTGCCTGCTGCTCCCTTGGGGAGAGCTGCCCAGCATCCTGCTCCCGGGTACACCAGGGGTTGGAAAGACCACGTTAGGTAAAGAACTTGCATCAAGAACAGGAGGGACATACATTAATGTGAGCAATTTAGCAGAAGAAGGACAGTTATGTGATAGCTTTGATGAAGAATATGAATATCCCATTTTGGGTTAAGATAGAGTAGTTGATGAGTTAGAAAATAAAGTGAAAGAAGGTGGAGTTATTGTTGATTACCATGGCTCTGACTTCTTCCCTGAATGATAGTTTCATATAGTTTTTGTGCTTCAAACAGTTAATTCTGTATTATGTACAAGACTTGAGAAGAGGGGATACAGTGTAAAGAAACTGCAGGACGATATTCAGTGTGAAATTTTCCAAATTCTTTATGAAGACGTCATGGCCTTCTACAACCATGAAATAGTACACCACCTGCCCAGAAATGTACCAGAAGAACTAGAGAATCATTTAGATCAGATAATGAAAAGGATTGAACAGTGGATAAAAGATAATAATTGAACCTTGAGGGCAAAGCATTGGACCTTCAAGGTTTTCCACGTGATGGGTAAAGGTTTTCTCGATGATTTCTCCTTCCCCATGTAGTAGAAATTAAGACATCATACACCAAATTTTACTCTCCAGGCTTGTGTTGTAGAAGTAGTAGGTAAACAATATATAAGGTTGAGTTATGACTAAATTAATTTTTTTCTCCATGAGAAGACTGAAAACAAATACAATAAATAAGATATTAAGGACTTTTTAAGTTTAGGAATATTCAGCATTCTCGTTTATAAATAAGAATAAGCTAAAGAATAAATAAGTTGGAGAAAATAGTGGAAATCTTTAATATTTGACATGAAAAAGAAAATAAAGGCTAGGAAGAACTACTGATGTAAAAATAAAAGAGTCTTAAGGATTAAGCTATAAACATTACATTAAGTGTTCTTTTGGTGGTGAGTTGCTGAGGTTTTTTTTTTAAATCTTGGAAATTGGTTATAAAGTAGGATAGTCAAAAAGTAAATGGTGAGATCTTTGAGAAAATAGCATTTTTTTTTTAGTACAAGAATTCACTGAACTCTTTTGCCTATAAAATCACTGCTGATCTTAGCACTGATATTTGTCTCTATAGAAGAGTAAGCCGATCACATTTTCCGTTAAAAAAAGGGCAGTGGCAAAGTCTTCTGTGCACCTATGGAAACTGTAAATATTAATTTATTGGTTGACTAATTTCAGTCTTGCTAAGTTTCATGAAAATTCATGTGATAATGCTTTGCTGCTACATAGGTGGTGGTAATTATTAGATAAAGTTTTAAAATATATATATTAAAAAAGAAGTAGGAAAAAAGGTTCTGATGATGATTAGCACTGGAAAATGTAAGTAGCAATACAATGTTCATTCTACTTCGATCAGCAATATGTATTTAGGATCATGTTGATATTTATATAGCTTTTCCATTTATGTAGGGGTGATGTAGTCCAAAATCATAGTATTCCTTTTGCAACAGTATGTTAAGTAGCATAATGTATACAGATCATCAGGACTGAGTATTAAATTGAGAGCTTTGGGAGGACCAGAAAACAATAATATTTTCACATAATTTTCACATAATAACATTAAAGACTCATGTATAATGGCAGGCATTCATAACAGACATGATAGTGGTACTTTTGAGTTATCATAAAGGTAAATTAATGATTGTTAAAGTTTCTATCCCACATGTATTTCAGGAGAGAAAAAAGTGTATCCCTCCCTTACATAGTAATGTATTACTTGAGAACCTATAGTTATTAGTTTTAATATGGCATAATTATCAATTTGAGTTTTCACTAAGTAGAATAAGCTTGTGAATTTATGTGAAGTTATGAAAGAGAACTTAGAAATCTAAATGCTAACTTTAAAAACAATCACTTGCATAAATTTTCACTAAGTTAACTCAAGCCATTTATTTGGGATATATTTTTCCCACTATATAAATATGTAATGCAATAAATATTAATTTATTTGATCCTATGTGTGCTTAGTGTGAGAGTAAAGTGGTTAAAAAAAACTACAGGTGAGTAATGCATTTAGAAATAATGGTTATTTAAATGTAGACTGAATTACATTTAAATGTAAATTATTTAAATGGTTATTTAAAATGTAGACTGAAAGGACTGATCTACAAGTTGTACACATAGTCACTTTGGTAGAATAGATGAATTTCCTAAATTTCTGAGTAATACAGGTATGAGAAACTTAGAAAATAGATCTGGACTTGCTGAGTAATAGCAATCATGCATTAATTTGAGGAAAGAAAAAAAATGAAGAGTGCTAGAGAATTCAGAGTGCTAGATCTTGAGTCCACAAAGAAGATTTTATAATTATTGGTGTCATCCTGTTGAGGGATATGAAGCTTCTTTCTTGGAGGAAGAATCTGGGATGTGATCATTAACCTTGGACTTGTCTAACTGATGATTTTGTGTCAGGATACATGATACTGCTCCAGAAACCTGAAAGACTCTTTGGGGAGTCTGAAACTCTTAAATAGGAAACTAAAGGACTTTGTGGACTTTCAGGCACTGGTGGTGTTTTATCTGTGCTATCAATTGTACTTCTTGTTGAAAAAAAGGGATGTGTTTTTATGAACTGTGGTCAAAGATATTGTAATAATGTTGAAGGTTTTTGGGTTGGGACAAAGTGGACCCAGGAGAGTCCAGGGAAGACCAGGGAGACTTTCCTTGGAGACTTGTTGATCTTGTCAAGTGACTTTAAACTAAGAATGGAGGTGAAGAAGGAAAAATGCCCTGGCAAAAATCATTAAATCATGTATGACTTGTAAAGAAAAGTAACAGAGGAAGAAATAGCCAGATAAATAGATAAATATATAAAATATATAAATATATAAAAATAGCCAGAAAAAAATATAAGTTAAAAAAAGTATAAAAAGATAAAAATAACTGGGAAGAGAGTTTGCCTTAGTCATAGAGGTTCCTAGAGTTTTTAAATGCAAAAAAATAAAATACAGTGTTATAGGTAGAATGGAACTAATGACTTAAGGTTGGGATTTTTTAATTTAACAAATTGCTAATTAAACACAGAAAGCTTAAAGTTTAATAATAATTATGCCTTGTTCTGCTTGTAAAGTGGTTTTGATCAAAAAAGTATAATAGATACCATAGTAACTTTTTCAGAGTACATCATCTAGCAGTACATAGCACATGATAGTCATTTAATAGATGTTTGTTGACTGACTTACTCAAAGACTTATAAGGTAAAAATGGACTTTCTGCAAGTGAACAGCTATAGAAAGACATGAAGTGGGTAAGATTTTGTGCTGTTCCTTCTGTAGTAGCAACTTTATAGTATTAATCATTTTGGTAGAAAGGAGGAAATGATGTTTAATCTTTAACTTTTGGTCAAATCTCTTTATTAATCATGTACAAATAACAGTTTTAAAACTTTGATACTAATCTTTTTATAGGTCAGTTGGTTAAGATGCTGCTTTATACAGAAGTCACCCGATATCTGGACTTCAAAGTAACCGAAGGAAGCTTTGTCTACAAGGGAGGAAAAATTTACAAAGTTCCTTCCACTGAGGCAGAAGCCTTGGCATCTAGTAAGTAGTTTTATTTTAAATCTTGTTTTCTTAAGTTCCTGGAGTTGGGAGGGGGGACCTTAAGAGATAAGTCCAGCTCCCTCATCTTATAGATGAGGAAACTGAGATGCAGAGAATTTAAAGGAGCTATCAGTGTTTTAAGAATTTTATTTTGGGGGGTTAGCTAGGTGGTGAAGTGGATAGAGCACCAGCCCTGCATTCAGGAGGACCTGAGTTCAAATCTGGCCTCAGACACGTAACACTTACTAGCTGTGTGACCCTGGGCAAGTCACTTAACCCCATTGTCTAACCCCCCCCCCAAAAAATTTATTTTGGGGCAGCTAGGTGGCGCAGTGGATAGATGATTAGCCCTGAAGTCAGGAGGGCCTGAGTTCAAATCTGGCCTCAGACTAAACACTTGACTCTTACTAGTTGTGTGACCCCAGGCAAGTCACTTAACCCCAACTGCCTTAAAAAAATAATTTTATTTTGTTATTATTATATATTATTTATTTATTATGGACCAGTCATTGTGCTAAATCATGAAATACAAAGAAAGTTAAAAACAATCCCCTTTCCCCATGAGCTTATATCCTAATGAGGAAGCAACATGTAAATAGTTAGGTACAGCAGAGTAGATGGAAGATATCTAGTAAGTGGCAGAGCTCAGACTAGAGCTCAGCTTCTGATTCCAGTGTTCTTTCCATTCAGTGAGTTTCTCCACTCCCCTTTCTCTACGCGCTCACTCCCCAAAAAAGTCTTAATTTGATGGGATTTGATGGGACTTAATGGTTAGCCTTAATACAGGCCTGCACAACCTAAGACCTGTGGACTGCTTGTGGCCAACCAAACTATTTCAGGTGGACTGCGAAAAATGTAGAGGATGTGAAAGAAAATAAAGATGTAACGAGTGCTTTGTCCATCCCCTGCTTAACCCGCCTTCCACTAGCACCTATTGTGTCCGTCATGTAACTTAGCGGGTGGATTGCCACTGCACACTTTCTCCTGTTTGTCACATGACCCACAGCAACCAACCATCGTCAGTCTTTCTCTAGTCTGAGAGGAGCAAGAGTCGTATCTTTTTGCTGTGTTTTCAGTTGTTACTGCATTGAACAGGGACAAAGTGAGTTCAGTCACACCACGCGCCACTGCAGCTGATGCCCACTATGTGATGAGCGGCAACAACATGAGGGCTTCTTCCCCCTGCCTTGCTGCGCAGCAGCCCTCCAAGTTATATGGGTGTCTGGCGCTCTCTCCAAGGTCAGACACTCAGTTCAGTATTTCTTTGTATGTGAGTTAGTTGCTGTGGAGATTTTTGATTCTAACATTAAAGTTTTTGGGGTAACTTTGTAAAATGGGTGATAAAAAGAAACGAAAGAGCAAATCAGAACACAGTGTTTAATCTGGAGTGAACAAATAGATCCTTGTTTACTTACACAGGAGACAAAATATCGTGCCTTGTTTGCTGAGAAGTAATAGCTGTTCAAAGGAATACAATCTCTGTCATCATTTTGAATCAAAACCCTAACCCACACCCTTTTACCCATTTACCATTTTTCAGTGTCAGCAGTTTGTTTAAATAGGTCTGGTTGACTCAATTGCATGCCATTCTTCCAGTTTAATACTGATAATGATCTTTATCTAATACTAATAAGAAGCAAAATAAGTAAAAACATGTATATAGTGCTTTAAACTTTGCAAAGCACTTTATGTACATTATGCTATTTGATAAGGGAGGGGTAACTGTTACAATTTTATGAGTGAAGAAATGATGTCCTTGCCTTTGGCTGCAGAGTTAGGACTTGAGCTATGATCATTCTGACTCCAAGTCTAGCACTGTGGGAACTATAGCTAGCTATGCTACATAGCCGCCGAAGGCATAGAGATCTGATTGGGAATGATTCCTATATCAGTAATATGTTTTTTCCTTGTCTGTTAAATATTTTTTATGATGGTATTTGGTGTTTGCCATGTCCAATATTTTCTGACAGTTTTGAAGGAAGTATTGATATTTTGGCATGAGGCATCCGTATAGTCTACAAACCTTTGACTTCTTTCATTTCTTACTCCTGACCCATGTTTTTCAACAATTTTTGCAGTCCTTCTGTAATGCTTTTGCAATGAAGTCACTTGAATGTTAAAATATTTGTTAATTTCATTTGCAAGGCCTTACCAAGTTCTTCATACAATTTCTCTTTCTCCTTATCTTCTCCAATATTTTTAGCACTTAAGCTGCATTTATTTTCATGGTGATCTTTTTGCAATAGGTGCTGCCAGATAAAATGATCAAATATCACATTGAATGATTTTTTTCCACCCTTCAGTGTATGACAAAATCAACAGTGCTGGTTCCTTTAATTTGTTCTCCAAAGAGAATACATGAATATTCTTTCCATTTAGCTGTAGCTTCCTTTCTATTTTATAGTTTCATTTACAGAGAATGTCAGTATTTATGATTTAGATCGCCATTAGCATGTCCACTGACCAAGAGCCTTTTACTTTTCAGCCTTATAAGCTTTGTTATAAAAAAAGAAACATCAGAATTTCATAAATATGTTGATATTTATGACTATATAACTCCTGCATAATAACCAGTTACTAACAATCTGACATTTTATCATCTTAGTCTTCCTTTTAAGATTATGCATAGCTGTAAACCCCATAAATTGATTTCATATGAACTCAGTGTCATCTGTTCCTTTCAAGTAGATAATTTGCTTATCATTTAAATCAGATCAGACTATTAACTCATTTTGAGGTTCTTCTGATTTTCCTATTGAGATGCTTCTGGGTTTTTAAAAAAATTAAATAAAATTTTAATGAAAAAAAGTTAATGCTATCCTCCCCTTTTGGAGATGTCCTCTCTCTCTTATTTTTCATTCATCCTTATACTGCACAGTTCAAGTCCAGCCTCTTCCATGGGATTTGTGCACATCTAATTAAGTAAACATTATGCTTCTATTGTTTACAAGGGTAGTGAGGTAACTACAATATTGAGATATATGCAAAGTTTAGATAAGATATTGAACCTACAGCCTATTAGGGGGAATGTGTTAATACACTGTTAACTATGCTATATAAGAGCACATGTTTAAATGAATTAGAGGCACAAGGAAAAAATGTTGGATGAGTTCTAAAGGGGAGAAGAGTGTGTTGAGCTCATTGGAGCTGTAGTCCAGTGTCACCAACTCTCTTTTGGGTGTTTCAAACTAAATGTCCTGGATAAGGAAAGGAACTAGACATATACAGTCATCCCTTGACATTCGCAGTTATTTGATTATTTATTTGGTTATTAGACCATGGATAATTAAATGGGAATTTTTGGAGATTTGCAGCATACTGTGGAAAATCACAGATGATGCACATGTATAAAGAAAAAGAATTTGGTAAGTCATAAACGCATAAATACTGTATGTTAATGTTTTATCATTTACCCATATCTTATACATAATTTATTATAAACAGTTAAATTTTGTCAAAAAGTTTCAGTGCATTAAAGAACTATTGACTATACATACTGTTTAGAAATGTCTTTGCTTTATCCCTACCATCCAGACTCAGTAATTTTCTCCTGTAGTGAACTTTGTATTTTGTGCTTTTCTAAGGAGAAGGAAATCCTTGAAGCAGTTGCTGCAGCTACATGGGCTGTGAAGACTCTACATAGTGTATGAGAAATTGTGTAGAAATTGCAATTTTTTTTATGGGTGGTGTGTTGTTTTGCGTATTAAATAAATATCAGAATTATTAAAAATAAAGTTTTGGGGTGGGGGCCTAGAGTTATTTGTAGTTTTTTACATTCACTGGGGTCCTGCGCCCCTAACCTCTGTGAATGTGGAGAGATGACTGATTTTGTTACTATAGGACATTCCCAAATGAAGAAATTCCCTTTAGAAGAGAATGACAGCTTCCTAGAGAAGATCAGCCCCTTCTCTGCAACTTTTTGGCGGGGGGGGGGGGGGGGTGGGCAGTGGGGTTAAGTGACTTGCCCTGGGTCACACAGCTAGTAAGTATCAAGTGTCTGAGGTCATATTTGAACTCAGGTCCTCCTGACTCTAGGGCCAGTGCTCTATCCATTGACCCACCTAGCTGCCTCTTTTGCAACTTTTAGCATGAAGAGTTGCCTAGAGTTTTAAGTTCTTTGCCCATGGTTAATCACAGAATCGGTATGTATCACAGGCTAGATTGGAATCCAGGTTGTCCTGGCTCTTTGTCCAGCTTTCTGTCTTAAATTCAACATGTCCAAAACAAAATTTACCTCCGTTTTCCCCAAACCTACCCTTCTTTCAGACTTCCCTGATTTTGTTAAATGCACCACTGTTCTTTCAGTGTCCCAGGTTTGTAACTTTAACAGATATAATTCTCTCTTATACTACATATCTTATTATTTCTGCCTCTACATCTCCCGCATGTAGTCCTTATTCTACTTAAAGTCGCTACTTTATTTTCTCATCACCTTCTGCCTAAATTATTGCAACCGCCTCGTGATTGTTCTCCTGCTTCACATTTCTCCCCACTGTCCATCATACAGTTGCCAAAGTGACTTTAAGTGCAGATCTGACTATCTGACTCCTACTCAGTCAGCTTGGATGGTTCCCTAGTGCCTCTAGGATAAAATATTAACTCTTCTGATAAGCTTTTAAAACCATTTACAACCTGACGCTAACCTGTCTTTCCAGCCTCATTATGCATTATACCTCCCACATGGTACAGTCAAGCCAAATGGTTCTTTTCTTCATGTCTTTATATTCATTTCTGGTTTTTGAGCCTGTGAAGTGTCCATTCCCCTGTGCATGGAATGCACTCCCTCCTTCCCTCTGCTTCATAGAATCTCTTTCTTTGAAGATTCAGCTTAAGTACCACCTTCTAGATGGAGCCTTTAGTGCAGTGGAAAAAGTACTAGATTTGGAATCAGAGGACCTGAGTTCGAATTCTGGTACTGCTATCTATCCAGGTATTCTTGGGTGAGTCACTTAAACTCTCTTGGCTCCAGTTCCTCAGCCATAAAATTGAGGGTTCGGATTAGATTCATTCTAAGGTCTCTTCCTTCTCTCTATGAATGATCTTGTGATCCTTGAAACTGCTAGTTCCTTTCTCCTTAACTACCATTAACTTACTCTCTTTATCTTTATTCTGTGTATATATGTATATGTGGGTAGGTATATACATACATAAATAGAATTATAGGTTAGTAAATGTTACTTTCTCATTAGAGTGAAAACTCCTTGATTGTTTCTTTTGTTTCCTGAGTGCCTAGGATTACCTGGCACATAGGTACTTAATAGATGATGGTTGATTGATTGAGGAGATCAGTGTGGTTTGTGGTTTGTCCTTCATTCTCAAAGAGGACCATGACATCAGGAAGATGATACTATGATTTGCAAGTGAATTGGATTTAAGTGAGAGAGGGCTCTGCAAAGTCACTAGCCTCACTTTTTCCTCTGGAGCCTTTCTGGGTCCACTGGCCAGATATGGATCAGGACAACTGGAGATTGCCCCAGGGGGATCAATGAGGGCTGCATGGAAAGGGAGGCAGTATTTGGTTTGAGCTTAAAAATTGGGTAGGCAAGTCCAGAAAGTAAAACACGACTTGAAATACAGCATAATTTTGTATCAGGTAAGACAATGTGCACACATACAAGTAAGTTTCAAAATATACAAAGAGAATACAAGTTAATTTTGCAGGGAGGCACTAACAACTAAGGAAATTAGAAAAGGGACTCAGGAGGGAATATTTAGTCTGAACTTAACGATTTGAGCGATTCTTAGAGACAAAGTTGCAGAAAGAGTGCATTCTAAGTGTAGAGGACAGGCTGTGCAAAGACAAGGTAGGGATGAATTACTGTGTGGGGAAAAAATGAAGAAGACAAATTTGGTTGGAAGTGTGTGTAGGGCAGTAACAAGTCTGGAAAGGTGGGTTGCCATCTCGTCGTGAAAGACTTTAAATACTAAACAGAAGAGTTTGTATTTGATTGGTAATAGAAAGGTGTTTGAACAAAGGACATGGTCAGACTTGTTCTTTTGCAGTATCATTTGGTAACTTTGTGGAGGATAGATGGAAAAAGGGACTTTACTAATTTCAGTTGGTGAAGCAATATTTAGATCTTTTTGAATCATTGAATCCATGGGAATTGGTCAAGGGTATAGAGAGTAGAAGTGAGAGCTCGAGAGCGAGGGTTAGGTGACAGAATATGGATGAAAACCTAAGAAAGAAGACTGAGAAAAAGTGGCCAGATATGTCATAGAAGAGGCATGGAAATTCAGAGAATTGAGATAATCTCCAATGTCAAATGTAGATATGGCAAAACGAATGAAGATTAATGAAAGGCCATTGTATTTAGCAATTAAGACAATACTAGTAGCTGGAGGGAACATTTTGATTTGAGTAATGAGGTCAGAAGCCAGATTACAATATGAATGTACATGTAGTACCTAAAATGAAACCCCGTTTGTTGTAATAGACAGCTCGGCATATAAAATTAACTATTATGGAAATGATAAAGTAGGGATCATATTCAATACACTTACCTTAACTTTCATAATTAGGGATTTTTCAAATTTTCAAGAAAGCAATGGTTTGGCTAAAAATATTTGTTAGGCAACAGCTATATTTGTGACTCTTTGATAGAACACTTTATCAATTGATGCAATCTGATTTGTCTTGTAGTTATTTGCATCCTCAATTTACCTCCTCTAACAGATTGCAGACTAACTTGAGCACTGTCTTATTCATTTTTTTATCATCCCTAGGCACTATAGCACAGTGCTGTCATAGTAGATATTTAAAGATATTTTACTTGAGTTCTGCCACAACTTTGTGTTTTTCCCAGCTTGTCCCATACAGAGGTAGAACAAAATAGCAGTCAGAGGCTTAGCCACAGCTCCCCTACTATGTTATAAAGTACAAATCTACCTTTTGCTACTTAGGCATAACTCAAGTGTTAAATGTAGTCCAGTCATTAGACTAATTGTTTTTTTAAAGCTTCAGTAGCTTAAAATAACTTGCTGGATAAGAATGCTTATGTAGATGGGAAGGTCTGAAAGTGTTTGAAGTAGAGAGTAATAGTAAACAATGAATGATGTCCTGATTTTTTAACCTTTGAAATATCTTTATTTGAATTAGTGTTTGGACTAAAACCACAGTATATTTAAAAAGTTCAACCTAAAGACTATGTAGAAAGGCTTTTTTTACTTTACAGTTTTTTAAAATAAATGACTAGTAGCACTTCAAGTGAATCTAGTTTGGCTTGGGGGCGGTGAGTGTGGGGAGGGAACCTTAAGCTTCTTTTCTAATGATAATTGAGGGCATATATTACGTAAGGGGGAAAGAAGTACACCAGAATTTCAGAATGTTGACCCATGCTTGATTTCTGATCTCAATCAGGTGGTTCAACTTCCCAGTGTCCATTGCTAATAGAACACAATAGCAACAGGGTACTTGGGAGTATTTTTTTGCAAGAAATATCTTTTGTTACTCTTTTACTTGACAGTGATATTTAAAGGTGTACACTTCATACTTCACTAATTGATGGTGATTAAAGCTTACAGAGCTTTTGTAATTATATTTTAAATGAAAATTTATAATTTTGCTATAGTTGTACCACTTCAGCTTTGGGAAGGTTTATGAAATTGAGGATGTATCACCACTCTTTCCAAAGTTCTTCCTGTAGTATACCTTGAACATTGTATTGAACTTCTTATTCCCAATTATTGACTTGGTTCTTAAATTTTCCTTACTACTCAATTTTCATTATGTTTTGTGTATGTTTTTCTCCCATGTGTGAATATGTTTAGGCCTGATGGGGCTGTTTGAGAAACGTCGGTTCAGGAAATTCTTAGTATATGTTGCCAACTTTGATGAAAAAGACTCCAGAACTTTTGAGGGTGTTGATCCTAGGAAGACTACAATGCGAGATGTGTACAAGAAGTTTGATTTGGGCCAAGATGTCATAGATTTCACTGGCCATGCCCTTGCCCTTTACAGAACTGACGAGTGAGTGTTTGGTATTTTAGTGGTCTTAATTTTGAAAAATCTCAAGATTTCCCCAAAAGGTCCCTTAATTCTAAAAGTACTACAGATTAGCTCTTTCAATAAAACTTCTTCCATAACAGTTGAGATGAAATTGTAGAACCCTAATGCTCATTTAAAGCTATCCTTATTCTCTTCAAATAATAAAGACATATGAAGAGGTCTGTGCGGGGCATATCTTGTAGCGTATTTTTATTTACTGCCTAGTTTTTCATTTGAGAGGCAGCTTGGTGTCATGAGAGAGTTAGGAAAAACTTGGGTCTAAGTCCCATCTCTTAATACATAATGGCTGTGTGTCCCTGTGCAAATCAGTGCCCAAGGTGACTTCCTTGACACTTGAGTTGCGAGTCTATCATTGAAGGGAATTTCTTCACCAAGAGTTCTTATACCATTGAAATCACAGATTTGTCCCCTTTTTCCTCCCAATGTTTGGATACCTAGTCCAGATACTAAGTGTAATTTAAATATAAGTCCATGCTACCCCTGCAGCCTTCTTCATTTTATGTTTTATACTGTTGTTTAAAGATAGACTTTCTTTTTGAAGCTTTCTCTAAGTGCGCTCTTCAGGAATATATCTGTTCTCTGATGTAGGCATTTTAATGAAGCAAATGCATTATTATACCTTGAAGCGTAAATCAGACACTTAGGAACAGTACAGTTGAGAAATGAGATTAGTATTAGAAATAAATAGCTATAAGTAAAACCTTTACTAATTGTCATTACATTTTTTTCAGCTATTTAGATCAACCATGTTATGAAACCATCAACAGGATTAAACTTTATAGTGACTCTTTGGCAAGATATGGCAAGAGTCCATATCTTTATCCACTCTATGGCCTTGGAGAGCTGCCCCAAGGATTTGCAAGGTAAAAATCCATATTTCTGATGCCTGAGTATAAATGTGATCTTCTAATTAAGTTAAATTAGCTGATATTAATGTGCAGCATGGAAAACTTCATTGGATCACATCGCCATAGTCATCTCAGGAAGAGGGTATATGTTTATTTGATATCACTTGAGACATTTTTGGAATTACCATAATTTCATATGTTCCTTTCTTTTGAATATCCTTCACAATAGAAAATTTCTGTTCTTTATGAGTGAATTTGATCCTTGGGAAAAACAGAACAGTTCATAGCCAAGTTTAGTGTTAACAGGGCGAGTAATAATATTTTGGTTCAGAAAGTATGACTATAGCACAGAACTGAATTTTCTTACATGGCGTGGTCCTGAAATCAGTTCTAAAATTACTGCTACATCATTGAATTAAATATGTGGTTGCCCAAGGTAACTTCTGCAGAAGTTTAATATTCATTTGGATATTTTAAGTTCCAAAACATTTTTTAGAAGGTCCCATTACCATATGTTTATGATGACATAGAATTTGCATGTCTAATTTTGAATTACGGTGTTCAACAATGGTTTTTTTTCCCCAGAAGGTGTTTTTTCTTGAAAAAAAAAATCTTGAAATATCAGAGAAATGAAATATTTTCTGAATTTTCTGTATAAAACAGCAAAGAAGAACAAACAGTAAAGAAGGATTAAAGGACATTAGAGGCAAACAGAACTGGAAGTTGAGAGCTTTGGTTCCAGCCCTCTCTGCCATTTGCTCCTTGTGTTGTCATTTTTGACAGGTTATTTAACCTCTTGGGACCTTAGTTTTCTTCTTTGTAAAATGAGGGAGCTAGATCTTTCACTTCAAGTTGAATTCTAAAGGTCAGAAGCATTAAAGATTTTTGGTAAAGCAGAATGGGTATTACTAACAGGTCTCATGTTTACAGGAGCAATATTAATGGTCATGGTCACTTTTGGCTTTGAAATGAGTGTTATCTTGCAAAAATTCAGTCAGTAATGTTTATTTGAGTATTCACTGTGTGGAAGACACAGGTAAAGTGAAAAATAAGAGAAAATGTATATCCTACCTTTTAGGAACTTCACATCTGGTTGGAGAGACAGAAGATTAAGGAAGGTAGAAATATGATTATCTTTCTTTTAAAAAAATTCAGTACTATTTTATTTTCACTCAATGATCAGCCTTCTCACCTCCTCACTTTCCTCTCCCTCCTCCCCATTGAGAAATCAAGAAAAACAGAACTACACAAATGTGTATAGTCAAGCAAAACAAAATTTCTCATTGGTCATGTCTAAAAAAATAGGTCTCAATATCATTGTAACCTCAAAAAAAAAAAAAGCAACCCCAGAACCTTAAGTTGAACTTTGGTGACTGAATCAGACACAATATTCCTCATTTCCAGCTTTTAGACCACTTTAGTCCTTGGTAGTAATGTGCCAAAGATGATAAATATTTAGAATGAGGATTTCCCTTTACTCGTCATAAATGCTTTCTTACAGGGCCGCTCGGAATTAACTTTATGTGGTATGCATGTAAACTCTGATTATCAGATCTCCCTGGACCTAAGTTGCTGAGATAGGGGCTATTGTTTTTGGCCTGGACCTATGATAATGCATTATCTTTTCCCCTGAAACCTTCCTCTCTTTCTAGTTTTTACCCTGTTGCTGTCAAAGGTATCACCATCCTTATAGTCCCTCAGGTCTGCAAGCTTGACTTCTTTTTCTCGCTTACTGCCCATATCCAATCTGTTGCCAACTCTTGTCGTTTTTACCTTTGTTATGTTGCACAGGTATCTCCTTTCACTCCACTGACACTGCCACCACCCTGGTATAGGCGCTCATCACCTCACGCAGCGATGGCCTGCTGATAGGTCTTTCTGCCATACATCCCTCCCTACTCCAGTCTCTCCTCCATTCAGCTGTCAAAGTGATCTGATAAGTGTGACCATATCGCTCCCCTTATTCAGTCGACTCTATTAGCTCCCTATTATCTTTAGAACCAAATATTAAATCATCTGTTTGGTTTTTAAAGCCCTTCATAACTTGACTCCTTCCTACCTTTCCAGTCTTCTTATACCTTATTTTTACTAGCTGCCCTCCACACTTATAATTCTCTCCCTCCTTATCTTTGCTTCCTGATTTCCTTGGCTGTCTTCAAGTCCTACCTAAAATCCCACTTCTACAGGAAACCTTTCCAGATACCCATTTATTCCAGTGCTTTCCCAATGTTGATTATGTCCCAGTTTATCCTAAATATAGCTTGTTTGTACATAGTTCTTTTCTTGTTATCTCTCCCATTAGACTGTGAACTCCTTGAGAGCAGGGACTATATTTTGCCTTTCTTTGTATTTCCAGGGCTTAGCACTTGTATCCCTGGAACATAGTAGATACTTAATAAATGTTTATTGACTGTTGAATGATTTCATTGGTGCAGGAAGTTCCCAGTGTGGAAAATTCCTCCACCAATGAATATCAGAGATTTGTTTGTTATTCTTAGTTGCCTGGGATTTTTTTTTGTAATTAAAAAACTTAAATGTATGAAATGAAGATGTCAAAAGCCAAATTTTATTGAAATATCTTAGCAGTTGTAATTTTTAATGCTTCTTAACAATTATCCATCTTTTAAATAGTAGTTAAATGCTGTCTTACAGGGTCACTTGGAATCAGCTTAATGTGCTTGCTATACATGTAAATCTTGATTACCAAACTTCCCTGGAATCTGAGTTGAGATGAGAGCTATTGTTTTTGGCCTGGACTCAATGATAAGTCATTATCTTTCCCCCTCAAACTCTCTCTCTCTTTCTAATTTCCCTATTGTTGTCTGAGGGTACTACCCTCTGGTAGGAAGCATCACTTCCATTAAGAAACTGTAGCATAACCGAAGAAACTTGTTTTTAGAAAACACTTTAGGAAGTTGTGTTTAAAAAAAAAAACAAAGCAACTTAAACTACTTTATCTAGCCAATCTCCAAGTACAGGGGTCAGTAATCTTTGAATTATTAATTAAAAATTCTTAGCTTTTGAGATTACACAGCTTTGAGTTCTGTAAGTGGTGCTCTTGATTTTTAAAATTTTCATTTTTTATTCTGAACTTAAACACCAAAAAAGAGAATTTTCATATATGTAGAACATGAAAAAGGATTGTAAAAGAAAACAGAACCTCCAGTTTCCTAGTGCTTGCTTTAAAAAACAACAGCATAATTCCACAAATTACTTTCAAAACTATCCTGCTTATCTGGGTTTCTTTCTGTTCCCTACTTGCCATTCTTTTTTGACGTCACTGTTTTTTACTTTCTTTCCTTCTTCCCCCTTCTCCCATATTAAAAAACGAGGGGGGGGAACCTCCTCATAACACATAAGAATTGTTAAGCAAAATAAATCTATACGTCACCCATGTCCAAAAATGTGTCTCATTTTTCACTTGTCATTCACTGTAAGAAGGTATGGGTAGCATATATTATCAGTCCTCTGAATCATGCTTGGTCATGGCATCGACTAGAGTTCTTAAGACAAAATTCTTAAGACTTTGTTTTTCTTTATAATGTGGTCCTTGTATAAGTTGTTTTCTTACAAGTACACACTGCATCAGTTCATACTATCCAGGATTCTTTGAAATTCTCTTTCATCATTTCTTATGGTTCAGTAATAGTCCATTTACATTCATCTATCACAGTTTGTTGAACTATTCCCCACTTAGATTCTAGCTTTTTGCTTTTTTTGTTTTACTTATAATTCTCTCATCAGGATTAGGAAGTGGGTTTTTTGGTAACTGTTCCCTTCCCAGCATTATCTCCTCTCTTAAGCCCCCATCTCCTCTTGAGTTTGATGAATTTCTACACCAAACTCTCTTTATTCATCTTTCTTTTATCTGTTTCAGATAAGATGGGGTTCACCTGATGCCCACTGCACTCTGTCCTTCTTTCATGTTTGGGTACTCTTTTTTCCCCACAACTCAGTTAAGAAATGACAGTGTATTTCTTTTATTTTCCCTTCTCTTTCAATCCTTTTCAGACTCTCAGGACAGAAGCAGTGTATCACCAGGACCTCTCTTTTTTCTTACTTAATACCCTTAATTATCCTTTGAATATGTTATGGTTCTGAAGGAATAGTTGTTTCTTCTCTCTCTTTTAGCACTAAATCATTGTATGGAAGCAATAAATTTACCTTTCTAGATTTCTTTGAATTTTTGTGTTTGTGTTTCGTAATTCCTACTCAGTTCTGGTCTTTTCATCAAAAATATCCAAAAGTTCTCCACTAATGGTTCCTGTAGGGTTTTACTCAGGTTTTCAGGCTAAGTTATTCTTTTGCCTGTTGGAATATTGTATTCCAAAATCTCCCATTTACAATAGAAGCTTCCAGGTCTTTTATGTTCCAGACTGTGGTTCCTTGGCACTTCAGCTACTTATTTCTGGCCACAGTAGTATTTTGTCTTTGACATGGAAGCTCTGAATTTTGGTTATGTCATTCCTTGTATTCCTCCTTTTAGGAGGCAATTAATGGATTCTTTCTGTTTTTACTTTACCCTCTGGTTCTAATTGATCTGGTCAGTTTTCATTTAATGGTTTCTTGAAATACAGTATCTAGGATTTTTTTTTTTATCATGATTTGCAGGGAGTGCAGTAATCCTTAAATTATTTCTCCTTTACCTGTTTTCTAGGGCAGTTTTTGATACCAGACATCTTACCTTTTCTTGGATTTTTTTCTAATATTTCTTGCTGACTTGTAGATCCATTGATTTCTGTTTGTTCTTTTCTAGTTTTCTCGAAGTCCACTTCTTTGGTAAGGTTTATCACTTTCTCTTCTAAACTCTTCTTCCATTTTTTTTTTTTCTCTAGAGCTTTTAATTTTTTATTTCTAGCTTCATATGTTCTAGATATTCAAGTAGTCCTTGTGGGAAAAAATCCAATTTTCATTTTGCATCTCTCCTTATAGTTTTTCTCCTTTTGGGGAGCTCTCTAGATCTACAATATTTTTTTATACTGGTTGGTGTTGTCTTTGGTTTGCTCATCTCCAGCTTTAATTTTTTAGGGCTTTGTAGTAGTGCCAGGCTTGGTCCCTTGCTGGACTTTTGGTTAGAGTGGTCAGCCTTGCATGATCTTGTGTGGTTCCTCCCAATTTCTGTGTTTCTCTCCCCACCCTGATCTTTTAGATTTAGAGCACTGGATCTTCAGGGCCCTCTCTGATGTCTCAAGATCAAGTGCTAGGTGCTTTTCTGGTGTAAGTGTTGCCAGGCCTCACTGGTCACCACCTACCACTGCTTCTTGAACTCTTGAGGTCCCTTTCCTGGGTCTTCCTCTGGAGTGGGGTAGGGAATTGCAAGCTATTCATCTCTGGGCCCTTTTTGCTGACACTGGGAGGTTGCTAGCTTGTTTGCCTGAACAAGTGCCTGTGCTGGCTTTGCTAGCAGCCCCTTTTCCTATTACTCCATGGCTTCTGACTGACTTTTTGTGCAGTTCTGGGGTAGAAGATGTCACTTACTGTAGGTTTTCATTGGGTTTCTTGATAATTGTTTGGTCTAGTGTGGATTTCAGCTTTTTGCTGAGTTGATATGTGGCTGCTGTGCAATCTGCTTCTGTTCACGCAACCATTTTAGTTAAAAGTCTCTATTAACTTTGAAGTCAAAGCCTTTCAGAAAGAAGTGAGTTGATGGAAGTTTCGTTCATAAAAGCTATGGAGAGTTTTTATCAGCTCGAACAAAATTCAAAACTTTTACTGAGGTGTATTTTTTTCCTTTCATTTATAGGCTAAGTGCCATTTATGGAGGTACCTATATGTTGAACAAGCCAATTGAAGAAATCATTGTAAAAGATGGACAAGTGATTGGTGTGAAATCTGAAGGAGAGGTATGGTAGCTTTGGATTTGGGGAAGATATCTGATATGTAACAAAATTTTATTATTTGTGAGTACTTACTATTGCAGGCTACATCTGATAGCTTCCAGATTGTGCACGAAATCCATTTAACACCACTAATAATCATAATAGCTCAAATATATATAGCACTTGAACATTCTGTGTAGAAAATTGCTTATAACTATTTTGAACGAGTTAGGTACAAGCTATGGCACTTAAATAGTCAAATGATAATTAATTTAATAGTATCTTCAGTGTTGATTTCTGCTTTATGTCTCTAGAGTCATAAATTTTGTATGAACTTAATTAGTAAAGGTTCAAAGTAGTACTTTACACAAAGTATATTCTTGGCAGCAAATTAGTTTTTGTTGGGTTTAGTTCTACTTTTACTTTAGATGTGTGCTGGTGTAATAGAAAAAATATTATTTGACCAGAAGTCAGAGGATCTAGATTCCAGTCTCAGCTGTTAAGGTTGGAATACATGATCTCTGAGGTCTCTTGCAACTCCTGTGCTATGATTTTATAATTTTGTTAACGAAGTCATTTGGTTAACAGTAGTAGCTTATACTTGTTTAACATTATGACAAGGTTATATGATATGGTGCTAATCTTAGAATAATAAGTTACTGTCTAAAGTTCTATTTTTAGAGAGGTTAAATCTTTGGACCCTGATTAAAATGCAAATAAACTTGAAAGGGAAAAGCTATTATTAGACATTTGCTAAAGAGAATGAAGGGGTAGCTGGGTGGCACAGTGGATAGAGTACTGGGCTGGGAGTCAGGAAGATGAGTTAAAATCTGTCCTCAGACACTAACTAGCTATGTCACCCTGGGCAAATCACTTAACCCGGTTTGCCTCATTTTCCTCATCCGTAAAATGAGCTGGAGAAGGAAATGGCAAACCACTCTGGTATCTTTGTCATGAAAACCACAAATGGGGTCAAAAAGAGTTGGATGTGACTGAAAAATAACTGAACCACCACAGTGAAAATGAAAGATAGATTTTGATGGATTTGGGGAGAAAAGATAATTGTATTGGGCTCTGGGGCAGAGGGAAAAGAGTGGAAGAGAGAGATTGGGCAGCTGAGTTGCTGCTTGTCTTGCTTTGTAATTTTGTATAGGGATAGCATAAATATTTGACATATAAAAGAAACAGGTGTGTAGGCATAGAGATTTTTCTGTATATTTTGTCACTTGTACCAAGGTAAATCATCTCTGGAATGTTCTTTTCTCTTGTTATTTAAGCATTTGCTGTCAAGGATCATGTCCAAATAATTTCTCTTATTTCTTGGCTTAGTTGAAGTCTCATTAAGCATATTATGGAGGCTAGCCTGTCAGCTTTCAGCTAGGCTAGGAGTAATACGAAGGTTTAAGGTTTTTCTTTGTGGTGATTAAAAAGGTTTGTAATGGGAAAGGGGAATTTGTGTATAGCTGTCCCAAGCGGTGCTAGATTTGGCCACATGAGCCTTTACCCTGACTCTTCTTGAAGCTTAACCTTGATATGAATATGAAATGGCTTGAGGACAAATGTCATAGTAAATAAAATATCTTATTTTTTAAATGACCTTTTCTTTTTGCCTTTCATTCTTCTTTGTATAATGTAGCTAACTAAAACCTTTTTTTAGAATTTAAAGTTTGTAAGTGATGCTGCAGGAAATAAGAATCTGTATATTTGTTTATTGGCAACTTCTGAAATGCCATTTAAGTTACCTACTTCAGGGGTCAAAATTTTTGTTTATATAGTACGTATGATATGGAATCCACATACATACTATGGAAAGTTGTTAAACTGCTGCCAAAATAGTGCAGTGTATTGGAAAGAGCCCTAGATTATAAGTCTGAAATCAGAAGACCTGGAGTCTAGTGTCTCCCCAAACTTCCATCTCCCTCCATCCCCCCAACCAACCTTCCCACCATTCCTATTACTGTCAAGGGAATCGCCCTCATCCCTGTCACCTGCGTTTCTGTCATCCTTGACTCTTCACTTGCATTTACTCCACGGTGAATATACAGTCTGTTGTCAGATATTGTCATTTTTACCTTCACAACATTTGTTGTGTAGTTCACCTCCTCTCCATGTTCAGTCACCATTGCAGTATTGCGATAGCTTCACATTGGTTTCCTTGTCTTAAAAACTTTCCTTATCTCAGTCCTCCATCCTCCACTCAGTTGTCAGTGATTGTCCTAAAGTTCAGATCTGACCGTGTGGCACTCCTCCTACTCAGTAAACTCTAGTAAGCAACTTGTTAACTCCAAGCTCAAAGAGAAAATCCTTGTGCATTTAAATCCTGTCACAATCTGGCTCCTTTCTACATTTCCAGTCTTCTTACACATTACTCTCCTCCACTCTTAAGATACAGCTGTAGTGGTCTACTTACTGTGTCATGCCCAGTACACTATTTTTCAGCACAGTTGGCTGTTCTGCCATGTGTAGAAGGCTCTCTTTCCTCAACTCTGCTTCCCATCTTCCCTGGCTTCCTTCAAGACTCAGATCAAATTATACTTTCTTTAAGAAGCTTTTCTCAGTACTCTTTTAGTTCCAGCCATCTGAGATTACCTTCCATTTACACTGTATATATCTTGTCTGGATACAGTTATTTGCATGTTGTCTACTCCTTGAGAACAAGGACTATGTTTTTGCTTTGTTTTTGTTTTCTTTTGTATCCCCGGAACTTAGCACAAGCCCAGCGCCTACTTGGCACATGAACTGTTTTTTGCCTTTATTTCTACCTCTAGCACTTAGCCCAGTGCCTGTCACATAGTAGATATTTAATAAATGTATATTGACTTGGGATTATTATGTATTCTAATAAATCCTTGTTCACTGATTGCCCTCTGGGTTCATTTCCTCATTTGTAAAATAAAGGGATTAGACTAGATGACAACTTTTCACCTCTGACAATTCCAGTTCCAGCTAATTCCCAGTTTATTTATCTAACTTTATGCACAATTAACTTTACTTAGAAATACTATTTTTTCCAAGAGAAGTTGTCATTAGAAACACTTTTTAAAGTGTAAACTATTGCTTTACTGTGCTGAACAATATACTAAATCAGTCTTCTTTTGTTTCAGATTGCCCGTTGTAAGCAGCTCATCTGTGACCCTAGTTATGTAAAAGATAGAGTAAAAAAAGTAGGCCAGGTGATCAGAGTTATCTGTATCCTAAGCCATCCAATTAAGAACACCAATGATGCCAATTCGTGTCAGATCATCATTCCACAGAACCAGGTCAACCGGAAATCAGGTGAGTTGTAAAGACTGGAGAATGATAAAAAGGTGTTATTGTGGGGGATTTTTGTTTTGTTATGGTATATTTTAAACATGTTATAATGAAAAGAAACATAGTTTTTAACAGTTGCAAGCTTTAAAAAGTTTAAGAATTGAAATCTACAAGTTAAATTTGTAGGGAGCTTAATATAGTCATATCATTTCCAAACTAATGGGACAGAACCTTTTATGCTAGTTTTTGTCTCATTACTTAACTTGATTTTACTTATTTGTAAGAAAATTGTTGTTATTCACTAGCAGTTTTCCTTCTTACATGATAAAATCAGGGCTTGAGACAAAAAGTGGATGGCATCACATCCAGCTTAACATCGACATATATAAGTTGGAAATGTATTGATGTATAATGTGTAACATTGATGTATATAAATGGGAAAAAAAGGGAAAAAAGCAGTTAACCAGTAAGTTAATCAAGTCCCCACCTCTTCAAATTAGGGAGGGATCTCTGATTTGGGGTCCAGCTTGGTCACAATTCAACGTTCAGATTTGATTTTTGTTGCCCTTTCCATTACATTATTGTACCAATAATTATAGATGTTGATTTTTTATAATTGTTTTACTGCCTATATTTCACTCTTCATCCATTCATGTTTGTAGTCTTCATACCCACTTTTTAAAACACAGTATTATTCCATTATATTCATGTGCCGTTTATTTAGTTAGTGCCCAATTGACAGGCACCTGCTTTTTTCCAGTTCTTTGCTAGTACAAAAAGTACTATAACTGATCTATCTTTAACTGTTCGGGTGTGTATGTTTAGCCCTGGACTCAAGTTCTAATATCATTTCTACCTAAGACATTTTGGTTACTTTCTTACGAAAACTGCAAGCAATTTGTTATCCTAGAGAATTGCTTGGGGCAGTGAGGGAGCGAGTAGGTGACTTGCCCTAGGTTTTTAAAAGAAATTTAACTTGGGGTACCATTGTGTACTTTTTTTCTTTGTAAGAAATCACATGATTTTAGAGTTAGATAGGACGTCTGTTGCTTTTGTTAAGAAAAGACAGACTCACAAGAATAGTGATTTTGCCCAAGATCACACAGCTAGATATATAGGTGGGATTAGAATGTGAGCCTTGACTTGTGTTTCCTGTGCTTAAAATTTTGGCTCAGATATAATCCTAGCCAAGAAGTTTAAAATGTAAATGATGAAGAAAATACATGACTTAAAATGTATAAACACCCAACACTTTAAAAATGTAGAAAATGAGCTTTAATGATTTGTTGTAGATATCTACGTTTGCATGATTTCTTCTGCACACAATGTGGCTGCACAAGGAAAGTATATTGCCATTGTTAGTACTACTGTGGAAACCAGAGAACCTGAGAAGGAAATTAGACCAGCATTAGAGCTTTTGGAGCCAATTGAACAGAAGTAAGTGTCTTATTTATAGATTGTTTCTGTTGATTGAAAAGTAGGTCCTGGTTATTAATTCTGCCTTTCATCTTGGTTCCAGATGAGGTTGCTAAATAGACATAGAGGAAATCTAATTTCCTTGCCTTGAATTTTTACCTTCGTTAGAAAGGTACTGATTTTTCAAAGCAAAGCCTTCACTGAAGGCTTGTCACCATGTTTCCTCTTCAAATATGTTGAATGTTTCTGGTGCCAAATAATCTTGGGAGCACTGTGTTGTACATTCAACAAACATTTATCCCGTGCCTGGGATAGATACAAAGATAAAGAAAATGTGTTCCTTACCTCATGCAATTTACATTCTGACCCCATTCTCTTTCAGATTTGTTAGCATCAGTGATCTGTATATTCCAACTGATTTGGGAACAGAAAGTCAGGTTAGTATTGGGATAGGAGTTATGTAAATTTGGGTTTTCCCAGGAGGCATTTCAAAATCATTTCAGTGTCTCAACTTTATTTATTTCTCCAGATCTTCATTTCCCGCACTTATGATGCTACAACTCACTTTGAGACAACTTGTGATGATATTAAAGACATCTACAAGAGGATGACAGGGTCTGAGTTTGACTTTGAAGAAATGAAACGAAAGAAAAATGACATTTATGGGGAAGACTAATAGCAGTAATATGCTAATATCCAATTAGGAGAAATTTAAATTTGAGCTAATACAGAGTTATATCAAGAACCTAATGAACATTATATGAAATCAATATTGTATGGCCTGCTTTTGTAATCACTTCTTTGAGATTGAAGAATACTATGTCCCTAAATATTCCCTCTCTCCCCCCCTTTTAATATCATGTCTTTCTCCTGGGATGACTGTCCAGAAGTGACAGCTTGCTAACATTATGTTCAATTTCCCTGAGTGTGCGTGTGTGTGCGTGTATGTGTGTTAAGGGAAAGCACAGTTTAAACATACACTCACTGAGACAGACAAATAGAACTTGATACAGTATTTGTATCTTTTAATACTATAGCCTTTTCAATTGTATGCCTATTGGGTTCATGTTGATTCTATAAGTTCATGTGCTATTTCTCTTAAACATTAAGAAAACTTTAAATTGAACACTCCACTGTTGGGCAGCATCCCTCCAAGTCCCCATAACCTTTGGTTTTTGTCTCATGTCAAGTATTATGACAGTGCCCAAATATCATAGTCATTAGTTACGGGCATATATTTCTAACTCGGCTTTAGCTTTTGAAACCATTTACATAATTTAGGAGAGGCCTGTGTGCCTAAAAGCTCTTTTGGTGTTTTAATCTAATAAAACTGATAAAAAAAAAAGTAATAATAGCAGGCGAGATGTGAAAGTACCTTCTATCCCCCTGACTTTTTGGATGGACCAAACCACAATGCAGTATTAATTTGACAGAGCCTCCAAGTCCGTGATGGCTCTAAATGATTTCTGTACTGCAAAGTAAAGCCAAATTCTGGAAACCAGTACCCGTTTATTGGTCTATTTGCTTCCTACTGTAACTAAAAGGTTGTCATTTGACCTGCTGTTTCCTATATTAGACTTTTGCAAATAGCAGTCTCGAGAACTTACACACTAGAAATGTTTAAATTTGGAGGCAATAGAACTATTAAACTGTACCATCTACATAGGATTTCTCTTTCACGTGACTCAACATAATTTAATCACAAAATTCCTAAGCGGGCATCATTTGTCTAAAATGATAAACTAGGTTAGTTTAAGGGGAGAGTCAACAGTCTTTTATGTGTAAGTTAGTTGTTTTGGTTTGCTTCCATAAGATGTTAGAATGAATAGTTAAAGGAAGGAAGACTGACCTATGAATCTACAAATTTCATGCTATTAGCCAAATACCTTAGGTAGGGGGGGATTGGTACCAAATGGGAATGCTGGAGGGGAGAAGATTGCCAAGTACTGTGAGAAATCTGGGTAGTAAAGGCTCACTTATTTTATGTGGGCATAGCTGTAGTCAAAAGAATGTAGACTCGATGTGTCAACAATGGGTGGTAGGAAGAGTTTGACATGGAAGCTAATATTGACTCTTCCCTTTTCCAGTATTCTTCCTTCCTCTTACCTCAAGGACTATTGCTAACCCTGTTAAGTCATCAACTTCCAATTTTCTATCAAGGGATTAGTCTGCTGTTTACTGCCTGTAAGCCTCAAAGATGTAATACAGTGGTCCAAAGCCACTGTTTTATAATAAATCACTGGAGTCATGTCATGTAACAGCCACCCCAAGTTAAAGTGAAAAAGTACCTGGTAAATTCACGCACTATAGTTGTGGAACATAAATAAAAATTTCCTTCTTAGGGACAGTGGCACTCAGGTGGCCAAATAATGGGCCAAAGATCAATGTTTCAGTGCTACAAGATGTCCTTTTAATTTCTGTGGCAATGTGTTGGTTTCACATGTTCCCTGTCACTTATTAGCTGTGTAACCATGGGCAAGTCACCTCTCACAATCCTTGGAAGTAAAACAACATGAAACCTGGCAGTAGCCAGCATAGAACAGTGTGGCCAAAGAATTAGTTTGGGTTTTATTGGCCAATGGGTAGCTATATCCTAACTAGATACTTTAAAAAAACAAAACAAAACTATACACCGGACCTGTGGCACAAGACACCCAAATCTGGATCCCTTGAAAAGCTAGTATTTTAGTTTAGTGTCTTAAATTGCACAAAGCTTTTTATGGGGAATACGAGAAAATATGGAGCAATTAACACCAACATTTAAAAGAAATTCCTAATGGGGACTGTTTTTGTTTTTAAATGTATTATTAGTTATAAAATCATTCAGGGAAAAATATTTTATTTGTTTTTATTTTTTAAAAATTAGGTATAAAACCTATCCTCCAAATAGATACCACATATCTTATACAAAGTTTCTGTTTAGCTTCGAAGTGTTCAAAGACTACTATAGAAATTTTTGAAATACCATAAACATATGATTATTCCTCAGAATACTGATGTTGTAGTGAGCTATTTACAAAAACCGAACAGTTGCAAATAGGTACCATTTAGGAAAAAAAAAAATTCACGTAGTGTAGCAGTCGACTAATACATTTAGGTTATTTTTCTAGAAGATGGGTAAAGTGTATAAAAAGAATTTCAGACCATAACACGTACTACTTATGCCTTACTTACATAAACAACCATAAAAAATACTTGTTAAAATGGACTTTTACGGTGGTTCTCCAACTTGTAGACTTTCAGTAACATTTTCCTACTTTTTCATTTTAATAATGTATGCTACTAACTTTGTTAAAATGCATCCTGTTTAAAAATAATTTAAAACCCTATAATCCAAAGCTTAACAATTAAATCTACTGTGCCATTCTCAAATAAACCACATTTCAGCAGACCAGATTGTATTGAAAGGAAAATGATCCTCTAAGGATGTCTGCATTATAATGAAAAATTTATAGTGTAAGTGTGAAAAGTGGATTCATTTCTTCCTGAAGGTGTCTGGGGTTGGGGAGGGCAGAACATGAAGAGAGGGAATTATTTCATCATTGTAGTTAGTCTTGGAAGTCATCAGAGCTGGTGTTTTCATCACCTAGACAAAGATAAAATTCACAATGATTAACATAACTAAAACAAAGTGACCCAGAGCTAGGCAAATGTGTTCACTTCCAAATCAAAATAGATCATCCTGGAAATCCAGGTCAATGAAGATAACTATCATTGAGATATAAACAAGCAATCTTGGACTGGTTATGTGGTTGTGTATATACTTTTGTGTATATACTGTTCATGGTGAAAGCAACTTGTTACTGCTGGTTTCTCTAACTCCCTTTAATGACTTTTAGAAAATGTCATTGGGAGTTCATAAAAATTTACATCTACATTAAGTATATGCCAACAGAACATAAGTTCATTCTGGTAGCTCCTACCAAACTTAAAAGGTTTCAAATATAGGCTTAGTGACATAGCTAATCAACTTTCAGGGTCTGTCCATTTTCCAAGAATTAGCTAGTCAAGTCACCACCAAATCAGTTATAGGAAAATGATGCAGGCTATATTTTCTTAAGACTTAAGTCACAGAAGAGTTGCAGTATGCATTTGTGGAAAGAGTATCTACAATTAGATAACAGGTTATTCAAGAATTGAAATAGGGCTTATATGCTTATTTTCACAATCCCTATGAGACAGTAGAAGCATTTTTCTCCTGCAGATGAGGAATGAAATGCAAATTTCTCAAGATTACATGGCAATTTTAACCAGATTTCTAAGATTGTTCTGGTTTTCTTAAGATGTGTATGTATGTGTGTGTGTGTAATACTGATTTTTATATTGTATGTTTATAATGATGTTTAATCACACAAGGTAGAAAAGGCTATGACAAAATTATACTCACCAATAGGTTGCTTTAAATGGAGCTGCTTTTTGTACAATTCCAGCAAAGTTATTTATATCAGTAACAAGGATTCCATTATTTTCAAATATTTCTCTGGAGGTATTGAGTTTATCTATTTAAAAAAAAACAAACTACTAATTACTTGGTTGTCAAAAAGAACACTAATGCAAGTTCAGGTGCTATTTCCAGCCTGCTGCACCCCATCCCTGCTCCCCGCCTATCCCTCTCTCCTTCACCGGTTAGTGACTGGAAGCAGCCTTATGAATAAATAGCAGTAAACACAGGAATTCACCGGATATAAAATCCAAGAAAGAAGCAGCAGTAAAATGGCTCCATCTACAAAATCACATTGTGGGTAAACAAGCTAGGTGAAGACTGAGGCTTGGAATGAAACTCATGACAAGAGTATGGACTCTTAAAGGGTAAATCTTACTCAAAACAACAGGTTAAAAGGGGACAGTAGTGTTGTATGTTAAGATGAAAAAATCCAGGAAGCAAAGGAATTCCGGAAGCCCTGAGATATAGATCAATGAAGGCTGTCAGTGTATAATACAGATGAGAAATTTGGGAAACCACAAACCTGGCACAAAGGCATTAGTAACACAGGACTTCAATTATCAGGCCATATGCTGGAATTAACTTTTTTTTCTTTTTTTAACATTGGGGTTAACTGACTTCTTGCCTAGGGTCACACAGCTAGTAAGTGTCAAGTATCTGGTCTGAGAGTGCATTTGAACTGAGGTTCTCCTGACTCCAGGGCTCTATCCACTGCACCACCTAGCTGTCCCCTCACTTATCTTTAAAACAATTTAAGGAACTGTGATTGTAAGGTATGTAACTCTGAAGAAGAGGCAGGTTAGGTTACTAGGGGATTGAGGGAGGGGATATGTGACCACCCTCATAAGAGTTTATGATGGAGGAGAGGGAAGTGGGCAGAATCTGACAAGCATGCTGTACTTAGAAGAACAAAGGGTTCAGAGAAAGGTTAAGTAGGATTCTACAGTTTAAAATTCTCCAGGGGAAGTTTGCCCAGAGAAATGGGAAATTCTCAAGAAATAAATTCTGAAGACACTAAGAGAATTCAAATGAGGAGAAAAAAGTATAGTTGTTCAAGAAGACCAATACTCGGCAACCAACTTAGATTTTAAAAAGTATGAATACAAAAATAGCAGGTCTCTGGAGCACTATATCTCAACATCTAAGTTGGGCAATGAAAAAACTATGAAAAACAATTTTTTAAAAGCTCTGCTGGGAAGAAAAATATTCAAGGGACAGGACCACTTCCTGGTGAGGATGGGATTAAAGGATAACAGGAAGAAAGTTCAATTCTTTCCTCTGAACCGCTGAGGAAAATTATCTTCAGACCAGAAAAGGACAGAACAACAACAAAATGGCAGATGGAGTTGAGATCAATGATGTCAACTCACAAGAAAATGCCTCATGGTTAATAACTACCATTTTTGTTAATAATTTGAATTTATTCTCTTCTACAGAAGAAAAGACCTAGGAGAAGCAACAAAGCTTCAATTATATGAATAAAGCTGGTGAAATGGAAGAGAGAGATGAATAGCTTTTTTTGGCCCCTGAGTATAAAGAGTAATGGGATAGAAGATGCAAAAAATCAGATTTAAGCTTGATACAATGAAAACTTAACAATTTAATCCAAATGTGGAATAGTGTAGTGGGTTCCCCCCCTCACATTAAGTCTTCAAGCAAAGGATAGATGATCATTTGCCAGGTATGTTGTAGAATGGATTCTTTCGCCTGTATACATTGGCCTAGATGTCTATTTTCTGATAGACGTTCTTGAGAATATTTGATTCAGATTCAGACTCATGAGAAATACCACACTGAACTGCTCTAAAAATAAAGTGGCAAACTTGGCAATATAGCAGAATTTCATTGAATGTAGTGAAATAAAAGCTACCAAAGTTAAATACAGCTACTGAAGAGCCACTAGGCATACAAACTAAAAATGGCAATAACCTTATTTTTTATGCCACAGGATGTTATTTATGCCAATTAGTAATTAGTGTAAATACTATAAATATACCTGGCCCACATAAACTTACAAACACTTGCTAACTATTCTGTCATTCTAGTAATGGGATGGCGAAAGGCAGATTGTAACTAACTATTTACCTGTTAGATACACAGCAAACCTAGCATTGATGTGCAGAACTTGTAAGTTCAGTAGACATTTCAAATATTCAGATTTTGTCGATGACTTGGAATCACACTGGTGATAATGAAGCACTTCAATGATATTTGCACTTTGGTATGATTTCAATATTAAATTCTTGCCATGAGCAACTGAATCTACTCTGGAAAACAAAGTAGAAATGTTAATTACTCAATTCAGCCAAGACAGAATATGTAATATATATAGTATGTATACATTCATTTTACATATTATATTTCTAAGTATTTTTCTTATATATATATTTATATTCTAACAACATTACTAAACTGCCTCAGACATTTAAATTCCCAAATCACAATAACTACTCTTTGCTTTAAGGTTCACAAAATGATTTCCTCATAATGACCCTGTGAAGAAAGTTGTTCAGTTAGTATTTGTTGTTGTTTCAGTTGTGTCAGACCCTCTGTGACCCCATATGGGACTTTCTTTGCAAAAATACTGGAATGGGTTTGCCGTTTCCTTCTCCAGCTCATTTTTAGAGATGAGGGGACTGAGGCAAACAGGGTTAAGTGACTTGCCCAGCCTCACACAGCTAGTAAGTGTCTTGAGGCCAAATTTGAACTCAGGGCTTCTAGCCCAGTGCCCTTGGCCATCATCCTGGAAAATGATGATAACTATGTTAATATAGGCTGGCAACTACTCCTGCAAGTGTCAAAAGTTACAGTTACTGAAGAACTGGAAAGGAATGTTTTGCCATCAATGTCCTTGGTACCCCAAATGGTTCACTATCAGAAATTTAATGATTTTATTAAAGGAAATGACATTAAGGAAGAGGCACTGAAATCCGCCTACGCTGCTGCATCCTAAGGACCATGGGCCCTTTCCATCTGACCTGAAGTTGAATTTCCCATGTGTTGCCTCCCCCATTAGAGTTTGAGTTCCATGAAAACATGGACTCTTACTTTACTATTTATATCCCTGGCATTTTGCACTTACTAAATGCATTTGTTTATTCATTTATGTCTGGCCAAAGCTTCAGACTTCTCTCCAAAACCGTACAAGAGCCAAGCACAATTCCCTTCTGGATGACTAAAAAAAAAAAAAATTGGGGTGGGGAGTGCGAGGGTAGTGGTGATGATGGTTTGGCAGAAGTACTTGGTTACAGCAAAGGATTACTTGAAGAATGGAAAAATTTATCTCCCAACCAGTGACGTTTCAATTATTTTTATAATGTTAAATAATTTAATTCTAATTGTTAAGAAGACAGAAATAAGTGCTCGTTGAATTAATACTAGAGCTAGAAAGGAATATGTTTCTGTCCTTTAAGCAGGTCCACATGCAAACCATCTCTCCTATAAAATATATTCTGATTTTAATGACCTTTAAAGTACAGGGTTTGTTCTTCAGAAAGAAGCAGACACTTTCCAGCATTATTCCTATTGCTGAGGTTGTGGTAACATTCACATACCTTGGCATCTCCATTTGGGATATTCCAAGAAAAGGTAAAAGAAGCCATTAAGTGATGACTCCTCAATAAAAGTGCTTTCCCTTGATGAGTTATTAGTACAATTGAAGATTCTAGAATGGATTTTTAGTTTGTGATACAATGAAAACAAAGAGCCTTACCTTACATCCTCTTTTAGCTTTTTACTTTCTCTATAATGAAGCAACCATTTCCACCTTCCATTTGCATTTAGTTTTTCCAAGATTTTGACAATTTCCTTTAGCTGAACTGTAGAAAAGAATTTATCAATTTCAATCAAAAACAACTGCTGGGCCCCAAATCCACTTATCCCGGCTTATAAGAACATATTTCTAGGTTTGTCTGAATATCATTAACACCACCTTTGGACTTCGAGCAGTAGCTGCTAATACCATGCATGCATCCCATGCAAATGCATGTTGTATTTCAAATACGCATTTTAATCTACTGTCCTTGAACTATATATGCCTACCCCATATGACACTATGATATATAAGGGGAAGGGGGAGGCACAACAGTGTAGTAACAGGAATATTTTATTCATTAGCACCTGAAATGCTGGGGTGTTATAAAGCATAAAAAAGCAAAATGCTTGGATGCCAGATGATTCACCCTTCATGGGAGGCCTTGTCACGGCATCTATAAATATACACTATATACTTATGAGACAGACAACTACATGGGACCCAGTCTATCTTTATGGATGTTTTTAGCCTTCGTGTATTATACTTTTAAAATCTTCCAGTCCTAGGTAAGTCAACATCTTCATAGAAATACATACAATTAACAACAGACTGGGACTTAGTAGCCAGGGCAGGATATGATCATAACAGAGAAGATTTTGTCCTGGTTAACATGTTCCTCCATGAGCTATACCATAAGAAAAATATATTAAGTGTGTGAGGATCCAAACAAATTCTCTTTATTCTAACAGAATTTTAGTAACCCATGATGAGATTCCAATGTAGCAATGAATGTTGCGGTGATCCTAAAAATTGATTCCTTTGGATTGTACTACATTGGGCATCCTGAGTGCCAACTTTCAAATAAACTATCTGCCTGAGTTCCAAAGAAAGAGGAAAATAAAGGACAAACCTAGTGTTACAGCTTCTAATACTTTGTCATCAGATACCACAAAGCCTCCTGTACGAAACAGCTCCTGATAGGTGCCATCCAGGACATCTCCTGGGCTGTCAACTCCAGCAAACATGACACTGGAGAACTGCTTCAGTCTCAGCAAAGAAGGAATCTGTACAAAACAAAATGACCATCTAGTAAAGGAAAATCCATGGTATTCTGTTTACTGAAACACTTTTTTCCTGTTATCTTCTAGGCTTTCATGTGGGTCTAGAAAACCCTCCTCCGTGATATCTTAGTGGTTAGTGTTCTCTCCTTTTTCAAATCACCTCTATTTGTTGCTTATCCATATATACACGCCATGTGCCCTTGTAGAAGATAAACTCTTGGAGAAGAACAATTTCTTATTTTTTAAAAGCTTGTAATCCTAAGGACTTTGCTGAGCTGAGAATCCTCTTCATTTAAGTGAGTTTTTTAAGGGAAGTGTGCCACAATCTGGAGGTGCTTTGTGAAAAAATGAAAGCTGCAAACTAAAACTTTAAGTCATCAAAAGCAGGAAGATAGGAAATATTGAGGTTGACATAAATTAATCGTGACAAACCATCCTGATAAAAGGCATGAAATGTAATTGGCTGTGCCTTCTAGCTGCTCATTTCTATTTCTCTATCATAATCTGACACACTGGTACCACTGCCACCTACAGATTGCATGTCATAGTACGCTGATGGTAGGCCACTTGTAGAATTAGTAGTAAGCCAAGTCTCATTGAAATATAGGATGTTGACAGCAAATTCCTACTTTAAAAGGTGGTAAAGGCATTCATCATATAGTTTAGATAATTAAGAATTAAGTAAGTTTTGGCTTTTCTGATGAAAAATGAAAGGCTCATGTGGAAGAATTATGAAAAAAATATGAAGATCTTGCTAAACAGGTGAAAAAGAAACCAATGTATTCTAAAGTGAGCTATGTCCCTGAGCATTTCTCAACAAACAGATCTACTGCAAGAAGTAATTCTATAAGGCCTTGCAACATATTTTGAAAATGTATTCTCTTTCTCTGCTGCAATAGATTTCTGTATCATATATAACTGATAACACTGTCCTTTCTCTTCAATAGTATATGGCATCTTGAAATACTTAAGTCTTTATAAAAGGCCAAAAAATAAAAACAATTTACAAGAGGATACATAAATCTAACCACTTTATAATATATTCAATGTGCTTAATAAAGAAATGCATATTAAACTATTTCAAAGTACTTCATACCCACCAAACTGACAAAAATAAGCAAAAGTAACAAATAAATTATGTACACAGAAGGTGTTTCAAGTTTGATGACTCGAATTGGTGAGGTTCAGAAAAATAAGTACACTCATTCATGTACCGCTAGTCTGTGAACACTGGGGTCTACCCAGAAACAGCCTGTGGAGTATTCCAGGAACTGAAAGAGGACTGAGGTTAATATTTACCAAGGCAAGAAGGTGTCCCAGACCCATACAGAGGGACCTAACTTTATAGAGAATGAAGGAATAAGTGTCACCTGGAAGCTGAGTCACAAAATCATGGTGGACTGAAGAGGGAATCTACACTTTGGGGTGGCAGTCCAGTGTAAGGAGCAGTCCAAGGACCCTAAGCTAAATACTACATTGGAAGCAAGTTCAAAAGCAAGCAGCAACTGAGAAGATTTGTCCCCAGGAGTAGGGCAAATCTCAGTTTCACCTTCCATAACAGTATGAAGCCTGAGGAGAAATAACCAGGGCAGAAATCCAAACTAAAGGGGAACTTGTAATTGTCATTCTGAACCTGCAGAGCTTTCCAGAATGCTGAGAGTTGGGTCCAATAGCAGTCTACTGGAAATCCAACTATGAGCAAGTGCAAGGCATTGATGCTTAGATCCAAATTCAGGTCAGGAATTTGCAGAGCTCAGAGCAAGAAGGCAGTGATCAGACCTTGCTTTGGATCATAAAACTTTGAAAACCCTGAAAGCTTGAAGGTCCCCAGCCTGATCTGTCCTGGAATAACATAACACTCTACCCCAAGAAAGCAGTGAAGGAACCAAGATGATATGATCTCAACCCATGGATTTGCCTCCAGAACTGTGAAGAGACTGGCTCTAAGAGAAAGTCCAAAGTCAAGAAGTAGACTAGAGGCTCAATCCCAGAAGAGAATGATTTTAAAACATCAAAAGAAAAAAAAGAAAAAGAAAAAGGACCATAGGCACAAGTGTAACTAAAAATCCCAGGAAAGATGAAAGACTTCTTAAACACTTAAAAACCAAATGACGGCGCTGGAAGAAAACTGGGAAAAGAGAGCTAACGAAGAAAGATGTGGAAAAAGAGTTAACAGCCTAAAACAAGAGATATAAAAACCTTACCCAAGAAACAAGTTCCCTGAAAATTAGAATATATCAAAGAGAAGTTAATTATTCCATGTGACAATAAGAAATATTAAAGTCAAAAGACTGAAAATATAAAAGATGTAAGATATTTCACAGGAAAAACAAGAGACTTGGAAACAACCAACAAGAGATAATTCAAGCATCAACAAACTACCTGAAAACCAAGTCCAGAAAAGGAGGCTCAACACCAAATTTCAAGAAATCTTAAAAGAAAACTGCCCAGATCTTTTAAAACCACTGAATGTACTCGTTACCTCTCGAAAGAAAGCTCGAGACAAAACTGCCCAGGTACATTATAGCTAAAATCCAGAGCTTCCAGGTCAAAGAAAAAAGAATGCAAGCAACTGGAAAGAAAAAATTCAAATACCAAGAAGCCACAGGCAGGCTCAAATACAATTTGGTAGCCACCACCATAAAGGAGTAGAAAGATTGAAATATATTTCAGAAGGCAAAAAACACAAACTTACAGCCAAGAATAACTTACAAAGCTGAGTATAAATGGACATTTAATGAAACAGAAGTCTTCCAAGTATTCTAGATGAAAAGCCTAGAGTTGAGTAAAAACTCTGAATTATAACCCAGGAGTCAAGAAAAACGTAAAGAAGTAAACATTAGCAAGCAATAATAAGGTGTTAAACAAGAAAGAACTGTTTACAAGATGATTCACTTATCCTCTCAGAACTCTATCATCTCTATCATCATCATCATCATTATCATCAGGGGTCTTAAAGGGAATCTAATTAGAGGGCCTGGGAGTGGTTCTGTATTTTTTTCATGAATTTAAAAAAAGAATGAAAAGGGAGGAGCAGGGAAGGAATATACTAGAGAGGAAAAGGGAGAGGAAAGATGGTGAATATCATCTCACACAATTGTGGTAGGCAAGTAGAAGACTATAAACAAGGAAGTGGTGGGGTGAATGGGCAACATCTCAACCCCACTCTCACCTGAACTGGTCAAAAAAGGAAACATGGGTAGCTAGGTGGCACAGTGGATAGAACTCTGGTTTTGGAGTCAAGAGGACCTGAGTTCAAATCCAGCCTCAGACACTCAACACTTACTAGCTGAGTGACCCTGGGCAAGTCACTTAACCCCAATTGCTTTGCCAAAAAAAAAAAGAATACACATACACACTTGGGCACAGAAATACATTTCACTCAACAGGAAAGAAAAAGTGAGAGGCAGAGGGAATAAGAGGAGGAGTAGATTAAGGAAGAGATTAGGTCTAAGCACAACAAATTCTAAGAAGGGTAAAATCTTGAAGAGGGGTTTGAAAGGTTAAGAACCTGTCATTGCATGCTAGGTAAGTCAAAGAGAAAAGGGTAGGCAAGGGACTAGAAGTAAATTGCACCGAATCTGAGTTCCCTCCTCTTTCTTTCTTTTTTTTTTTTAAAAGGCAATTGGGGCTAAGTGACTTGCCCAGGGTCACACAGCTAGTAAGTGTCATGTGTTTGGTCCAAGGCCAGATTTGAACTCAGGTCCTCCTTAGCTGTAACCCTGAGCAAATTACTTAACTGTTGTTTGCCTCAGTTTCCTTATCTGCAAAATGAGGATAATAATAGCACCTATCATCCAGGGTTATTGTGAGGATCAAATAAAATAATAATTGTAAAGCACTAATGCTTGTGTTATAAATGTTAGCTATCATCATCATCATCATCATCATCATTATCATTATTATTATTTGTAAAGAGAGGACAGGAAACAGATGGAAAAGTATAAGAGAAGAAGATGTAGAAAACACAAGATTAATAATAATTCCTGCTAGTTTAATGAACTCATTCATAAAATAGAAAAAGAACTGATTAGAAGGCAGATCCAACAATATGGTATTTATGAGAAACAAATTAAAATAAGAGGCTGAGGAAAATCTATTTATGATTCAGTAAAAAAAAATTAAAAAAGGCAGGAGTAGCAATCATGATCTCAGACAAGGCAACAGCAAAAATAGGCTTAATTAAAAAAGATAAAAGGGAAACTATTTTCTTGAAAGGTACCACAGACAATATCAATATTAATTACGTACCCAATGGCATAGACTCTAAATCCTTAAAAGGAAAAGTTAAATGAGTTACAGAGAGAAATAGACAGTCAAATTATAATAGTGAGGGAACTTCAATTTATCCCTTTCAGATATACATAAATCTAAATGAAAAAATAAACAACAAAAAAAAAGGTGGAGCATCTAAACAGAATTTTAGAAAAGTTTAGTTTATGATATAACACTAGAGATTACTGAATGAGAACGTATACATATACCCACAACTATATATATGTATGTATGTATGTATGTACACACACACATCAGCTATACACAGCACCTTTATAAAACTGATTATTAGGGCATAAAAATATCACAATGCAGAAAAGCAGAAATAATATGCAGATCTTTTGTGGACCATGATGCAATAAAATTATATTCAAAGAATATGAAGAAATGATTAAAAATTGGAGACTAACATTTCTAAAGAATATGTGTGTCAAAAAACAAATTAAAGAATCAATCAACAATTTTATTAGCAATGACAACAATGAGAAAAATAACTAAGTTTTGGGGAACTAGCCAAAGCAGTTGTTAGGAGAAAATTTTTAATCTCTAAATATTTTCATTAATAAAAGAGAGAAGAAATAGATCAACAAATGAAAAAAATAAAAAACAAAAACCTCAAAAACCAACAAATTAAAAACCTCTAATTAAATCTCAACACAAAAATCCTAAAAATTAAAGAAGTAATTTAACATAATTGAAAGAAAAAAAAGCAAACTTTCCGTTGGTAAAACTAGGAGCTACTTTCTATTTTTAAAAAAAGTAAAATAGACAAAACATTAGCTAATTTGATTTATAAAAAAGAAAGAAAACCAAATAATCAAGGCCAAAAAGGAAAAAAGGTTCACAACCAATAAAGAAAAAATTACTGGCACCTATTTCACCTAATTATATATTACCATAAAACTGACACTGTAAATGAAATGGATGAATATTTACAATAATATAAATGTCTATTTTAAAAGAACAAGAAAAAGGACTTAATTCCAATATCAGAAAAAGAAATTAAAGAAGCCATAAATGAACCCCCAAAGAAAAAATCACAAGTAAATGGATTTACAGATGAATTTTACCAACCATTTAAAACTATTCCAATACTACAGAAGCTATTTGAAAAAAATTAGGAAAAGGTATTCCAAATTCCTGCTTTGATACAAATATGTTCTTAATACTTCATATTGCAACCAGGAAGTTTCAAAACAGAGAAAGAAACTATAGACATCTATCCCTAATAAATATCAATCCAAATATAAATGAAATTTTAGCAAGGAGAATATAGCACTGTATTACAAAGACTATAAACAATGATCAGAGTAATTTTATACCAGGAAAGAATATAGCAATATTTTACAAAAACTATAAACTGCGATCAGATTTTATACCAGGAATGCAGGACCCCATATTAAAGAAATAATGAGCATTAATTGATCACATTAATAACAACAAAAAAATCTTAAATGACAATCTTTTATCTAGTGAAGGGGATAATCATAAAGAGTCAGCATGTCTTAATTAAGAACAAATCATTCCAGACCAACTTTATTTACTTAAAAAAAAAAAAACAACTTATTAGGACCTATAAAATCAGTGTAATATACATACCTTCACTAGATTTTAACAAAACATTTAAAGTGGCTAAATGATAAACAGACAGTTTTGAAATTGGTTGAATGCCTCTAACTAAAGAACAGTTACTAATCATTTTGAGAACCATAATAAAAGTTTATTTTCATAAAATTTAAACAACCGCTAGAAAGGTAACTAAGTAAAATGGTAGACAGCCAGTCTTATCTTGTTTTGTGGTTAGAAGTCAGTAAGTAGGACAAAGGTTAATAAGCTCTGCTTAGAGTACACATGCTTAATAGGCTCATAAATACTAATTTCTCCACCTCCAGGTGGGGCTAAGAGGCCATTTTCTGAACACGCGATATAGGGAGGACATATCAAGGGGTAGATGTGTAATAGGTGAACCAGAAAGTTGTACACTCCGGAGTACTCAGCCAATGAGGAAACAGAGGAGGGCCTTTGCTGCTGCGATTAGAGATAAATAGTGAACTCTTGCTTTGGTACATTGTGTCCTATTCAATAGGACACCCTCAGTTGCAAACTGTATAATAAACTGGGCTTTTAACTTCATCTCTCCTGAGTCTAAATGAGTTATTTCTCACAATTTGATGTCAATTTGGAAGAAGGTTTCCAGTTGAACGTCTTAGGGGATCTGTTTGGTTCTGTTCTGTTTAGCATTTTTATCAGTGATTTAGATAAAGGCACAGGTGGCATACTTTAAAAATTTGTATTATTCAAAGCTAGAACATATAAATAATACTGGATCACAGAATCAGAATCCAAAGAGATCTTGACAAATTATAACAGCAGGCTCTATCAAATTTAGTTAAATAAGGATAAACAGAAACGTAAAGGCTTAAATTTGGTTTCAAAAAATCAAGTTGACAAAGTGGGAGAAGTATCACCTGAGTGTAGGCTGACTAAAAAATGTCTGGGGGGTTTTGGATTGCAAAGTCAATATGAATCAAGCATGTGATATGGCAGATAGGTGTGACACTTTATTCATGAGAGCTACTGGGACTTCGACCTGGATTACCAAGCCATGCTTCGCAAAACCTAACTGGAACCTACTGAAAAGTGGAATGGGCAACTATAAGAATTTTACATTCAGTTCAATGAAATGACCTAGCAGTTATGAAGGTTAGTTCAAGACTTTAATGAGTCATAAAAATTCACTACGATTTTTGATCAGCTTTTTAAAAACAGAAATTATGATGAACCACCAGGACTGTATTTTAAGTATTATGTAGAGAATTCTATCCATAGGAAACTGAAAGGGAAGGCTATATTATTAAGGAATAAGAAGACAACAATCCCATTATACTTTGCCTTAGACAGATCATATCTGAAATATTATGTTGGTCAGGGTGCCGCATTTTAGGAAGTACACTGACAAGCCGAAAAGTATCCACTTAAGAGTGAGATGATACCTAATGGCCTTCAATTTATGCCATGTGATAACTGAGAGAACTGATGTTTTTTGTCTTGGAGGAAGTAAAACTTAGTAGAACCATGACAGCTATCTTTAAATAGTTTAAAGTTTATCACATAGAAGAGCTTAAGACATATTTTAGCTGGCTCCAGAGGGTGTAACCATTATAATGGGTAGGAGATGAAAAAGACAAATTTAGACTTGTTTAAAGACAAACTTCCAAATAATAAGAGCTATCCAAAAGTGGAAGGGGCTGTTCCAGGGAAGAGTAGGTTTTTCCAACGGCGAGATGATCACATGTTGAGTATGGCAGCAAGGGAATTCCTGTTCAAATAGGCTGGCCTTTGAAGTCCCTTCCAATGCTGCAATTCTGTATCTGGTTTTGTTTTTAAAATTAAGTTTATAATAATACCAAAAGTTGGCCAACATCCTGATTATTGTGAAATCAATCAAAATTATTTGAAATCAGTATTCTGTAAGAAATATTTTCTAACTTACTTGATGCACATGTGTTGATATGTCCTCATTTTTGATGATGACTATTAGTGTGTCAGTCTCCCTATGCAATGCCTGACAGAAATGCTGGGGTTCCATTTCTTTATGGCCTTCTTTCCTCAGTAAATTCTAAAATACAGGAAAATAGCCATGTTAGGAAAAATAACACATTTTATTAAAAATAAAACAAATACAACAGTTGACAAAATTTGTCAAATTATGTTCTAGCAAAGAAAGCTTTTACTTTTTACTATAAAGTATTTCAAGTATTTCATTCAGAACAATGATGAATGATGCCATGAATAAAACAATAATCTTTGATTCAATACCTTTCTGACAAAGGCATAACAATAAAATAGTAAGCTTTTTAAAAAGAAAAATTAAAAAATTTTATAACCAAATGCATGCTGTTCCCCTTCAAAGTAGAAACTCTGGGAAAGACTATCATTGTTCAAAACATTTTAGCTTTTTTTCTGTTACTGCCTTCATAATACAATCAATTAAATAACTGGTCAATCTTCAGTTATAATGATATAAAATGATTAATGAAAACATCTAGAAGTTAATTATAGCTAAATGTGGTGAACAGGATAGGTGATTAAGCTGAGTAATATTTTTGGTCAAAAATCAATTTCACAGAAAGTACACTATAAGCTGAAGCACCAGTGGCAGAGAGAAGCCAATCAACGAGCCACAATTCATTTTGCATCTCAGAGAATTTCTCAAATACTGTAGAATTTTTATACTGTAGGATTGTAGGACATTGAGAGAGATATTCATCCTGCATTCGAGATCAATCTAAATTATCTTCATTTCTGTTTTTTAGAATAAGCATTTTCTTAATTTGGGGATGTTATAAGCTTTCCACGGAAGACTTTGATGCTTTGTTTTCAGGCTGTACTGGAAATGTCATGTTTCACCACTTGTAACTATTTTGCAAATAAAGAAGTAAATAAAATCCTATTTTGCCTAACTTCCCTTGGAAGAATAGAATAAATGTTGAATTTTTGTTGTTTCTGTTTATCACTCAAAACATAGCACTATGTTTAAGAGAAACTTTCATGTTAAAAGTATTTTCCCCTTCCAGAATAAGCTTTCTTTATTTAAATTTAGTGTTTTGCTCAGTCTTATAGTTAACTTTTCAATGTACCAAAAAACACCGAACTTTCATTTATACCATGGACTGGACAAATGCATCATGAACAGAATCATGAGTACACAAAGAGAGTCTAGAAAACTTTCCTTTATTGCTGTTATTCCTTTTTTTTTTTAAATCAAACAAGGAAATTCATTTTTGGAATGAGTTGTCTAAGGTGACATGTTTAGTTAGCAGAACAGATGAGAAATCAGAACCTCTGGGTATCCAGGCCAGTGTCCTAACTTTATGGCACCTTTATCTTCCCTACTTCTTTCAACATTCTGTACCATCAAAAATCTCTTATTCTTGATTTAATTTATTCCCCAATAAGTCTTCTTTAATATGGTAAAGTACCTCACTTAATCGATGTAACTAACCATTTTATTCATCACAGCTGTTAACATCAGACTAACTGGCTGACCTTTAAAGTATCTCCTTAATAAGTTGAAAATGTTGCAACATGTCCATTTGATCATTTTTCCTCACTTCTACAAACCACACATGAAAATCAGCCTCATTATTTTGTAGTCATACCTTCTTATAAACTGCCCTTGTGAAGTAGGAAGAAAATAATCATTATTGCCATTCCTGACAGACTTAAAAACATTGAGACCAAGCATCTAGGTTACTGATAAAAGGCAGACAGTGGAAAAAGTTGAAAGTAAGAGTCCTCCATCTTTTAGGATAGGATTCAAAAAACTAGTCATCTTAGATGACAATTCAGGTGTTTCTAATGATCACAAACAAAATATCATTAACTTTTCAAAAAATATACCAAGACAAAATTAATTCTTATGTACTTAGCGCTTTAGTGATCTGTGATTTAGTTCTAATTTACTTAACAGAAGAAAATCATTACATAGCATCTTTTAGAATTATCACATAATGTTAGGGCATGGTATAGAAACACTATAAATTATATTATTTACCAAATGTCAGAAAGATAGAGAAGTCTAGGGAAAAAATAGAGAGGTAGCTCTGCCTGTGCAAGGGGGAGAAAGAAGGAAGAGAACTCCTTGGGATAAAAATTTGGTTGTCAATAGCATATTAGATGTTACATAGAAAAATAAGTTTCTGAGGACAAAAACATCTTGTTAACTGATTGGCCAGTCTTAACAGCAATAAAGATAAACCAAATTTATAGTTATTTAAATCTACGGTTTTCCATTAATGACTGTTATTTCTTCTTTTCACATATAATTCAGGTTTATTTTAAACTAAAAAAAGATTTCTTCTACACACTGTTTAATCATGAAACCATTACTTAAGCATAATAAATATCTCCAATGTTATTCCATTGGACAAAGGGATTAAATCTCTGAGAATCTGGTATGGGACTAATATAATCCATAGTTTTTATGAATGGGAAAATTGAGACTAGAGACAAAATGGTTACCAAAAAAAAAAAAAGATTGTATGAATGTTTAATTTTTTTAAAAAACTCTGATACTCCTAATCTATTTTAAGATATCTGGTCCCTATAGGTGCCTTCAAAATTCCTGAAATTTAAAGAAAAAAAAGCTGCATTTCTTATCTTATGTCATATCCAGCCTACATTATTCTTGTGAAGAATAATCTCTGTGAAGTCTGTGCACAGACCTTTCTCTGAAAAGCCTACAGCATTCATGTCAATACCACAGTAAGGTCGTGAAAGATTCACTAAGGTGGACATGGACGACGAGTTTATTAGAGAGTCTTCAATAAAAGAGGAACTAAGAAGTTAAATCAAACCTGTAGTATTTTTCCTATGACTTAAAAAATGAAAATAAAATTCTAAACACAAGCAGATATGTTAGAACTAAAGATGGAACACAAATACCCACATGAAAATAGCTAATGAATCAATCAAGGTTCTGTTAAAGCTTCTATTTCACTGATAGTCTTTTGTTTGCATATCAGTTCCTATTCTTGCCCAATTCCACTCAAGTGGCACAATGGTAATCTTAAGATACAAAATCAAAACCAAGGGTGAAAAGAAAGGAAGTAGTCCTTCACTGAACTGGGTAAATCCTCTATGGCACATGTATGGCAAAACATTAACATACATCACACAGAATAAGAAAACAATCAAGAGGGTGGCAAACGTATTATTGAAAGGATAATCCATACAGACAAAATCATGGATTATGAAAAGTTTCAAAGCACTGGTTAAGTCTGGATCTCTGATATATGAAAAATCCAGATACAGCATTTACTTATAGCTATTAATGGATTTAACAAAGGCAGAATCTTTTAAACAGAACTGTAAACAAGACCCTGATTTAGCTAATTATTCTTTCTTTCCATATTAACTAGCTCAATACTTAGCCATGTCAAATGTGGCATAATCAATTTTAAGTACTGTTATATTTAAGTTTTTTAGATGAATCTAATACAACATCCAGAAATGAGTCTCTTAAAATAAAAATATTTACCAACTCTTATTCCTTTCCAAATCCTATACAGACAAATCTGCTCTGCTTTAGACTAATGCTTTCTAATCAAAGAGGTATATTTTGTATTCCTAACAAAGCAGTACAAAATAAAGAAATTCTTAACAAGGCTAGGATTAGTAAATTAAATGGAAAATCTGGAATGCTTTCTAGTTCTTCCTGCAGTCAAATCTTCACAAGATGGATACATCATTTGGCTACAAACACTCAAAGAAGAAATGTATTAATTACAGGTCAAAGAAAACAATATTTCCAGAATACAAGAAAAAATGAAATTCAATTTAAAAGTAATATCAAACATGAGTAATTCTCAATTAACTTTATTAATATTAGATTGTGAGTTCCTTGAAGGCAGGGAATGTCTTACGCCAAAAAAAGGCAAAAGACATTCCCGCTTTCAAGGAATTCACAATCACAGTGCAACAGAGCAACACTTCCACGTAGATTAAATAATCCAAAAGTCACCTCTATCTGGCTCTGGAACTTTTAAAGTTGTTATCTGGATAAATTAGTCAAACTGATGATGCCTGATTCTATCTATTTTCATCCCTGGTTTGGACATATCAATAATCTTCTAACAGTAATACAAATAGCAGTATCACCACAAACCACAGGTTTTAGAAGAAAAAGCCAACTGTACTACCTAAACTGAGTTATATAATTTCAAATATGTGAGTTTATACACTACCTAACAGTATGATTCAAACCAAGAATGCTGAGAATTAAATTTAAATAACCAAAGTAAAGGAAAACATAAGAAAAAGTTGATGCCTTACCCTTGTTCTGATAAAGAATGAACTATCTTCTGTTTCTACCAGGTAGAACAGGAAGGTGCTTTTACATGCTTCTTTTATAATGCTTTTTAGTTTGACGTGTAAATTGGAACACAAGTCTGTAATCATGTGTTCATAGGAAGCCATCCTTGGGAAAGCTGGTATTTTCGGCGATGTAGTCTTTTCAGAGGTAACACTCAGATCCTTAGCTTGGTAGCTCCTTTGGCTATTATTAAGCATCACCTTATTGAATTCGGCATATTCACTAAGAATGAGTGAAATGTCGTTCCGAGATTCTTTCAGCTTACTATCATATTTCAACTTATTGAGGTGGAAGGAAGTGGTTGGATCTCTCTCAGCATTTGGAATAGTTCTGCTCTGGCTACCCTTGTCTTGCCTGGAAGAGGAAAGATTATTAAAGTCGCTATATTTTTGACTTTTTTTGTGCCAGTCTGAGGTATGCTCTCTTGGTTCTGAGTGCACAACTGTTACCAGCAGAGGGCTTCTGCTCCTGGAGGCTGGATGTGTAACTGGAGTCTCAGTTACTTTTGTCAAGGGAAGGACTCCAACAGTTGTCTGACTATGTGATTCCTTTGGTAAAGGACTGGATGAAGTAGTAGAAAGTTGAGATTTCCCATTCTTTACCGTTTGTTTTAGCTTATGTGCAAACCGCAGATATTCTAGATCCAAAGTATTCTGGGTAGGATCATCAGCCACCTGCCAGGTACTTGTCCAAGAGCTGATCAAGCCACACCGATCTGTAACACAGGGATGCTGCTTCAGGTTATGTAAAGTCCTAGTGGTGTCTTTGAGCTTCTTAGTTACAGTAAAATTAGTATAAGTCCTGGGGGTGCCATTAAGATCTCGGATTTTAATGTAAAAGGGCACATACTTATCTCCTTTCTTTAATCCAGCTGAACAGCTTCTTTGCTGGGTACCTTCATCTGCTACTGGACTTTTATGAGAATAATTCCAGCTCTCAATGTCACTACTTGTTGTGATAATCCTACTAGTCATCAGAGTATCATAATTAGTTATGGTAGCTTCTTCTACTTTGTTGGGATGACTGGTTCTCAAGGGACAAGAATCTTCTAACTGCAATTGGGAGTGTTTAACATCCCCAAAACATTCTTGGTCAGATTCTCCAGAAAGAGATTCATAATAAATTTCAGTGTTCAAATTCATGTCCATATTTCTCTCAGGGGATTTCATATCTTTCTCAGTTTCAATCCCTTCTACGGCACTCTCATGTTCTATAAGCTCTCTAGAGGCTTCCCAAGAAGGTTTTTGAATGGCTAAGGCAGAATGTTCTTCCCCTGTGTTTTTGGCTATGTTTGCCACATTCTGGCATGTACCACTGCACACCAGGTTAGATTCTTTGGTGGCAAAAATGCCACTTGACTGATCTTTTGTTTCACATACTGAAACTTCTTGATGAGCCTGTGTTTTTCCTTCCCCTTTTGTGAGGCTTGACCCAAGGCTAGTTCCTTTTAAATCGATGGACTCTTCATGCAAAGTGGAAATAATTTCATCATTATTGAGAATATTAACCACTGAAATTCCAGGCTCTTGAAACCTCTCTTCATTTAGTTGTCCTGAACTACTTTTATGTGAAGCATCATCCATGGAAATACAAATATTTGGGTTCTTTGAGGGTGTATACATCTGTATAAAATCAGATCGATCAACTGAAGTTGAATTCAGAGATTTATTATGTAAATAATCACATTCACTTTGCCCATGTAAATCCTTCCTACTGTTCAAAGGGCTATTCTTGTGGTCCAGTGAATTGCTTGTCAGATCTGATTCAGCTGAAGAATGGATTTTCTCAGCTACAGATCCATTTTCTATCAACTTTCTAAGACAAAGTGGAGCTTTATGGGTGTCCGAAACAGTATGTGTTAAGTCCAAACTCTTGTTTTCCTCACTAGTTTGTTGCAAAGGATTCTCTGATCTTTCCAATTCTTGAAAAGAGGTCTTGTAGTCCTCACACGTAGCAACTGAAGTGGTCTGGTTTAATGCTGTGTCACAACACTGAAAATTTCCTGGGAAAAATCTAGCATCATTATACTTATTTTGAACCACAGGGTCTTCAGCTGCTCTTCTATGAAGGAGTAAGTGACTTTCTTTTTGTTCTGTTGTATAATCAATGAAGGGCAAAGCCATTTCAGCAGAAAGCTTTTTTGGTTTCTCCTGTGTTGTAGTATATTTTCTTCCTGGTAAAACATGACTAAAAGACGCACTATCTTCTTCTCCTGAAGATAAATCGATTGACTGAATCTGGGTGGCTTTACTAACTTCCTTAGATATTGTACTGTGGAGTTCTAACATCTGAAGGGGCATATCCTGAGACAGTGGTGTTTCTTTAGATGGCATTTGATCATCAGGAATTGAAGCTGGTGACACTGGCTCAATTAAGGCACCATCAAAGGGTGAGTTAGAGATAATATTAACTTCCTGTCCAATCTCAAGTGCACATGATTCCTTAGCAAGTACTAAAGTTACTGGGTCCACAGCATCTCTTTTACATTCTTTATTTTCTAATGGTTTCTGCAACACTGCAGTATGAAGTGAGGAATAATCAGAAGAATTAGTTTCTCTGTTCTTGGGGAAAGTTGCATTTACTGGCTCAATTATTTCTTCAGCTACAACTTGAAGTTCTACATTCTCTAATGGAACAGCCTGAATCTGCATAATTTCATCACATTGTGCTTGGTCTCGAGGACTTGTAGGTGGTGATATTGTTAGTGCTAGTTCAATATCGGAATCATCTGATAACTCTATGCTGACTGCCTCTCTGCCCAAAGATATGCAAGTTTCTTTGGTAAATGCTAAGTTAACAGATTCAAAATTCATTCTTTCACTGTTCAAGTCTCTCTCATTTGTCTCCTTTTTTAAAGAATAGTTTAATTTAGAAGCTCTTGATGGAATATAACCAGCTGAAGCAGTCTGCTTGCTTTTCAAGGGGGCAAAAGTAGGTGTTAAAACTATTTCTTCAACCTGGGATGATTCTATAACCTCTTCAGAAGATATGCTATAGAGTCCTGGAGTCTGCAGAAATGTGTCCTGAGGTAGTTTTATTTCATCAGAGGTTGCCTGATCACCAGAACTTACAACTGATGAGACTGCCTCAATTAACACTGTACTTGATGGTGATGTTGACAGTGGAATGGGAACTTCCTTCTGAAGTGAGCCAGTTTCCTTACCAAGAGTCTCTCCAGTGACAGAAGAGGTACAGAGGTATTTAGTTCCTGTTGATACAGATGCTGCCACAGATGGAATGTCTTGGAGATCCTGATTTGCAGACGAAGCACCTTGCACTTGGGCTATTTCGCGGAAAGGGATTTGTTGTCTAAGACTTTCAACAGGTGATACTTTTTTAATTGATTCTCTATCAGAGTCTGGTATTTTATCAGCTCCATTTGCAAATCCTGTTTCTATAGGTAGACAGGCATTTTTCTCAAAAGTGAAAGTAATTGGTTCCAAATTGATCATTACATATTCCAAATCACCATCTTTGTTTTCTAATGATTCCTGACTCTCTGTCATTTTGTTTCTGGAGCTGCTACGCTCTGTAATGTTCTGTAAAGTATTGGCTTTTGAGCCCAGTGCTTCATAGACAGAGTCACCTCTGTCTTCTAAAGCTCTGTTCACAGAAGTTCCACAGATCATTGTCTGATCGTTGATTCCATTTTGAGATAGTGCCCTTGAGTTGACAACTTTCTGTGTGTTTTCATTTTCATCAGCAACAGAAGGTTCTCTAGTTTGGGTACTTGCATTACTGGAAAGCACAATATTAGGTGTCTCTTTATTACTTGGTAATTCCTGTTCCACTCTTTTTCTAATTACCTGAAATGATAAAAGTTTAGAGTTTAGTATGATATGCCAAATACAAAAAGTTTTTATCTGTGTATATGTTAAACCAGTAAAACATAAGCTGCCTGCAGGCAGAGACAGCTTAATTTTTGTCTTTTTCCTAGCACTTAACACAACAGCATAAATTAGGTATTTTATAAATGTTTGCTGAAAAGTAGATGACCATTAACTGGGAAGTATCTGAAATAACTACGATTATGAATGTAATGGAATATCATTATGCAGTAATATATACATATTCACATAAGGAAACAAACACAAGGAATTCAGAGACACATAGGAGATGTCTTAATAGTGAACCAGGGTGAAATAAGCAGAACTAAAAGAACAATATAAACAATGACTACACCATACTATAAACTATGCAGATCCCTAAAAAGGAAGCCAAATTGTGAGTAATTGACAGATGAAGAATCATACCTCCCTTTTCATGAGAGAGGTGGAGGACCACTAGGGTGAAATGCTGCATTCATTGTCAGATGCAGTTATTGTACCGGAAAGTTTTGTTTAATTGTTTTCTTTGCCATGATAGAGCCTGGTAATCTTATTCATGGTTGGGAAGGAGGAGTCCAGAAATGACTTTCATGTAAAGACAAAAGATATCTAGAAAATTTATATTTAAAAATGTTTGTCACCATCTGCCTGCTTGGCTTCTCCTCACGTACCCCTGAACACAGATGGAGAAAGTTATATGACTATGCTGCCTAGGCATATTATAAATTCATGTTACCCAATTTCAACTGGTGCTCATTGCAGTTCCCTATTTCATTCTCCACAGAAGTTACTCCAAACTTCTCCTCTTCCCCCACCTTCTAAGCCAATAATCTCTTCCTTTAGTGAAAAAATTAAGGTCTTTCACCCTGAGCTCTTTCTTATTATCCCTTTCTGCCTTGATATCAGCCCCACTCCCCATATTCTCCTCCTCCTCTGATAATAATATGGCCCTTCTCTTTGCAAAGGTCAACCCTCTACATGTTCTCTCCATCCTAACTCCTTTCATCTTCTTCACCAACAGCCTGCTCAATTGCCCTTTTTCTAATCCTCAACTTCTCCCAATCTACTAGTTTCTTCCCTTCTACTTTCCAACATAGTAAATTATCTTTCACCCTTAAAAAATATGCACTAGACCCTAAGATCCCTTTAAGCTATATCATTCTCACACACACACACACACACACGGATATCTATCTATTCCTCTCCATTCTCAGCTAAACTCCTTGAAAGGAGCTGTCTACTCAGTACTTGAACTTCGTCCTATCACTCAACCCCTTAAAAGAACCTGGCTTTTAACCTCATTACTCAAGTGAAATTGCTCCCTCCAAAATTACCAAAGATCTTTCAACTGCCAAATCTGAAGAGCTTTCTTTTTTCTCGGTCTTTATCCTCCTCAACCTCTATGCTTCATCGGACACTACTGATCACTTTCTCTGGATTTTTGTGACTCTCTCCTGGTTCTCCTATCTTTCTGGCTATTCCTTCTCAGTCTCCTTTGATGGTTCATCACACATATCACAAACCCCAAACTATGTTTGGGGCCCTCTTCTCTCTTTCCAAACACTCATTTTTTAAAATTTGAATTCCAAATTCTCTCCTTCTCTTTCTAGCCCCTTCCTTACCCACTGAGAAGGGAAGAAAGATATCATTATATATGTGAAGTTACGCAAAAGATATTTCCATATTGACTCCCCCCCCCAAAAAGCAAGAAAAATAAAGTAAAAAAATTATGCTTCAGTTTGCACTTAAGAGTTCATCAGTTCTCTCTCTGGAGGAGGATAGCATTTTTTATGACGAGTCCTTCAGAATTATTGTGGATCATTGTATTAATAAGGGTAGCCAAGTATTTCAAAGTTGATCATCATTACAATATTGCTGTTACTGTGTACAATGTTCTGCTGGTTCTGCTCACTCACCTTTGCATCGGTTCATGTAAGACTTCCCAGGTTTTTCTGTACCCATCCCCTGCATCATTTTATAGCACAATAATATTCCTTCACAATCATGTATCACAACTTGTTAACCCATTTCCTAAATGACGGGGCACTGTCTTTTTTCTCTACACTCGTGTCCTTTCTGATGTCATCAGCTCTCTTGGGTTTAATTATCATCTCCATGAAGATGACTCATAGAGCTATATTATCAGCCCTACTCATCCCCCTGCCTGACGTTTAGTCCTGAATCACCATCTGCTTACTAAATATTTTAAAATGAGTGTTCTGCAGACATCTGAAACTCAACATATCCAAAACACAGAACTCATTATTGTTGGGGTATTTGTTTGTTTGACCATTTTACATTGAAATCTGAGATCTTCTCAGCGTTCCCATGACATACACTAATTTTACTACAGCTAAGAAACTCAAAGACACCACTAGGACTTTATATTACCTGAAGAGGCACCCCAGTTTCAGAGTTTGATGTGGCTTGATCAACTCCTGGACAAGTACCTATGGCAGTTTAACCTCCTCTTGTCCTTCTATTTTCTGACTTGTTACTACTATGCTCTCTCATTTTACACGTTTTATGACAATGATCCTGTACCATCTCACTTTTTAAACAGATAAACTATAAACCTTCTAAAATGCCTAAATATTTTAAAACCACTTCAGTAAATTAAGTAGATGACTAGACATCCAAATGCTCATCAGATCTGGTTTCTGCTCTGTCAAGCCTCTCCATAACCCATTTTGAACATCTGCAGAATAAGGTGTAAGTGATATGTCATAGAAGAATAAATTACTCAAAAATAACGTTAGCATTATGTTCTCCAGTCGTTTCGGTTATGTCTGACTCTTCATGATCCCATTTGGGGTTTTCTTGGCAAAGATAATGGAGTGGTTTGCCATCTCCTCCTCCAGCCCATTTTACAGATGAGGAAATTGAGACAAATAGGATTAAGTGACTTGCCCAGGATCACACAGACATAGTGTCTTGAGGCCAGATTTGAACTCAGGAAGATGAATCTTCCTAACTGTCCTATAGTATTACCCAAAACAAAATAAAAATTCCTTCATAAGCATATACCTTTTCTATTCTCCATTTCTTCTTGTTTATGACTGCCAAAGATTATGTTAAAAATTTCTTCTGATGACAGTTAATGAATGATATATACTACACTCCCCTTAATGAAGAATAGTTTTGAATCAAAAGCCACTATAAGCTTCACTTTGAAATCCAACTGCAGATTTACTTATGGTTTACTTATTTATATTCTTAGTTCCTCTAAGATAAACATCCTAGGAGAATTATAACAGAAGAGCTCTAATACACATCATTCAACATCCTTTTAGGTGCTAGAGTTATGGATTTTAAAATGGTAACTACCTGTTGCAACTTTCATATTTATGGCACGTAGGACCCTGGATCCCTGGTACTTAAGAATAGGTAGGCAGGAAAATTATTTTCCAGGTCAGAAGAATCATTCCACGTGGACCTACTGACTAGGTCTTACAAATCCAAAAATCTTTCTTTCCTTTGCAACTATTTCTTTTCTATCTCAAATGAGCAATTTTCTCAAGTACATAGTTAGGTCAAGACTTAGCTCTTCCTGCTGTCCATCAAAAGTACCTCATAAATTTTGTAGGGAACTATTCTTCACACCCAAAGCTTTACAAAAACCGTATGTTTTCGTCTTATACTTTGTTACAGAAATGGGAATATTAGCTCTTACAAACTAATCTAATGCCACCTATTAAATATCATTTATAGCAACAAAAACTACCCCCAAAATAACATCATTTGTTTTATCCAGTCCTACCTCATTATTAGAAGAACAGATAGTACTCTGGAATACTGGGGCATCCTGATGGTCCTCTCCTGCTAAAGTAGCTCTTTCTTCCAAGCCACTTGTGGATGGCTTTATGTTGGTGCAGGCTAATAATATTCCAGTGGTAGTAGAACTACTTGAAGTCCAACTGGACTCCAATGGAGAATCTATAGAATGTCGTTTCACACCCAGACATTCTTCACTGACTTCACTGAAATCCAAGGGATCCAAAGTACTATTTATAGAAACATATTTTGCTGGATTGCTATGCTCTACTACTTTTCGAGCTGAGGGCATGACTTTATTTTGATTGCTGTAAAACAAAGCTACCCACATATGAAGAATAAGCTTCACTTCTTCTACATTATCTGGTACATCAGCATTCCAGGGTCTGAAGAGATCAAAGAGAAAGAAAAAAGTCATGCTGAACCACTAAAAATAACTTTTGGTGAATGTTACAATGAGCAGAAAGTCTTCATTATTGCAGATACACCCATTTAAAAATATACAAAGTATTTTTTGGAGGGCGAAGCAATTGGGGTTAAGTGACTTGCCCAAGGCCACACAGCTAGTGTCAAGTATCTGTGGCCACATTTGAACTCAGGTCCTCTCGACTGCAGGCCAAATGCTCTATTCACTGCACCATCTAGCTGCCCCAAAAATATATGAAGTATTAAAGAAATTAAAGAAAAAACCGAGATGTTGGCTTGACAAATTATTAATATTAAAGGACTCAAGCTACTACTGTATACAAACACTGATTCCTGCAGTAGGTCTCTTTCATATGTGGAGAGCTGCCCTCACTATAGGAGGCATGCTGAATTTGGAGTCAGGAACTGAGTTAAAATTCCAGTTCTACTACTTCTACTTAAAACCATGGGCAACTGGTTTAACTTTCATGAACTTTAACTCCTCATCCTTAATTTAAATACATTTAAATACTGTAAAAGGCCAGGGTGGTGTTAGATATTTGTTATGGGTATTTCCAGCTCTAACTACTCCATTCTAATTATTGCGTCGTCAATTCAAATATACCACATCCATTTTTGTGTGTCTCTTCCCATAAGAAAAAGGAATAAAAGAAATGGAAGAAGAATCACCCTTGACAGACTCGTCACTTTCCAAACTCTCTCTAAAAAAGGTAAACTTGGCATGGGGTGCTTTTCTGATACTAAGAGATTAACAAAACTAGAACACAGAAAGACATGAAATCCAAACTCAAACATGAAGGCCTTTTAAATAGTCATACGAAGAACTAAAGAGGGAGTTTGCACGTCCTTCTTGAACAGATAAGATGTGCAGATTACCTTTGTATATGAAATCATTTTTTTATCACATCTAGCTTTATGTTTTTTAAAAAGAGATTAAAATTATTCTTAAATTACACATTGAGGGTGCTCTCCTTTCAATATTCTAGTTTAAAAAAGCAATTAAAAATCCTTATTCTTTGTAAGATCTTTTCAATTTTAATTGAAAAACACTGGTGCCCTCAAAATCTAATGGAGAGAGTTAAAAGTCCTCATTATGCCTAAACTCTTCATCTGTTAAATGATTTCTTCAGAGTCCGTGGAAGCCAGTAGCAGAATCAGGATGACCATTCCCACATCTAAAATCTGTCTTGTAAATCTGACAGTACCACACCAGTACTTATAACTATGGTTTTCCCCTTCCTCAATAGGAATCCAAAGAATATAAATAACTCCTTTGTATAAGTTTACTCTAACGGAAACATTATACCAAAATCAAGTTTCATTCATACTTACCCATGTAAAGCTCGTATTACAGTTTTCTCCAGTGGGTTATTAGTATATTTACTATCTAAGCTGAAGACATATTCTGTTTCACACTTACAAGTAACCTTAAAGGAGCCATCACAGCTAAATACTGTGTGAGAATGACAAAAATCTTCTTTTAAGTTGGAAGGTAACAATCGACTCTTAAGTTTTATGACTGGATCCAGCAAAAGCTTTTGAACAGGTGGAGTGTTATGCTGATGCCGAAATGGCATCACTTTGCCCACGGGAGTCCCTGCCTCAGGGCCTTTTGTACCATTCTTTGCAAAGGTAGGACCTTGTGTTCCACGCTGCTGAAGATGTTTCTTTGAATGTTCAGCGGTAAGTAAGGCATAAGAATGTTCTATGGCAATAAAAGAGCTATTGCTATTGCTTTCATCTGAAGATTCTAGTGTCTCTTTAGGAAGTGCTTCCTGGGCCACAGATATTTGACTATACTGAGTCAAGCTCTTTTCACTCTGGCTGTCAGGCAAATTTGTCCTTGAATCAGTTTGTTCATAAGATGGCTTGGATAGTTCAAGAGAATACAATGCACATCTTTGGTTTTTAGCCAGCCTGTGATATTCATGATCATAAGTACCATGCAAAGGATTTTCTTTACAGAACAAAATATTGTTTTGTGTCACGTCAGAGGAGGAAGACAGGTCTCTGTGAACAGACGATGAGGTGGCAGAGGTAGCAGAGCTTAGAGCTAGGTCAGCCAACATGTTTAGGGCTCGGGAGTCAAAGTGACCAATGCAGCTTTCTTGAAGACCTGACTGAACAACAGCAGTGCTTCCAGGTCGAACTGTATTCTCACTATGGTCATTTCCTTGGTCATTTGACAGAATTTTAATTGGTGGCTGGGAAGGAATCTCTCTTTTGGCTAAAGCATAAAAAAAAAAAAATAGAGACAGTATTTGATTTTCATGAAATTAAATGTGTTGTCATATAATTACCTATGAAAAATTACTTATGTTTCATTATATATTGTCCATCACCAGTCCCCCAAATCAAAGCTTTTCTAGTGGGGTAGAACCTTCCAGAGCTTGTACTGTACTTCCACACTTCTGTAGGACTTCACAGAATTTCAGTGGAATTAATGAAAAATTAGTAGTTAAATATATCTACCAAGAAAAATCTCTTATTAGCAATATTATACATTTGTATGAAATTTTTAAATATTTCATTTGTTAAACAAATTTCTAGGCATGTGAAACTAATTTTCTTAAAGTATCTCCGTTCAGTCAAATCTTTATTAATTAATTTACATTAATGGATCAAATATTAACTGACTGATTAATTCACAAATACTTATTAAGCTTTTATTATATGGTAGGCACTGAGGATGCAAAGACAAAAATGAGCCAGTCACTGATCTTAAGGACCCTACATTCTAATGAGGACACACTGTGTATGGTGTGAGTGTGTGAGTGTATCCATATATACATATACACAAATATACACACATAAATATGTGCATAAGTATATGTATATGCCAAATAAATATAAGAGAGTTTGGAAGGAAGGGACTAGTTGGAGGACTCAGGAAAGTCGTCAAGCAGAAGGAGGTACCTGAACTGAGTACTGAAGGAAGTGAGGGATTCTGAGACAAAGTTGAAGAGAGAGTACGTTAAAGACTTGGGGAATGGCCAGTGCAAAGCCTTAGAGATGAAAGATGGAGTGCCACATGTGAGGAGTAACAAGAAGGCATGTTTGGCTAAACTACAGAGTTCAAGAGGAGAAACAGTGTATAATGAAGCACCAGAATTGGTGTTGTGCTGTGAAGGGCTTTAAAAAAAAAGTTTATATTTTATCCTAGAAGTAATAGGGGAACACTGGAGTTTACCAAATAGGAAAATGACATGGTCAGACTTCTGTTTAAGGAAATCAAAACTTGGGCAGCTAAGAAGATTAAGATTAGAGTGGGAAGGGAGTACAATTTGGAGACAAGTATATTGTCTAAAAGAGAGGTGATAATTGTGTGAGTAGTGAGGACAAAGACGTTGCACAAGTAGAAATGGCAAAAGATATGGCAACTGGCTAGATATGTGGTGTTCAAGGAAACGAGGATTCCACAATAAGAGGTTATGGACCCAAGAGACTGGAAGAATAGGAGTATCCTTGAAAGAAGTAGGGAAGTTCAGAAGAAGGATGGATTTGGGTGCAAGGCAGAGTTGAAGACGATAAGTCACATTCAATACGTGTAGATTTTGAGATGTCTAAGGGATAGACAATTTGAAACATCCAAAAAGGAGCTAGTATAGCTCTAGAGAGAAACTGGGACTAGATATGTAGATTTGGGAGTCATCTCCATCGAAATAATATTAAAACCTATGGGAGCTGATGAGGTCATCAAAAGAGAGAATAGAAAAAAAGAGAAGAGGGCCCAGGACAGAGCCTTGGGGAACACCCACGATTAGGGGTGTAATGATAATCTGAATGAGAAGGAACAGTAAAAGAAGGAATCAGTAAAGAGTAACATCATGAAACTGAGAAGAGTCAACAACAATGTCAAATGCTAAAGAGAGGCCAAGAAAGATGAGAAAAAAACACCAGATTTGGTAATCAAAAGATCACTGATATACTTTGGAGAAAACAGTTTTTATTAAATGATGAAGTTGTAGGCTAGGCTGTGAAGGGCTTAAAAGTGAGAAAGAGAAGAAGCAATAAGGGTAGAAAGTTTTTTATATAATTTGAGTAAAAAAGAGAGGAGAAAGATATGGGACAATAACTTGAGGGAAATAGGACTTAGGAAAGGCTTGTTTTTTTTAAGGTTGGGAGGGACTGGAATGTGTTTGTAGGCTGAATGGGAAGAACTAGTAGATGGGGAGAGATTAAAGATTAGAAATAGAAGAGATGTATTGTGAGTGCAATATGCTGGTAATGATAGGAAGAGGATGGGATTTAGGGTACAAGTCTAGGAGTTGGCCATGACAAGGAAAAGAGTCAACTCTTATTAGACTAAAGGATGAGAGGGTAATTGATGACATAAAGGGGTTTTAAAATGAAGAGATGTAGAGAAGAGGAAGCTCACGGAGAACGGCCTATATTTTCTTAGTAAAGTATGAAATGAGCTCCTAAGTTAAGAAGGTAGAGGAAGAGAAGGTATGAGAAGTTTAAAATTAGAGAAGGTTTAGAATGGCCTTTATGGGCAATAGGATAAAAATCAATTAGGAGAGTAGTAAAAGAACTGCCTTGCTACAATTGAGGGTCCAGTTGAGGTTAGGTAACATAATTCTGTAGCAGATCTAATCAGCTTGTTTATCTAAACAGCTTCTTTGAACTCGGTTCAACAGTATGAAAAATTAGGAAACATTTCATTATTCTCTCTTTTTTAGCAATTTCATTCATTCCTATGATTTCAACTATTCCCTTTAAACTAAAAATTCTCATATCCAGAGCTCCAGCCCTGATTCATGTGTCATACTAAAACCTAAATCTCAACAGATCCAAATGCTACTTTTTATTTTTGCCTTGGAATCGGTTCTTTCTTCTGCCTCCTCTGGTGCTATCAGTGGTACCATGATTCTCGCCTATCACAGCCAGTATGTCTTCAAGTCCTCCCTATCCTACACTCTCCATATCTCTTAAATCCATTCCTTCCTTTCCATTCCCACTATGTCATCCCTGAATAGCTCCTCAAGTCCCTCAAGACCACCACCTGGAGTTTGGTGGAACCTTCTATCAGGCCTTTTAACTCCCGTTCTGTTTTGATGTAAACTAATGACATAATTACGTAGTGTAATAGAAGGTTAGATTTGAAGTAAAAAAGGCTTGAGTTTGAATTTCACCTCTGACGTTAGCTATGGGAATATGGGCAAACCTTAGTTTCCATCTATAAAAAGGGGACAACATACAAATAATGCACTGTTGTGAGATGCTGTGAGGCTTACATAAATAGTATGCTTTGCAAACCCTAATGTGTGCATCAACTATTGTTGCTATTGTTATAATAATAACTGGAATTGCTCCAAAGATGCTTTTAATGAACGTAGAAAAGATAAGCTTATATCCCAGTATATATCCCATTACCTTTATTCAGTTATAAAAGAGCAATTATTTCATCTAATTGTGCAATAGTCTGCATAATATTAAGGATAAAAGAATAATATCAAGATAGCTATTTGTCCCAAGACTGTTACTATCAGAACACCATAGAAAAAGAAGAGAAAGGGGGCAGCTAGGTGGCGCAGTGTATGGAGCACCGGCCCTGAATTCAGAAGGACCTGAGTTCACATCAGGCCTCAGACCAAACACTTGACACTTACTAGCTGTGTGACCCTGGGCAAGTCACTTAACCCCAATTGCCTAAAAACAAAAAACAAACAAAAAAAAAGAGAGAAGGAAGAGAAGAATGAGATAACTAATAATAATAATGATGTCTTCCTTCTACATGGCAACATTGTGGCATGATGGATCAGAAAGCTCGTCTCAGAGTCAAACCTGGCTATATGGCCGTAGGCAAGTCACTGAAGCTTTCAGTGCCCTAGGAAACTTCCTAAACTATGACTTGCAATGAATGTGTTGACTCGCCCCGGTGGAGGAAGTACCCCACAAGGAAATTCCTTACACTAGTGAAATAACAGGTCCTAATCTTATGTACAGATCTGTTTTTATAGATCCACCTGCTTAAAATCCCACTATGTAATGGCTTAAGTCCAGAATTCTTTCTCTGTCATTGAAGCCCTCCATGATACAGTGTTATCGATTTTCCTTTCAATATATTGTATTCTAGCCATACTCGGACTACTTGCTTAATATATGCTTTCCCACTCCCTCGACTCTGCTTTCACTGCTCCCTACGCCTATCCTGGAGTTCAGGAAGAGAACTGGGTCATGTATGTGGATTTAGGCATGAGCTGTATAGAGATGATAAGATCACCAGTGATGGGAACGGAGGAGATCAGCAAAAGAGAGAGAGGGAAAAGAGAGCCCAAGCCAGAGCTCTGAGAAACACCCATGTTTTTTGAGCAAGGGAGGAACATCAGTAGATAACAGAAGCAGACAGTCACTTAACCTCTATTAACTTCAGTTTCCTCATCTGTCAAATGGGGACAATAAGAGTACCAAGCTCATAGAGTTCCTGTGAGTATCAAATTCGATAATATATGTAAGGAGCACTACAAACTTTTAAGGGCTATACAAATAAACATTAGATGTCGATGTTATCATCAATCATTAATTCCACTTGCTACCCTGCAATTTTTATTTAGTCTGTACTATGGAACTGTAATTCATGTGGATATGAATCTTGTCTTACCAGGTTGTAGTTGCTTTCTCATTCTTGGATTTTGGTTGCTTTTTACTATATTGACTCTCTGTTTCTGTGGAGGTTTTTTCATGGCTTGGTTAACCCTTGGCACAGTTTTGATTGGAGATGTCTCTGGTTTTTTTACCTTTTTAGCATTAGTTACCACTGGCACACTTTCAGAAACAGAAGTCTCTTGGTTTTTCTGATCCAATTTTGTTGTCTGTATAAACTGTGCTGTCAGCACTTCAGCGCCTCAAAAAGAAATGACATTTTTTTTTCTTAAAGGAGGTTTCAGGTTGAAATCATCATCAGCATGGTTTTACCATTTTTTAAATGACAAAAAACTTATTTACATAGCTATATTAGTGGTTCAGAAAAATGCTAATTTAATTTTCTTTGGTTTTCTTTTTAAAAATAATCTCAATAACGATGAGCAAAACTTAAAATTTTGAGATTATCAAAGCAACTTAAAAACCTGATTTAAAGTTCTTAATGAAATTAGATATTTTAAAACTTGTTAAACTTCATTCTGCAAGCCAAATGAAGAGAAACATAAAGGTGCAACTATAAAAATGGCAAAGCACAACAATTCAGTGCAGCCTTCTAAATTAACACCAGTCTGAGACACATTAGTCTGGCACAGAACAATGGAGTAAAGAGAAGAAAAATTTAAACAAAAGTATGCTGGAATTTGTGGGGCAGCTAGGAGACACAGTGGATAGAGAACCAGCCTGGAGGTGGGAAGACTCATCTTCCTGAGTTCAAATCAGCCCAGGCAAGTCATTTAATCCTGTTTGTCTCAGTTTCCTCATCTGTAAAATGAGCAGGAGAAGGAAATGGCACACTACTCCTGTATCTTTGCCAAGAAAAACCAAAAAAAGAGGTTATGAAGAGTTGGACACTACTGAAACAACTGAACAATAACAAAAAAAATGTTGAAATTCATCTAGAAATTAAGGAAGAAAACAAGGCATTTGTAAGCACCTACTATGTGCCAGGCTCAACTTAAAAGGCAGAAAGGAAAACAATCTACATTCTGATAATCACTCAGGCTAAGAATCATAGAGAAACATTTAAGAACTCACAGAATCAATGAGAAGTGACATCAGCATGAGAAAAAACCTTTTAACTACAAAAGAATTCACTGAAATGAAGTTCTTGAGAATTCTATAATACACATACAAGAAGTGGTTGGGTATGCTGCCGGTCTCATACTTCTCTAAGAGGTTACCAGCATCTGTTCCTACAGTTCTGCGTATATATACATTCTCACTAAGTGAGAATCTCGGTGTGAAACAATCTCTGTCTATGTACATAAATATGCTCAAATAATGAATCTTCAAGATTAACAGACTTTTTGAGACACATTTTTGAAAACAAAAATGCTGTGCCCTCATCTTTATACCTCTTATATCCAAAAGTATGGTTATAACTGGGCTGTATTAATGATTTAACATCCCTGTGGCTTACATCCTTATTCCCTTCCACATAATTTGGAATCCAGTGATTCCTTTCTGTTCCCTTTGTTCCTTGAATACCATATCTCCTAACTTTCAGGCATATTTGCTGGCTGTCTCTCATGCTTCAAACTTTCCCCCTCCTCATTTCTATCTCCTGGCTGCCTTCATTTTCTTCAAATCTTAGCTAAAATTCAACCTTTTACAAGAAGCCTTTCCCAACTCAATCTTAGTGCCTTCCAAATTCTGAAATTTATCCCAATTTATCCTGTATATGTCTTGGTATACAGAGTTGTTTGCATGTTTTCTCCTCCATTAGACTCTGAGCTTCTTTAAAGTAAGGATTGTTTTTTTTTTTTGGGGCTGTTCTTTGTATCCCCAGAGCTCAGCAAGTACCAGGCATGTAGTAGATACTTAATATATGCTTCTTGACTTCTATCTATTAATATTCACTGATATTTTAAAATTACATCAAAATGGAACTTACCTCTTTTTCTTTTCTGAGGAAACTGACCTTTTGCTAGCTTAACCGTGGTTTCAATGGTAGTTACAGGTCCTGTTTTTTTGGAGAAAGGGCGGCATAAGTTCACCTTTTTATTCTGCATCACAACGGACATACTTGCTTTTCTTTTCGGCTGGATTCTCAGATTTGACGTTGGACACAACTGTAGAGTATTCTCATTAGCCTTACCTGTCCCCTCAGAGTATTTATTTTTTTCAGTTTCATTTTTCATTTGAGCCTCTGAGTCAACAAATTCAGGGTCCGGAGGCATAAAGAGAGAGAAGTCAACATCACAGACTCCATCAGAAATAGAAAAAGGTGATGGAGAATGCCCTGCTAGCAAATCCAAGGCTGTGGTTATTTCCAAAGCATAACCACTAGGATCTGAAAAGTAAGACTTCAGACGAGTTAAAGTCTTCTGAGTACACTTTTCAGAACTGTGACCCGACTTAAATTCACTGGACAGTGTGTCAAATGGGAAAAACTCTGGTTCTTCAAATGAATTTTGGGAAGACAATGAAGAATTTTTGTTCAGCTTGGCAAATTCTTGGAAATGATGCTTCACTAACACATTTGGATGGATTTCTTCCTCAGACAAAAATTTCTTTGCTTCCAGAAGAGCATAATGAAGGGTAGGCAAAATGGGTACAACTCTCACAGAAATGTCTTCTTCACATTTTGATTCTTTCCTACCTAAAAACATATATATATATATATAATATATACATACATATACACAATGTATAGTTACATTAAATCTATAATACAAAAATAATGCTTTACATTTTACATATTCTTAAAATGGTGAAAAAAATGACTGTAGTAAATTCAAAATGATAATCTAAACAGTGATAACATTATGTACATTTATACCTATTAGAGGTATCTAAATAATGGTAGAAAGGAAGGAAAATGAGTAAGTAAAAACAAACTTGCAGTGAACTCTCCATTAAATAGGGTAAGAGGGACTGGCACAGAGATAGGGACTGGAGCAGTGACTTCATTTGTATATGGAAATCCCAGTTGAGTCAAGTGTCTCTACCAATGAAGGTTAGCATTTTATCTGCACCTAATAGTCTTAAACAGCTGCCAATTATACAGTCAAATGCAGCTGACTAAAGCTGATCTTGTCCCCATTCCCAGACCCATGAATTGCCAGAAACTAACCAGACATTATCACATATAGCCTCTATTTTGCAAATGTCCTAAATTCTTCCTAATCTTTCTCTATGGACTTTCAGTAGTTATGCAAAACAACTTACCTTGCAAAACCACAGACTGTCCCAACCTTCTTGCATCTGCAGCCCCTCTCCCTCTGCTCATTTGCTGCTCCATAGAACCCCAGTTTGAACTCCTCGCCCCAACTGAAAATCATAATTTTTGCTATACTGGCTGCTTTCTCATTAATTCAAGTTGATACACCAAGTAGTAAGGTAATTTGCTCAGTCACAAAAGCTAGTATGTGTCAGGGACATGACTTAGTTTAAGATCTTCCAGACTCTAAGTCCAACTCTCTATTCCCCATCAGCACTCTGTGTTACACTGCCTCTCTAAGGGATAACTAAAACCTCTAGCCAGATATTCCCAAAGTAGGCAATAATGCCCCCAGGGGACACTACACCAGTGGGGGGGTAGGAGGCAGTAATAGCCTCGGGTGCAACTGAGAAAGGGGCAGTGGAAGTATAAAGAAAGAAGAGAAGAACATTTAAAAAAAACCGTTTGTGCATGTTTCATCTGTTGTATAACAGAGTTAAAGCTGTAGTGATTATGTTATTTTCCAAACATACATACAAAATGCCAAGTTATAACTGATCAGTAGTCAAGTTTGCCAACAGATCTTAACAAGCAAGTGTTGGCAGGTGAGCATGTTGCACACTGTTGGGAAGTCCAGCACGCATCAGCAGGAATATGTGAGAGTAATGACTTGTTTACAATACAATACTATATGGTTACATGATGCAATATTGTGTCATCAAAATTTCAATGGAGGGAAAAAAAACACAAATAAATTATTAAATTTAAGATATGTCACTTTTTTTAAATGATGCAAATTTTTAAGAAACCGTTAAAGGATTAAAGAAAGTAGATTTCGGGGGGGGGGGTGCTGAGTAATTTTTTTTAAAAAGGGAGTGATAGGCCAAATAAGTCTGCCCTAGATAATAATCACTTAAAAAAACAGAGGCAAAAAGGACTCAGAAAGACCATTTTGTTGTCCACCTCATCCTGCTCTCTTTGATAGAAGTATTAATTTAAAGGGAAACAGCCTGAAGGTAAACAAGAACATTTAAGAAGGATGAGAAGTACTGATAGTCCCTTCAAGCTCTGCAGCCTATAATCATAAGACAGGGAAATTGTGAACTAGATAATTAGCTCACAGGAATACCATATTTAGAACTGCCAATAATAATGAATTTCCATCAATCAATAAAACCCCAAGGAGGTTCAGGCCTATCAAATTCAATAACACACAAAGCTATTTAACAGAAATAAAAATTTACATGTCCACTCAGAAAAGACCAAGTAAAGATAAAAAATTCCTTAAGATAGAACATTACTGTTTTCTTAAGTGACATTAAGTACACAATATAAAATAGGAGAAACCAGATGCATAAAAAGAAAAATGTAAGTTACTTAAAAATTATTTCCTTTGTAGTTTCTTTCACCTTTCAACTCCCTCTTCCATCTCTTTTGAAAATTAATGGTACAGAACTAAGAGAAAAAACAATGCTACACTGACAGTAGCTAATAATACTTAAACAGCATTTTGCAAACAGTTAACGTTTGCCTGAAATAGGCGTGACATAGTTGTGAAAATCTGTTTGTAGCCTAATGTTATGGTATTTTCTAAGTTACTGGTGTTTCTCTAATATAGAACTAAATGAGAGAACTGAGAAAAATGGTTTCCACCTTCACACTGGTTGTCCATCATGCTTGGAGCACACTCACTTCTCATCTTACTTCTTGGAATTATTTCCTCAAAACTCAATTCAAGGGCTACCTTCTATATAAAGCTGCTATTGATGCCCTCTGTTTGCCACAGCCCTCTCCCCAAAGCTGGTATTTACTATGCATATACTATAATCTGAATATATGTGTGTGTTTTGTGCAAATTTACATAAGCATAAGTTTCCTCCTTCCCCAATAGAACGTTAAAGGCAAGGACTTAACTGTTTCATTTTGATTTTATATCCCCAATGTCTAACACAGTGGCTGACACCCAGTAGGCACTTAATAAATACTCAATTGGCTGACTAATGAATTGAACTAAGCTGGGGATATGGTTAGTCAAGAAAAAAAAATTCCTTAATTTTCCTATTTATGCCAAAAATAGGAATATTAAGATGGATATCATCAAGAACATGGAAAAAGTCTTATTATGTATAGCTGCACAGGATAATGCCATGTTCAAATTATACATACAAATTATGCATAAATAATACATTATTATATTATATATTAAGAATTATATCATATATAACTAGATATGGAGGCGTTCTAATACTTTTTGTTTTAAGAGAAAAGTTTATTTCTTTTAGGCTAAATGAAAACAATGAAATATTCAACTTCATCTCTGTAGTGAATCCTAAGCATATCCCTTAATTTTCTATACCTGTTGACAATGATGAAGGGAATAAAAACAAGGCATATAGGCTCTCAGGTTGATCACCAAAATCTGTAAAAAATGAAAGACAGAAAATGTTAAATGCTGTGGCATACTATGAAAACAAAAATATTTCTTTCAAAATAATTTCTCCTTACCTGTGTCCCACAGGAAGGCAGACGATGTAAGCAAAATAAGAAACCCTTGATCTTCTAAACATTTGATAATTGCCTATAATATATACCAAAAAGACAAAAAAAAACCACGTAAGAAAATCTATCTCTCTCCCCATACACCACACTTTAAATTGACATTTCTACTCATGAAAATGATAGTCCTAGAAAAAATTAAGTATGTATATGCAATTAATAGGAATTTTACTCCTTCTCTTGAAGTAAAAAAGTTCCAAGATTTCTTTCCTTATGGCCCTGGTAAAACTGTGTAAACATCCTTCTTTATCGCTAATTATTAAACTACCAAAGTAAAAGTGTACCATTAGTTATAGTTACTATTAGTTTTGCTTAACTGTCTTTAGGGATATATTTTCTAGGGGGACTTGTCGGGGTCTTTTGGAAAGTATTCTGTCAAAATATAACCTCTTTTTTTTTTTTTTAAAGTTGCACAGCAAGGGGCAGCTAGGTGACGCAGTAGCCAGAGCACCAGCCCTGGATTCAAGAGGACCTGAGTTCAAATTTGACCTCAGACACATAACACTTACTAGCTATGTGACCCTAGGCAAGTCACTTAACCCCATTGCCTAACCAAAAAAAAAAAAAAAGAAAAAGTTGCACAGCAGTGCTAAGAATAACTGGTTACCTGCCAAAAAGAAACTAAATGGAGATCTCTAGATTAGAGCACAGCAATTATTTACTTCTCCCTTTTTAACTATTACAAAATTTAAGGATAATTAGAACAATGACCTCGTATCTAAAATCATGCTTTACATTAGTCAAATTATGGAATGTTAATGTAGGAAAGAACCTTAGTGGTTACCTAATCTAATTTTCCATCCAGTATAACAATACCTTTAACAGTATCACTGACCTGAATGCATAGCAGTCACTTGAATACCTCCAGGGATAGAATGCTCCCTTTCTATACAACAGCCTATTCTATTATGAAGACAGCTCTATATTTTTATTAAGTTCTCTTGTTTTGAGCCCAAATCTGTATTACTCCTTAAAATTCTACCCACTGGTCCTACACTTCTACGAAGTACAGTAGTATATTCACTTAATTTGGGGTCTAGTCAATAACTATTTTAACAAGGAACAGATTAATCACATATCCACACATAATCACATTAACAAAAGCTAATAACTTCACACATGAAATAAAAACACTACACCTAAAAAAGTTAAGTGGAACACTCCACATATGCTATAGGTGTCATATGTAATGATAAAATTAAGCATTTATTTGATCTCTCATCTACCTGGACTGTTTGCCAAAATAAATACTGCCCACCAAAGAATGCAATCAAATGTTTAAACACCAATTTGTCATATTTTAAGGATAGCTAATGTAAAATATCCAAATGATAAGAAGGCCAGATGAGAAAAGGAAAAAGATCTAGCTGTAAAGGAAAGCTGGAAACAAAAAAAATCTATGGGTCTTGTTGAATAGGAAATTCTATCAAACTTTTAAACAATAATTAGTACCAATACTTTCCAAATTATTCTCAAAAAGTGAGGAAAAGCACCCTACCAAAACCTTTTATGCGACAAATATTGTCCTAGTACCTAAACCAGCTAAACACAAAAGGAAAACTATTTGAAAACTTTTAACAAAATTCTGTCAAACAGACAAAAGTGAATTATCCAAGAAAGCATTTATTATGATCAAGTGGGGTTTACAACAAGGGTTCAAGGATGGTTCAACACCAGGAAAGGAATCAATAAAATTAATTATATTAAAAACTAAAATATCTAAAACCATATGATTATCTCAATTGATGAAGAAAAAGCCTTTTACAAAGGGCAGCATTCTTTTATGCTAAAAACCAATAAAATATAGGCACAGAAGGATCTTTTTTTAATATAAAAAGCATCTATTTAAAATCAAAAGTAAGCCTCATATGCAATGGGGATGCACTAGAATGTTTTTCCAATAAATATGGGAATAAATCAAGGATGTCCATGTCCATTCTCCCTACTATTATTTAATATAGTTCTAAAAATGCTGGCAATATCAATAAGACAAGAGAAAGATATTGAAGGCATAAAGATAGGTAAAAGAGGTGATAAAACTATCTCTATAATTTACACTTTTAATGCTAGACCAATCAAATTACTAAGTGTACATTTTATAGAACTTGAACGAAATTAATTTGGAAAAACAAAAAATCTAAAACATCAAGGGAAATTATAAAAATAGGGACCACAGTGGGATAGCACTTCCAGATCTGAAACTATATTAATTATATCGCAGCTGTCATCAAAACTATCTGGTATTGATTTAAAAATAAATAGATCAATTAAATAGAGGAGATAAAGAAGAACCAGAAATAATGGAACTCAATAACCTAATGTTTCATAAATTAGAAAAGATAAATTAGCTAGGAAAAAAACTTATTTGTTAAAAACTTCTGCTAAGACTAGAAAACAACTTGGCCAAAATTAGAATCAGAGCAACACATATTTCACAACACATTCTTTTTTTCTTTTGCTTTTTTTTTGGTGAGGCAATCAGGGTTAAGTGACTTGCCCATGGTCACACAGCCAGTAAGTGTTAAGTGTCTGAGACTGGATTTGAACTCAGGTCCTCCTGACTCCAAGGCCAGAGCTATATTCACTGCGCCACCTAGCTCCCCCCTCTACAACATATTCTAAACGAATATGCAACCTTAATATTAAAAGATCATACTATGTTCTAAAATATTTATAGCAGCTCTCTTTGAAGTAGCAAAGAACTGGAAATCACAGAGATGCCAGTCAATTGGGGAATGGCTCAACAAGTTGTGGCATATGATTGTGATGGAATACTACTGCTCGATGATCTTAGAAAAACATGGACAGATGTGCAGGAAATAATGAAGAGCAAAATAAGCAGAACCAAGAGGACGTTATACACAGTAATAGCAATTTTTTTTATGAACAACTTTGAGTGACTAAGTCATTTTGACTATTATAAATACTCAAATTAACTACAAAGGACAGATGAAGACGCAATCTGCGTCCAGAGAAAGAACTGATAAGTAGAAGTATGTATAGAATGATTTTACATATATACATATTTGTGTCTAATGAAAACCATGGGGTGGGGGGAGAGAAAAAAAAGAAATTTACATGACAACTTTATTATATACTTAAAAGGAATAGCAAGTTATAGGTAATAGATCTGCAGTTTCATGTGCAATTAACTTTTTTTAAAAATTATACTATGTTATGGAAATGTTTGTTTTATTCCATAAATTAAAAGATCATACTACAAAAGTTATTAAAGAAGCAAATCATAAACCTCTCACAACTCTGAGTAGAAGTTCTATTCCTAACTAAACAAGAATAAGACACAATTATGAAAGATAGAACAGAAAACTAAGTACATGAAACTGAAACGTTTCTGCACAGACAAAAGTAAAGCATCTAGTATAAAAGAATGAAAATGGTCAAATAGGAGAAAAATCTGCATCAAAATTTTTTTGATAAGGGTTTAGTATTCAAGATACGTAAACAATAAATGTATATAAGACCAATAGTCATTTCCCAATAGATAAATATTCAAAGGTTATGAACAAAGAATTCTCAAAAGAAGAACTATGAAGTATTCACAACCACAGGAAAGAATGCTCCAAATCACTAATGAAAGAAATACAAGTCAAAACAACCCTGATGTTTCACCTCACACCCTTCTATTGGCAAATATGACAAAAAATGGCAATAGTCAATGTTGGCAGGGTTGTGGGAAAATGCCAATATATTGCTGGTGGAGCTGTAAATAATGGCATAACCATTTTGGAACATAGTTTGGAATTACACAAATAAAGTAATTAAGCTACCCATACTCTCTGAATCAGACACTTCATTACTGGGCTTAAACTCATAAAGAGTCATTGATAAGAAGAAAGTTCTCATATACTCCAAAATATTTATTTTGTTCAGTCATTTGTCAGTTGTGTCTGACTCTTCAAGACCCCATTTTTGAGGTTTTCTTGGGAAAAATACTGGAGTGGTTTGTCATTTCCTTTTCCAGCTCATTGTACAGATGAAGAGACTGAGGCAAAGTTAAATGACTTGCCCAGGGTCACACAGCTAGTAAGTGTCTGAGACCAGATTTAAACTCAGGAAGAGCAGTCTTCTGGACTCCAAGCCTGTCACTCTATCCATTGTGCAACCAAGCTTCCGACAAAATATTTATCCACGTTCTTTTATTTATTTTTTTTTAATTTTAGGCAATTGGGGTTAAGTGACTTGCCCAGGGTCACACAGCTAGTAAGAGTCAAGTGTTGGTCTGAGTCCATATTTGAACTCAGGTCCTCCTGTCTTCAGGGCCGGTGCTCTATCCACTGCGCCACCTTGCTGCTCCACGCCAAAATATTTATAGCAATACCTTTTATGACAGTAAAAAATTGGAAACAAAGTAAATGCCCACAAATTGAGGAATGGATAAACAAATTGTGGCACACGAATGTAATGGAACATTACTGTACTGTAAGAAATAATGTGTGATTATTAATACAAAAAAGAATGGAAAGATCTAAACAAATCAATAATGAAGCAGAGCCAAGAAAATAATATGTATGGTAACTATAAGAATGTAAATGGAAACCCCCCCACCAAAATCAAGTGAATGTAACAAAATTATAAAGATCAAATATGGCTAGAATGAAGAGACATGAAAGGAAATCCCTAACCCACCTTTTTGTGGAGACAGACATTGTGTTAGAGACAGCCAATGTGTTAGCCATTCCACATGTTTTTATACTTTTTATCAATCAGTTGTGCTGATTTTTTTCCCTCTTGAAAAAAAAACAGTATTTGTTATTTTGGGATGGCTGTCTGGCAGAGGGGAAGGCATACAGGGGATAACTGTGATGATGTAAGAAACAGAAGTTATGAATAAAAACTTATCCTAAAAAATTTTTTTAAGGATAGCTAAACTGTGTTTTGCTACTTGAGACTGCATATTATGGCTAGAACAAAATGACCACAATGTTTTTTAAAAAGAAGGGAATGAACCAAAACGTAATGAATAATTTAATAGAAGTATCACAATGAAAATGTGAAACTGCAAGATCTTTTTTCTATTTGATGACTTGGTCTTAGAGGTTATTTACAGCAGCAGTGACAATTTGGTTTCTAAACCAAAAATGACTTTCACTGTTTATTTCCTACATCAGAGGAAAATGAAAGTAAAAATGATTAGGCCTTTCATTGTTTGCCTTTTCAACCCTGAATACAAAAGTGAAAGTAAAATTCTTTAGACTACCAATTAAACTCCCCACACACAACCACAAAATCTTCTTAAAAAAAAAAAGCAAAGTAAAACAGAAATGTTTGCTATGTTATCAGTGAATTGAAAGTCACAGATCATAGTAGAGCTGGAAAGGACCTTAAAAATCATCTACTCCAATCCCCTATTTATACAGGTAAGGAAACTGAGGCCCAGGGAGGGTAAATGACTTACTTGCTCAATATCACATTAATAACAAAACCAGAATATGAACTCGGATCCAAATACCCTTTCTAAACAGTGGAAAAGCCTCCTTTTAACTTACACTCTAAAGGGAAATATCATTAGAATCTTTTAAATTTTAGAACTAATTTAACCATTTCTACTAACAAAAGAGGAATTTATCGTTATGGCATAGCCCAGAAAGTATTCTACCCTTTCATTGTTAATACAGGGTGTTCTAGCATAACAAATGAAGTCTAACAAAATATATACACCTTGGCTTTTCAAGGCAAATTCAATTCATTTCCTTAAGTGTTTCAATAATTATAGCTTCAACTCAACAAGATTCATAGCAAGGAATATAAAATATATAGTACCACCCGTAAACTCATGATGAAGGTTCAAGCATCAAATGATGATGCATAATTCAGACTTAAATCCAAAAGAAACACATCTGGCTTTTAACTAGTTTTCTATTAACTTTAATTTCTCTAAGAACTTAAAAGCAGTTCAGGATCCATTGGTATGTTTCCTGAAAATAATCTGAAAATTTCATTCCTATTTTGTATCCAATTACCACATGAACCCTACCAATCCTGTAAAATATCACTTATAATTTGTACAATAAATTACCTTCAGATTAAACATGTTAAAAAAAAAAGAACATTTTATTTTCCCTTGCAAGCTCTGTAATTAAGTAATACCGACAGGAGTATTTCAAAAACTCTAGGCCACAGAACCACTCCCTCCTCTTCCTCCTTTAGCTTCCATTCCCAAATAAACGCTAGCTAACATGCAAGCATTACCATCATTTGAAATTGCACACATGAAGTTCTACAACCTGATCTTTGCAAATAAGCAAGTAGTTGGGGTTTCTTGCAACTCTTTGTAGTTTAATCTGGATGTTGTAAGTTAGTCAATTTGCATCAAATGCTTTTGGGATTCACATGTCAGAGTAAATGTTCTAGGAAGGGTATCTATTCCTCTGAGAGGATTTCGGGAAAGCCTTTCTTTTCTTATATTCCTTATAAAACATCTTCTAGGGAATTTATATAGTACAAGTCTCTTCCTACAACTGGTAAGATTTAAGACCAAAAGGAGATGAGAACATTTGTCTTAAGAGTGCTCAATAAAAAATGAGGAAGAATGAAAATTCTCTAATCAGCATTGAAATGATTTATTCTACTAAGCAGATCTAGCTAAAAATGAGATGCAAAATTCTCAGTTATTTAAGAAATAACAATACTTAAGTCCATGTCCTTACCAATTCTTTAGTTTTTATGTATTCTGTTAGTTGATCTAATTTCTTCCCTTGTTTGTTCGATATTTCCACTTCGCACATGCTGAAGTATAAACCCTGGTGACAGTCTGTAAAGAGGACAAATAAGATGTGTGAAAACAGTAACATATAACAGAAACACTCTTAAAGACCTTTTCTTGCTCTGAACTTCACAAGGAAAAAAAAATTTTATAAAACAAATCAGTTCATCAATCTGCAGGCACCTGGTGATAAACTTCTCCAAATTTAGGTAGGTCAGTCCTCAGACAACAGATATATAGTACATCACGATGCCTGTGCTTGAAGCTTTTCCAGCTTGGGAGGACCTACCAGAGCTTATACTCTGTGATATAGATAACAGAGTGTCATCTCCATAAGGTAATAAAGTAGAGTAGAATTTCAGTGGAGGCTCAAGTATTTGCTTGAATGGATCTTAGATATCATGAATATGGGTAATTCCTCCAATGGTGCAAACTGTAACTCATCCACACCTCACTTTGCTAGGGGACTCCTGTGAGGTGTCACAGCATTTCAGAGGTACCTGTGCAGAATGTGGGTTCCCTGCTCTCACCAAATATCTAATCTCTTCTATACTGCTTCTTACATAAAATTTACCATTGGCAATATGCTATGGTCCAGTTGTGCTCACCATGCATTCCACTGCTCTTTGAGTGGCCCACAATTTTGATTCTTTGGAAATAGTGATATTCCATGATTCATAGCCATGAAAACTTGTCCATTAGAATACAAGTTCCTTGAAGGCTGGGACTCGCATTTTTCCTTTTGTGTCTCCAGTGCTTGGTCCCATGCCTGGCATACAGTAAGCACTTAAATGCCTACTGATTGACTGATCACTAGAACAATATTAATGTTTAAAAAATGAGGTTTTATTTCAAGGAGAAGCTTTGCGTCACTGATGTGTGAAAGTTTTCCAAATGCAATTCCATCCTACTCTCTTCTTGCTATTCAATTCTGGTCTTAGTTCACTGTTCATCTGCAACATTTTTCCAAGATTTTTCCAGGTTTGTAGACTGTCCATCCAACTACATATCCATCTGTACAATGGGCATTTTAAATCCACTTGGTTTTTCTTCTGTGGACTGTTAGGTCAAACTCTTATGTGACTGCTGATTTCATTTAGGAGGCTATGCAATATTCCAGGGCTTGGTGTAGTTAGCACAAATCATCTGTAACCCAGAGCATATGGAGAACTCGTCATCTAGAGAGAATCACTGATTTGTACCATGCACTGGACTTCCTCCATGATAGCAGCTACGATTCCTTTGATATTCAGAGTAAATGAACATAGTTCTTCATGTATCTTTCAAGGAATCTTTGTTTAACATACGTATAGAAGACAAGTCGTAGGAAAGGAAGTATTTAATGCTACCTTTTACTCTAGCAGATTAAGTGCTTTTTTGAAATAAACAAAAAATAAGCACTGTGAGATCTTATGTTATTTGCACCCTTTTAATCAGTCCTGTGACTGCAAGATGTGATGTGCTGTAGAATATCATTCATGCAAACTGCCTCATCCATTCTCAGTTTCATTAAGGATGTCCTTATATGTATATGGATTATCCTAGAAGTTTTGTAAAGAGTAGAAAATACAAATAATGATCAATGTCTCAATCACTATTTTTCATAGTATCAGTGATTGTTCCAAATCATTTGACATATCTCCTGTTGTCTGATGGGCAATTCAAGGCACAGTGCTAGGTAATAACAAAGAAAAAAAATGACACAGTCCTTGCCTTCGAGGAGTCTACACCATACTTAAGGGAAACAACATGTTCACAAATAATTAAATACAAAATAAATATAAAGTAATTACAGGGAGAGGGAGTACCAACAACTGGAGAAATTAGGAAAGGTCTCTTGTATTAGGTGGCATTTGAGCTGAGCTGTGAAGGAAGCTAGAGATTCTAAGATGAGGGGGAGTATTTCAGGTAAAAGCAACAGTACAAAAAGTGTGCAGAAAGTGCAGAACTTAAAAATATGTTGTGTAGAGGAAGGGAACAAGCATTTAAATAGCACCTACCACATGCCAGGCATTGTGCTAAGTGCTGTATACAGACAACAAATATGTCCGCTTGGCTGAAAAGCAAAATGTGCAAAAGAAAGTAATACACAATTAAACTAGAAATATAGGTTGGAGCTAGTCTATAGAGAGGGCTTTAAATGATAGAGGAGTCGGTATTTTATCTTAGAAGTAATAGACAGCCTTTGAAAATGTCATGAGTGACCATCAAACTTGTGCTTTAGGAAAATCAATTTGGCAGCTATGTGAAGAATTGCATTACAGATGGGACAGGAGATCAGTAAGGAGGTATAATGCTGCAATGAAGTGATGAGGGCCTGAACAAGGGAGGTTGTAGTACAAGTAGAGAGAATGAGATGGAAACAGGAGACGGTGTGGAAGTAGAATCAGTAAGATTCGGTAACTTATTGGATATCTCGAGATTCTATGAGGCTCTCAAAATCATGTAGACTCCAACAGAGACTTTCTCTGGTACAGTGGCTTTTCCCATCATTGCTTTCTTTAGTGATAGTTCTACTTCATCATATAGCATACTGGAAAACTATGATGTTAAGAGTTCATTTGTGGTAGTTTTACTGCCATTGGTGGAGAAAACGTTGGTATAGAAGTTGACAGATTTTCTTTCATTTTGCATCTGTTGTTTTCCCATTTTACCCTTAATTGCTCTCGTGATCATCTCATGAAAAGCTTTCTGTAAACTTATTTTTCCCTTAACTACGTCTTCATATTTCAATAGGCAATATTGTTCATAATTTACAACTATCCTTGTTGGTAATTTGCAAACAAGTTTAGATTCTACCAGGGGTAGGGAACCTGTGGCCTCCTAGGTCCTTTGGTGCAGCCCTTTGACTGAGTCCAAGTTTTACAAAACAAATCCTTTTATTAAAGGGATTTGTTCTATTCAGTTTGGATTCGATCTAAGGGCTGTACTTAAGGACCTAGAGGGCCACATGTGGCCTCCAGGTCACAGGTTCCCCACCCCTGTTCTAAACCACTATTACCCTTGGCTGTCATGTCTTTCTATTTGGCAAGATCAAGTATTTGCTATGTTCCTTTTGTTCTCTCATCAATAAGATTTCCTTAGTGATAGTTCACATTGATGACTGTTTCTTTATTCATTTCCCATTTCTTTTTTCATGTCAAGAACTTATTTAAATAGGACAAGAGCTATTTGAACTTATCTTCCCATTTTGATTCCTTCTACTTTCATATGTATTGTGATCTTTGCTATGAAAAGTTGATGGTCACTATAAAGATCACAGATTGGGAAATGATTCCCACATCAGTAACCAGTTATTTCCTGCCCCTTTTTCTTTTTTGAAGGAAGCATTCATGACATATAGGCACAAGTCTTCTGTGTAATCTACAAACCTTGCATCTTTTGCTTCTTGACCAAGTCAAATTTCCCAACATATTTGTCATCAATCTTCCCTGTCTACTTTTGCATAGATTAAATGAGTTAACGTATATAAAGTGTTTACAAACATGAGATACTGTTATTATTTGAATCTACCAGTATTTTAAATGTTTAATTTTGAGGGCTTTGAAAATTTCTTCACAAATTTCTCTACTTGTTGATCCTCTGGAGCTGATGTTGGGGCATAAGCTTCAATTATTTTCCTGAGAGTGTTTTTTAGCTTATGTTCAACATGGACATTGTGAGGTAAGATCTCATAAATTGTCCCATGCAATGATGTGTCCTATTGTCTTTGGATTTAGGATGAAAGCAACTGCCAATTCCTTATTTGTCACTTTAAAAAGAATCTAATAAGTCATTCAACCATTTAGCATTAGCATCCTTCTATCTTCTGATTTTATTTATAATTCAAATGTCAACATTGCTATGATTCAGTTTCTCCAATAGTATGCCAACTTCTAAGTTGCTGGATAAGAATCTTACTTTTATTGTAACAAAACTTAAAATGAACATTTAAAGATGACATAAAAACTGTGTGATTAACCTCTGCCTCCTTTTTCATTTTTTTCACTTTCATTACAGAAATGTGAACGGCTACAAAAGACTGGAGGTCACTTCATTTTTTTGCTTTGTGGATTTTTGTCATGGCCAAAGAATTTGTCAACTAAGGCTAGTCTACTGGTGACAAATTTCTAAACCAAAGTATGGTCCTTAGATAAGTCTTGCTGGGAATGTACTTAAAACCTGTCAAGAACAGTAGAACTTGTCAAAGTTTCCACTCCTCAGAAAAAGCCTTAAAAGAGAAGCCACTTCACTCCATGATGAGAATTAGAGTAGGATATTAAGAGCACAAAAAAATGTTAATATTTCAAATATAATGCCATGTCTTTATAATAAAAATTATTTTGTTTAGCCTGAATACGTTCTAAATCTCCAATATTTTTTAAAATAAAAAATTTATTTTTAATTTACAGCAATTCTTTTTGTGGTGGCAAAGAACTGGAAATTGAGGGGACGCCCATCAACTGGGGAATGTCTAAACAAGTACTATTGTGCTTCAAGAAATGACAAGCAAGCAGACTTCAGAAAAACCTGGAAAGACTTGTATGGACTGATGCTGAGTGAAGCAAGCAGAACCAGAACGTTGTACACAGTAACAGTCACGTTGTGAGATGACTAACTTTGACAGACTTAGCTCTTCTTAGCAATGCAAGGATCTAAAACATCTCCAAAAGTCTCACAATGGAAAATGCTATCCACAACCAGAGAAAGAACTATGGAGTTAGAGTGCAGATCGAAGCACACTATTTGCTCTTTTTTTTTCCTCTTCTATTTTGTTTTTCTTCTTTCCTGTGGTTCCTCCTACTGGTTCTAACTCTTCTTTACAACATGACTATGAAAATATGTTTAATAGGAATGTATATGTAAAGCCTATATCAGATTGTGTGCCATCTCAGGGAGGGAGGAGGGGGAATTTAGAACTCAAAATTTTATGGAAGTGAATGTTGAAAACTAAAAATAAATTAATTAAAAATATGAAAAAATATTTTTCTTTAATGGTTTTTTGCAGAATCTTTTCTTGCCGAAATTACAAATATGAATCAGAATTGGTTTCTGGAAGACAGATGATGAACACTCCCCCTCCTCTTGGTAAAAAAGTAGAGACCATAGATAGGTACTATCAGATGCAGTTCCTGTGTTTAACAGTTCTGTTGTTTTTTCTTTGTGACAAAGGAAGGTTAGATAAGTTTAATCAGGGAAATGTTTGAAGTATAAAAAATAAAGGAATCAACAAAGCTCTTTTTAAAAAATAAAATAGAACTATGGTATTAATTTACTCTGGCATCATGACTAAATAAGACAGATCTGGAATGAAAAGAATTCTTAAAAATCACTGCTCTCTGTGACAACACAAATGACCATAGAATTTCCTGTTTTGTTTTTACATACTTTTTGTTTGGTTTTGAGAAAAGACTGTTTTCCTCATAGAGAATCAGGAGTGTTTCTGAAGCAATATTACCCTTAAGGCTTCTAATTTATTCCCATTTATCTTCAGAAGTTCTGTGTTATAACCCAAGTCTCTCCAACAGGTAAGAGTGAGAGTAATCAAATTTCCTACCTTGAACGTAGTCATATTTTACTGGGCCTGCAGTGAAGACTTAACAATACAAGGTCCTGAGACAAGTTTCTATGTAAATATGCAATGAGAGTTTGGGGGACTGAATGGGAGGGAGAAAATATCGATATTATTTGAATGATACCTTTTTTTTCTAAATAACTGCTTTTTCTAAAAGCAGATTCTGGTAGCTTCTTCTTCAAGGTAGATACTTCCATAACATATTTAGCATCTAGTTGCCGGGGTCTATCAAAAGAAAACCAGTGTAATACAAATTAATTACAAATATACTTTTCAAATCTCAAATCTGAACTCACATAAAAACAAAATTCTACCATAACTACAACCCTTATAATTCAATAATCTACAGATTCAGTAACTTGAGGATTAAGAAATGTCTACTAAAGAATTTGACGTACAAATTCTTTTAAGAATATTCTGGATATTTAAGGCAGGTTCTAAGACATTATCTAAAAATATGATGAACATCTAAGTATTGCCCAAATCCTTCCCAACTACATCTTGAAAAGTTGTGGCTGATTTTTAAGCTCTTTTCCAAAAACTTTGGTTGTGACTGATAACCACTAGAAATGAGCCACAAAATAAGATACAAAGTTTTTTTTAATACTTAATTTCCCTGTCATCTTTCCAGAACAAAGGTCAATATCATCACTATGTGAACAAATTAGAGTAGTTGTTTTTATAAAGTGCTTATCTAGATTAAAATAACCCAATTTTGAAACTTTTTACTGATTTCTAATACTACAACCACCACCTACTGCTACTTCTACTACTAGCTCACTTTTATACAGTCCTTTCATTTTTGCAAAGTGCACAACTCTTTGAGGTAGGTGCTATTAATATCTCTACTTCGCAAATGAAAAAACTGAGGCTCAGCAACATTGTAACTTGTTCAGGGTCACATAGCTAGTAGGAGTCTAAGGCAAGATTTGAACACAGATTTTCCTCTTTCCATGTCCAATATTCTATCACTACCCCAGGCTGCCTTTCACTAACAGAAGGGGAAAAAAATAGAATTGTTCTGCGATGAATGAAAAGTTGGAGAGACATAGTTTCTGAGTAATAATTAGTTATTACTTATGGCTAGCAAATAATTAATAGATTGAGGTCAGTGGCCTTCTCTCATAAACCAGAGGAACCCTGGAGGCCCCAGAATGCTTAAATACCCTTGAGAAGGAGTTGTCCAGAACAGGTGGAAATCAACTCTGACTGGTGAACAATGACAGAATGAATATTATAAGAGGTGGGTTTATTCTAATGAGGGGCTGGGGGACATGAGAGACAAGTCACTCTGGGACAAAAAGACTTATCTCAAGCCAAACCTCTCCTGCCTGGGCAACCTATACAAAAGGAATCCATCTCCACCCAATCAATGAACAACGAACAATGGTGGGGTAAGAATTCCACCTAGATAAGATGGTCTCAGTGGGGTGAATTTTTTGGGCAGGATGGTAAGGCTGGACTTTGAATGAGGAAATAGAAAGGGAAAAAATCTGGATCCTCTCCCCTTCCCCCACCGTATTAATTGGTTATTAATAATCATTTCTCTCAGTTCCTTCCATTACCTTGACATTTAAACCTACACTTTCAAACAGTTGGAATATAAACTAAGAGATCAATGGGAAACCACACAAATCTACTGGAAGATTACTTCCCTCCATATGATACAGATATGATCGCAAAGTTACCATATATTGCTACTAGAGACATCACATATTGTGAATCAAACAACACATTTAGAGGATTGCAATAACCTGTTACGGTATTGTTATTCCAGGGTTTAAAATAATGCTTATGATAGAAAGAAGCTTCTTTTACACATTTCATACATGTATTGTTTTCCATCAGACATCTTTCCCCCTATCATGTTACGCCTGATGATGATCCTCATTCTTCTATGTATTATGAAGACCGTAACTTACTTTGTGGAAGGTAAGGAAGCAAGAAGTCAAATACAAGGATCTGGATAAGATTTTATCTTTATTTGTAAGGCTAAAAAAACTTTAACAATGACAATTTACATTTCTACTATAATTTTAGCATTTCAAAGTCACTTTACTTTTGTTATTTGGTTTTAACCTATAACAATTACATAAGATTGGCAGGGCAAGCATTATCTAATAGATCAAGGAATTTATATGGAGAGGTTCAAAATGATTTGCTTAATATCACAGAGCTAGTTAGTGGAAGAGCCAATACCAAAACCTGGATGGGAATTTCAAATGTCCTGATTCAGACATACCATTGTACTAATTCTCTAAAAGTCAGGCACATATCTAATATGAATATAATCCAAGTTTCAAAATGTATATTCTTCTAAGTATTATACCAGTATCAGGAGAAAATGAAAGTAAAAAACTTACAACTGGGCTGGAATCACTGCACCGTAAGGAGACCAGAGTGTTAAATCACATATCAGTTGTCCCTGAATAATTAACTGCCCTCTCCAGGGGGAGATGAGAACTGTGAGAGGGAGGAAAAAGTGGGAAAAGAAAAATTGATAAATACACTCAGAATTAATTTTTAAGAATCTAAATGAAGGGTTAATTAAATATTCCCTTACCTTCATCATCAAAGTCAATCCTATAGGAAAAGGGGAAAAAAAAAGCAAAAAAATTTTTTATAAAAACATAGGATTCAAACCAGGAAAAATAACTATTCAAAAATTACTTACATATTTTTATGAGTAAAAGTTGACATCCTGTTAGGTTCACTGTACTGAAAAGCTACAATTACGTGAGGAAGAATTTGCCTGGGTCGTTGAACAACACTGTTGCCTAAAAATTCATAGAGGTAATACTAAAAAGGAAAAAAAAATATTATAAGGTAATAATGCTGATTATGTGCACATTTTACTTGAACTTTAAGCTACTCATAAATCTACCACATTATATACAAAAATATTTATTATAGTCACATTTATTCATTGTCCATTTTAAGTGATTATACCTGACTCAGCTTAAAGGCTCGAAAGCGGCTTGTCTTGAGAGAAAGTTTGTTGATATTTGCAGCCACATGGCAATCATAGCCAAAAGATGGACCGGTATAGTTAGTTGTATAATTCTCAGGTACAGCCTTGACTTTTCCCTACAATAAACATAATAATACTAATCAGAGGCCTTCAAACAATAAACTGAAACTAACAACACAGTTTAAAAGTTTTATTAAGAATTCAATCCTACATCTGGATTAAAACAGTAAAACTGGCAAGATTAATGCATATGTATTTCAAGCTAAGATTTTAACTATAATTCAACAATGTAGTTATAACTCATTATCAAAAAATCAGTTAGCATAGAAAGCAAAGCAGTAAAATATAGGAGGTGAACTTTAAACTATGTTTTAAAAAATGTGTAAGGAGCCATGAGAGGAAAAATAAAGGCCCTAAGATCCTACATGCCAAAAAAAAAAAAGACTAGATACAAACCATGCCTATGACAAAAGACCCCAAGTGGCCTGAAATAAGTAAAGTTTCTAAAGAAACTTTAAATATTAAAATGGAAAGTTTTGGGGCAGCTAGGTGGTGCAATGGATAGAGCACTGGCCCTGGAGTCAGGAGGACCTGAGTTCAAATCTGCCCTCAGACACATAACACTTAACTAGCTGTGTGACCCTGAGCAAGTCACTTAACCCCACTGCCTAGCAAAAACAAAAAACCAAAACAAAACATAAAATGGAAACTTTAGTCTAAGTCATCATTACCAATAAGTCAAGGCACAAGAGTAACAAGACTAGGGCAAACTGCTATGAAATCAGCAAAAAACGTGAGGAAGAGCACTTAAATTACCTGCTCTTATTGAACATTAATAGGCTACTACCAAAAAAGGGCCCATTTCCAAAAGAGAATCAGTATTATGGATTTTTTTAAAATTCTGATTCTCTCATGTTCCACGTTTGAGAAAACTAGGATACGTAAGGTACTACTTTTCAAGAGAAAAAAGAGATTGCAGATTATCCTATGGTTCATGTTGCTGAATTAAAAGCAATAGTGTAATGGATATAAGAACCAACTAGATAAAAGCCAACAGAATTAATTTTTCGAGTGGCTACATCTAACCTGAACAAACAATGATTTGTGTGTAGCAAGAGACAAAGATCGACCATTTCAGTAAAATTTCATTTAAAACACAAATTTAGAAAATATTATTTAAGTTGACAAGAACAACAAAGGCAAGGGCTGTGTGTAAATCATTTTTGTATCCACTATTATAATGCCACCCCCAAGTCTGCCTTGTATATCTTAGGTGCTCAGCAACTATTTGTTGAATGAATAAAAGCGATGAATGAGCTATGAATCTCATTTCCTAAATTAATCAGTATTTTCACAGCCATTACAAAAAGAAATTCCCACAAGGTAATGACATTCTAAGGAGATTAATTATGCATTCTGTCTCTCTAGAGATATACAAATTCTTGCCTTCTTAGTAAGAGGACAATTTGATTCATACTTTTTAACAATCCTAAAGCTGAAGTGAGTAATTTATGATAGCGAATTCCATTCTCTCTAAAAATGCATTTTTGAGATCTCATCTGTCTTACTGGGGGAAACAGCATGGTGCCCATGGGACAAGGCCAGGGGACGTGGGTTTGAATATTGGCTCTGCTACCTATATGACCTTGAGCAAATCAACTAACCTCTCTAGTTTGCAAGTTCCTTGTTGGTAAAATGAAAGAGCTAGACCAGGTGACCACCAAGGTCCTACTTAAAGCTCTATATCCATGATCTATGATAAACCTAAATCCATGATAAAGCTCTATGATCCTATGCAATCACTGAGTTAACTGTAATCAATAACAGATTATAAACAAAATATCTATTTTATTATTTTAATGTTTATAAAATAGCAACCACATTTTTTTTCAACTTAGATGGCGCATCTTTCTAGTGATGATATGCAACTATGGTCTATGCTTCTACACAAAACATAGGGAAATAAATGTTAATAAATTTTTGCAATAAAATTATATAAATACATATATGCTTTACCTTAATTAGATTAAAAATGACAATGTAGCCAGATTTTCCATGATACCAGGGTCTTGGATAAAGGCAGTCTGAATATTTAGAAATATATACACCTATAAGTGTACAAAAATATACATGAATATAAGAATCTATTAACTGATTTTAAAGAGATTATCTATAAGCATAAGAAATGTAATATAGAACATTCAAAACTTAAGTTGGCCCTACTAGAACTGAAGATAGAAATTGAGAACAGAGTTTAAAACTAACTTCTAGAAACAGAAAAGAAACAGATTACCTTATATACATCTTTTACTTGTATGAGAAAATCATGACAGTTTTAGACAGTGACACTCTCTTTTCAAAAGCAACAAGAGTAGAAATGCTATTGATTAAAACAGGAACACTTTAACAGTCTATATTTAAAAACGCAGATTGAATATATTTAGGCTTGGTTTCGAGAATGACCACCATGCTTAAAAATTAAGAAAGAACTACAATCCAGTAATTGACAAAAAACCTGTTAAATCATACTAAGTACATCTCATTCATATTTAGTATATAAAATACATTTAATAAATCATCTGTGCTTCAGTATCTCCATCTGTAAATGGATAGCAATATTTGCCATAACAGTTTCTTCATTATGACTATTAACAATAGTTATTTCAGATATTTATAAATAATGTGCTAGGAAAGTTCAAAATGCTATTAACTATATTTCAATCAATCTGTAGATACCCTTTTCTGAAAAAGCTATATAAAACAATATAATATTTAACATTAGAAAATTTTCTGGAGTAAACATAAATCTGATTAGACTAATAGTCTTTGCAGACCAATTTATTTAAAACATAAAGGATGGCCAATTTCACTCACACAAATTTGTAAAGATATTACGTAAAACATGACATGAATATGGTTATGTATAATTTTCTAAAAGGAGAGAGAAAAAATAACACTTAAAACAATCTTTATACTTGTCTTCACACACTAATTCTGATACAGGATACAATTAGTAACTCAATTTGCAAAGCACACTACTACAGAATTAAACATGGCTGGTTAACAGCTTAAGCATGGCACCTCCTATTTTCAACAGGAAGGAGACATTAGAACAAAGGTGAGATTCTATGTGGTTGTTTTATCACCCAATTTTGTGGCTAGGCTTACCAAGGAAGAGGGATGAGAAAGTTAAATAACTTCACACATCTATCTAAGAATACTCAAATGTTTTAATTCTTTTTGAAAAATCACTAAACCAGAAAACATCTGGTAATCTGATTCCCAGGTTATTTCACAAGAAATATACTACCATATACTAAATTAATACTTTTATGCTCCAAAATTGAGGCAGCTAAAAACCAACTGGCAATACTACATGTATCTTTATGCAAACCTAAACCCTTTGATTCTATTTTCTTATCCCTACCCCAACATAAAGAACCAAGACATCAGAATATAGGCAGTACTAGGTACAACACAGGTATAAACAATAACATTACAAAGGAAAAATAACCATTTTCCCTCATATTTAAATTTAAGTATTACATTTTTTCCTATAAAAACCAATCCAAATTAGCCCTAGCTTCGACTCAAAGGATCTAATCAGAACCTAGAGATCTCTTAAAAACTCCATAAGCCTTTCAATTTGTTACCTTTATTTTCCCTGGCAGTCACCATATTGTCTGCTATTTTCTAATTTACTGGTGGACTCAGTTTTCTGGTCAATGCTCTCCTTAGGTCCTATAAAGTTTTGCTCTCCAAAGCAGAGAAGCATGGCCCAAACTTAATTTTAAAAGTGAAGAAATTCATTCCTATATTTAAAGTCACGATACTTATTAAATCTGTTACAGAGATAAGACTCTGTACATAGATTCCCTTTACAATTATGAATTTTATAACCTTACTATCTTAGCAAAGCACAGCAGATCAGTTAAATATACTTTAAAATCTTACCTTTTGTTGGATCACCCAAGGTAGTGACACTACTGCTGCCTACCCACAGTCCAAGTTGACACACTAGTTTAGCCTTTAAATAGAACAAAAGAGTTATAATCAATAGCTCATGCTTTTAAGGCTATAAAAGGTCTTTAAAATAATCTAATCCACTTCCATGATTTTACAGATAAGCAAAACTGTGTTCATCCACGCAGAGAATTAGTAGGGTGGGAAGAGAAGGCGAGTATCCTAATTCCCTAAGTCCCAGGTTTTCTTCACTATCAATTTTTAGAAAAGTGACAAAAATTTTGCCTTCTGTATTGAGTCACTACCAAGAGCAAGATGAAATTTTCCTAAAATTCAAACACTATGGGAAACATCATGAAAAGATAAAATTTTAAACCAACAACTCACTGCTTTTTTTTGGGGGGGGGGGGGCTAGAGTTTGAGCATGTGCCATAGAAATGTCTATATTTCCAATAGTTAAGGCCCAAAACAAATTATAGTTGGGTTCAGATCACCAAGTGAGAAAAAATCATTTATTCTACCAATTATGTATACTAATATGCAAAATATTATTAAAATTAGTACTTTAGTAAATAATTATTCATTAACTGAGAACAAGAAAATGGGAAAAAGTTTCCAGGTCTACTGGTGATACTCCCTAAGTGACCCTAAACAAGTTACCAAACTTCCCTGGGGTTCAATTTCCCCATTTGCAAAATGAGGAAGACGGTATTAAATTTTCTTTAATTTCTTTTCCAATTCTGCAAACTTATGACTTTAATGTTAACCTACCCTCCTTCCTCTTGAACCTCAGACAGAGACTTCTCTGGCAGACTGTCCCCACTATTTACTCTCTGTAATTTTCAAATACCCTCATCTACCAGCTGCTTTCCCTTGGTCAACAAACACACCCAATTCATGCCTTTTCCATTCCTAAAGAAAAGACAAACCCTCACAATCCAATTATCTCTAATAACTATCAGCCTATATCTATGCTCTCCTTCAAGCTAAAATATTTGAGAAAGCTATTAGGAGTATCCCCTTCCTCTCCTCTCATTCTCTAAACTCCCTGCAACTGAAACTTTCTCCAAAGTTACCATAACTTCTTAACTACCAAATGTAATAGATTTTTCTTAATCCTCATCCATTCAGTCTTTTATTCAGCCCCTGACAATGCCAATAAATTTGATTCACTTCCACTTATACTGCTTATATCTTGTATGTACACAGTAGTCTGCAGTTTCCTCAATTGGAATATGAGCTCCTTCAGTCAAGGATCCTGTTTTTTGCCTTTCTTTTTAACTATAGTACTTAGCACAATGGCTAGCATGTAATAAGTGCTTAATGAACGTTTACTGACTGACCAAAGCATTGTCTTTATTGTCTTTAATAATTACCAATAAGGGAATACTGCTAAAAATTATATATTTACAAAATTATAAACTTCTCTAGGCACATAACCTGAACACGGCAGTACATTTTCCTACATTTAAAACACTAACTCTAAAAGACAATATGGCAGTTTAGGTTTCCAAAGTTAGATCTTAAAGTCTAGAAAGCACATTCCATCCTGAAAAAAGCCACTTACTTTAAAAATCTCTCAAAGGTGTCAAGAGACACTATAAAATTAAATATAACATGGAAAAATGAACCAATTTCTCCTCACTGAAATGCAATAGTAATACTGAGCATCATTTCCCTTTCCCTGCCCCCACATTCCCCACTGCCTCCCAAAGCTGTAAGTTTATAAATGTATTTGAGGGCAGAAATTGAGGTTACATTCAGATTGTTTTTCTTGAAGATAATTTTTGAATAATTTATTTGCCCTGCCATTATACACAATGAAGAATCAAGAATCCTATAAGCTTTGAAGGCCAATCTAAAAGATGTGTAGAACTACATTTTGTACATGAATTTTAATTTTTAAAATTCAATAAATTACCTTACCTGATTTTCGTTGTCAAACAGAAGAAAACCACAAGTTTCACGAAGTTCCTCTGTAGTGTAGTCACTTGCTTTCTTTTGTTGATAAAAAGTTTTATACTACATAAAAGAGATTGAGCATTAAAAGCTATCAATGTGCTGTTTTGTCTGGTAAATAAATATAGAGTATTTGCCAGCCACCCTTCTCCTAAGAGACAGGACTTGAAAGACAAATAAAATTTGCTCTTTTTTCCCCTTTTTTGACTCAAAGTCAAGAAGACTGGGGTTTAAGGCTGACACACACTGGATATGTGACCTTTAATACTTTAATCTGCAGAGAAACTGCTGATCTGCATTGGTGGAAGAAATTCCTGGAAGCTTTTCTATGCCAATGGAATCATGGGTCTTGTAAAATATATGTTATTCACACACACACACACACACACACACACACACACACTTTTATAAACTACATCCCTGAGGATGATTAGTTTATATTTATTCAAACTGAAAAGCTAAAGCTCAAATGACAAAAAGTGACTAGTATATTTCTTCTAAAACTAAAAAAAAATTTCCTCACCTCCTTTAAGAAAAAGTCATTTTTCACCAAAGTCACTTCACTGTAATGAAAACCATTCTCAGATGAAGAGTCCAAGTAAGAACTATGCAGTACTGAAATTGCTCTTTGGAAATCAGAATCTGAAGTCACTGATAATTTCTGAAAAACTGTAAAATACACAAGGAAAAGTCAATTGTTATACATAACACAAAGACTGATATAAGAGACTCCAAATATCACTAAATATTAATATTTAGCCAGTTTAACTACTAAATTAGATGATTCAATTCAACAAGCTTAATATAGGCAAAGTGCAGGAAGGTACAAAGACAAATAAAATAGTCCTTGCTTTCAAGAAGCTTACATACTCCCATGAGGCAATGGCATGCACCCATATGAGTATAATGAGGTAAGAGGGAGCACTAACAACTAGAAAATTCACAGAGGAAGTGGATTCTCAACCATCCCTAGCTCAGGCTAGTCCAATGATTCAGGTTTGGGATTGGAATACCATGCAACAGTCTTGGAACACAAAACGCAACAAATACAACTTAGGAGTTAAAAAGGATAAAATTCCTAGTTGATAAAATAAAACGTCATTTTACATCTGCATTCACCACCAAAGACAACATTAAACTAGAAAGGCATCTCCATAGAGCAGTGGAAATTCCACTAAATCTCCAACTCACTTACTCCATATAGGGTAGGCTTTTTACAACTTTAGTGCTCTTGACCAATGAAGTTCTGAGGGTGTTCTTTTCTCCTTAAAGAGAAACCACTCCAGCCTACATAAAATAAATGCTGTTCTTAAGTTGAATCTTGAAGGAAGACAAGGATTCTAAGAGGTAGATGTCAGGAGAGAATGCATTCCAAGGATATGGAAGGGCTTGGGTGAATGCATGAAGGTAAAAGATAAAGCCAAGGGTTGAGAAGATAGGATTTAAGCCCAGCTGGCCTGGAATACAGAATCCATGAAGAAGTACAGTATGAAGAAAGGCTATAAAAGTAGGACTGTGAAAGGACTTAAATGCTAGGTAAAGGTGTCTATATTTTGTGATGGGGAGAACTGACGGCCTACAAGCAAAGGAATAAACACTGCCGGGCTTATGCCTTATCAGGAAGATTATTTTGGCAACTACAAAGGATGGACTAGAGAAGAGCCTGGAAAAAGGAAGGATGTTACAGTAGTATAGATAGGAGTTAATGAGAACCTGAACTAGAGTGGTGACTATGAGTGGAGAGAAGGGCATGAATGTGAGAAATGTTAAAGAGGTAAAATCAATGAGACCTAGCAATGGACTGAACAGGAAGGAGAGGAAACAAGATGAGGAAGGAGAGCACTACAACTATAAAGAATAGTCAGAGCAGGAGTCAGAGCTGAAATTCAACAGGGAGGAGGCCAGTTTGGCTGCAAAATAGGATAAGTATTGAAAAAGAGTAATATGCAATAAGTCTGAAAAAGGTAGGCTGAGCAAGATGACTGCCTAAATGCAGTCATCTCACATCAGAAAAAATGCTGCCATTTCCACCAGAATGAAATCCAATGAGAAACTACAGTAAGGAACTTCTTCAACCCCAGAACTGTACAAGAGATCAGCCTAAAGGACAAGGGCAAGAAGAAAGTGTCGCAAGCAAGGCCAGCTCTAGCACAAGATAGTGGGGCTGTAAACGGGCCAGAGAAACTTTTGCCTGCAATGCTCTGTGCCCAGAGGCAACAAAAGCCAAGGGTACTCCTAGAAAAGGGACCCTGAAGGCCCCAGTTAATGGCAGTGGTCAGTGTAGGGCAGAGTAGATATTCAGACTTCAGACTCAGATATTTCAGGCTCAAGGGATCTGAGGTACTTTTTACTGTCCTGAGATGCCAAAAAGAGCACTGAAGATCCAGCACTCTGAACCTCAGGATTCAGGAGATCCTAACTATGATATTTATACTCGAACCCAAGGAGGACAAGCAGGACAAACCACCCCACCCAAAAGCACAGGAGGGGGCAAAGCTGGGACCTGGGACAAAGTTCCAACTCAGCAACTAAAGCTGCAGAGATGAGTAATTTTTTAAAAACATTAACCAGTATGAAAATAATTGTAGCTCTAAAGGTCCCTCATAAGAAAGAGCAAACAACTCTATACTAACTACAAGTAGAGACTCAAAAGGAAAAAATGAATTTTCCACAAGGAATATATGAAGTAATAAAGTAAGAGATTTAAAAAAAAATGAGATAAAAGTTCTGGAGGAAAAGATTAGAAGAAAAATAAGTAGCTCAGATGAGAAAGTGGTAAAGTTCATCCAAGAAACAGATTCTGAAAACCAAGAGACCAAATACATCAGTGATTCCATGAAACAGCAAAAAATATTGAAACAAAACCCAAAAGATTGAAAAAAAATGAAACAAAACATCAGATACCTAGTATCAAAACCAAGTGACCTGAAAAACTAGTCAAAGAGAGAGAATTTAAGAATGTTTAAACTCTGAAATCATGCTGCTGTCATTTTTTTGTAAAAAGGCCTGACACCTTATTTCAAGAAACAGTAAGTGAAAATTGTCCATATATATTAAAAACAGAGGGCAAAATGAAGATAGAAAGAATCCACTGATCATTTCCTGAAAGGAACCTTAGAAATTAAAGTCCCAGGAATGTTACAGATAAAATTGAGCTCTGTATCAATGAAAAAATTCTGAAAGCAGACAGAAAGAAGTTCAATGAACAAGAAACCAGTCAGGATCACACAGGCTCTGGCAGCTTCAACTATAAATAAAAGGAGACTTTGTAATACAGCATTCCAAAAGTAAAAAGATATAGATTTACAACCAAGCATAACTTAACCTGCAAAACTAAGTTTTTACAGGGGAAAAAAACAGACCTTAAATGAAACAGGAGGACTTTCAACCATTTCTAAAGAAAACACCAGAACCGGCTAGTATTTTGAACTTTGAAATACAAACACAAAAGTCCAGACAATGAGAGAAAGTAAGTTTATTTGGAAGGAGCTGTATAATGATGTAGTGCTAACATCTAACATGGGGAGAAGAAACATTCTCACTCCTCTCCTCTGTACCTTCCCAGGCTCTGACTTTACTGTTTCAGACTCTTCCTTCCCAAACTCAACACTACAGTTAACCAATTCAACTCCACACAGTTTTCTGCTATCATCCCCTTATCCTATCATCATCCCGAGCCAAATCGCACCTAAATTAGTCCATTAAATCCCATCACCTGCCTTCTCTGCTCCTATTTACATTTTGCTACACAGAGCTGGAGGAAGTAACAAAGCTATGCTGAATGGGTTCACTTCAAATTTATGTTAGCTAACTTCATTTGGTATTCACTACAGCAAGGCAATCTTTTTATTCCTTCCAACTGATTCTTTATTTCACTCCCACAGAAAGTATTTCAAACCTTCTCTTCCCTCCTCAAGGCTCGAATACTCCCAGCCCCCCACTTCTTCAGTTGCAAATCTCATTTCTTACTTTACTGTCTTTCTCTTCATTATAAAACCCCTAGACTTTATCCCCTAGTCTCTTCTCCTTTTCCCTATTCTCTGATGAGGCCCTTCTCCTTGCCAAATTCAACTCTTCTACATATGCCCTTCATACCAGAATCCTCCCTTCTTCTCCAGAAGATTGCCTCCACAATCATCCCCTCTCTCTAATCTTCCCTGGTGCTGAAATATATACCCAATTCTCCCCCTTCCTTAAAAAATCTTCACAAGACCCTACCATCTCCTCAAGTAATTTTCCTACATTTCTCCATCCTTTCTCACCAAATTCCTTGGGAAAAAAAAAAACAAAAAACAAAACCTTTCACTTTCTCTCCTCTCACTCACTTTACCCACTGCAATCTGGCTCCTGACTGCAACAAAAACTACCTGCACCAAAATTATGAATGTTCTTTCTTACTTGCCAAATCTGATAGTACTTTTTTTAAGTCTTCATCCTTCACTATTTGAGCAGGAAGCTAATTGAACAGTTAAGCCTTAGTCTTCTGACCCAATTAAGTCTTAGAAAAGGATAGCTTTGCTCTCTTTAAGGAAAAACTAGTCTAGTCTAGATTACATAGAATAGATGTTGCTCTTAACAGAGTCGATCAGGAAAAAAAAAAGAATTGCAATCAGCAATGAAGACTCACTTAAGATTAGAAAATACTAATTTATAACGGGTTAACATGTGTGCCTGAATTCTCCCACTGGCATTGAGCAACACAGAACTAAGTGCAAAGGTGGTGACTGGAGGAGGTCCAGGGATGAGGATTACAAAGTGTGATAGTTCAAAGGCATCGTCTAGATGAATAGATGAACTACAGATTTTGGACCATGAAAAGAGGAAAGTAAGTCCAGAGAATAATGTAATGGATTGAAAGAACACAGAGAGATAAAGAGAACAGAGCTTATAACAAAGATGAAGAAAAAGTATAGAAAGACTGGGATAGATGTAAAATGGAAGGCTAGGAGATTATAATCAGAAAGGGGAACTTAACAGTTTGAGATCATGAAGATAACATATGGATGACAGAAAGAGAAAGTATGCCCCTAATCCTGTGGTTTATCTAAGGTCATGAAAGTTAAGACTAATGACTTAGGAGGCCAAGGTGTTTGAGGGGACATTACATGTATACTGAAATAAAAAAAGTATGAATTAAGGCAGAGGAGGAAAGGAAAACTGAACTAATTTCTAAACTCTTTAAGGATAATAGCATCCTGGAGGCAGGTATAATACAACAAGATGAATCTGGACATTAGACAGATAAAGACAACTGCAAAGAAGGAAAAAGCTGCAGAGTAATGACAGCCAAGGGAAAGTCCAGAATCCACAGTGGGCAACAAGGAGCGTCAGTAACTCCTCTTCCTGGCCCAATGTGTTGGGAAACATGGGAAAAGTATAAAAAAGCAGGGCAAAACAGTGTCTTATGTGAACAATCCGATTACTTTTTAACATAAGAAGATGGAAAGAGTATGAAACAGAGGTCTAGGATGAAAGAGAGTTTAACAGAACACACAGTTTTCAAGACACACAACAAAATAGGAGATCGGGGGGCAGCTAGGTGGCACAGTGGATAGAGCGCTGGCCGTCGATTCAGGAGGACCTGAGTTCAAATCCGGGCTCAGACACATAACACTAGCTGTGTGACCCTGGGCAACTCACTTAACCCCACTGCCTAGACAAAAAAAAAT